CTCTCTCTAACACCACAATAGCTTCCCCACATGCTCTTCTACGGCCCCCCAGGCACAGGAAAAACCTCCACTGTCCTTGCCCTCGCCAAAGAGCTCTACGGCCCCGAACTCGTCAAGTCCCGCGTCCTCGAACTAAATGCCTCCGACGAGCGCGGAATCTCCATCGTACGCGAGAAGGTTAAAGACTTCGCCCGCATGCAACTTTCCAATCCTTCCGCCGCCTACCGTGCCCAATACCCATGTCCTCCCTATAAGATCATCATTCTAGATGAAGCGGACAGTATGACACAAGATGCGCAGAGTGCGCTGAGGAGAACGATGGAGACGTATAGCAAGATCACGCGGTTCTGTTTGATTTGCAATTATGTAACGAGGATCATTGATCCGTTGGCGTCGAGGTGTAGTAAGTTTCGGTTCAAGAGCTTGGATCAGGGAAATGCTGCTAGGAGGGTTGAAGAGATCGCCGTGAAGGAGGGAGTGGCACTTGAGGATGGAGCTGTGGAGACGCTGATTAGATGCAGTGAGGGGGATTTGCGAAAGGCGATTACGTTCTTACAGAGTGCTGCGCGGTTAGTTGGAGCTGTGGAGAAGGATGAGGATGAGGAGAGTATGGATGTTGATGTGGAGAAGCAGGTTGTTACTGTAAGGAGTATTGAGGATATTGCGGGAGTTATTCCGGATGAGACGATTGAGGGATTGGTTAAGGCGATGCAGCCTAAGTCTAAGGGGGCGGTTTATGATGCTGTATCGAAAGTGGTCACAGATTTAGTTGCTGATGGATGGAGTGCTACTCAAGTTGTTACACAAGTAGGCTCTTCTTTTCCCGAGAAGACCCAAGCTAACACATAACAGTTGTTCCAATCACTCATCTACAATGAAGCAATTCCCGACCTCCAGAAGAACAAGATTACTCTTGTATTCTCGGAAACCGACAAGCGTTTGGTAGATGGCTCGGACGAGCACTTGACGATCTTGGACTTGTCATTGCGCATCTCGAATATCTTAGCTGGAGCTTGAAAATAATGGTTAGGCGGAAATGGATACATAGCATGGCTTGTATGGCGTTAGGAGCAATGTGGGAGTAAATGAAGTGACGTGCTATTTATGAAAATCAAGATATTCAAGCTCCTCTTGGAGCCAATGCACTCGTGGGTGGAATCTGGAAATGGCATCTTTTCCGAGCATGATGATTCTTCACCGAAGTCGAGATATATAGAACCTTCTATAATGCGTTGATGATTTTCAAGATATAAGCTCAGATTCTTACCAACAGATAAAGACGATTTAATTCACTTGCAGGATCTAGAACTTTAATGGGTGGGTCTCGAAAGCGATATTATTTTTCAATTTTCCAGTTCTATCAGGTTTACAGTTCAAAATTTCCATTTTAGAATCCTCAACTTCATCCTCCCACTGCCCCGCCCATTCACATCTTCACCCCTACAAAGCCATGACAACACCAACAAAACCAGCCGCAATCCCAGCAGCAGCCTTCAAAGCTCCAGTGGGCGCCGCACCAGCCTGGCTAGAGGTAGATGACGCCGCAGCACCCGCGCTTCCACTTGCTGATTTCGAAGCTGCACTTCCCGATGCAGATGCAGAGGCGGAGGCAGAAACTGAAGCAGAAGCCGAAACTGCACCCGACTTCACCGAGGCCGCACTGGTTTGAGCAGCAGCAGAAGACGAGTCATCGTCGTCATCATCACCGCCCTCAATACCGGCCAGCAAGCTAGTCGGCAGCGCCGAGAGTGTGAAATCATCGGCGCTCAAGATCGAGGTCGCGACGCCGTAGACACTCATGCCGACGCTGGAGAGGGGGCCGCGTACTTCAGTTGGCAAAGTGTCGAAATTTGGGGCAGCAGTTTCGCCGGCTTGGATGGCCGCGACGAAGCTTGATTCCCAGGCTTCGAGGGCTGAGGAGATGGAGGGGACGGTGGCATAGGTCTCTAGGGAGAGGAGGGCTGTGTTGGTGGCTAGAGCGTCGAAGTATGAGGAGAAAGCATCGATGGCTGAGGTGACTTGTCTGAAGGGGTGTGTTGTTAGTTGAGGCTACTCGAATATACAATAGATATTAGATTTGGGTAAGGCCTACTCTGGTGATTGGGGGGCAGCAGCTGCGAAGCCGGCCAGGAGCCCAGCGGCAAGTAATTCAGACTTGAATTGCATGATAAAGAAGTAGCAGGACGTTCAACGAGTGTAGTTATGGAATACAAGTGGCGTAGTACCGGTGGTGAGATCTGTAAATGAAGGTTGAAGAAGAAAAAGCAAGCATCATGGCGGCGGGGGCTGCTAGAGCTATATATACTACCTAAATAATACGTAAAATGTATCCTAATGCCTTGGGTTGCAATTTCTTTATTCTTTTCACAAGATGCGGCACAGGTGGCAACGGCAGGCCGTTTGAGGCTGAGGCTAATTTGCCAAGCCTAAAATAGGCTTTAGGTGCTGTCTAGCATGCGGCAAAGCCAGGCGAGTTCCATGCCAATGTCGTATTTACGTTCCTAGTAGTAGTGGAAGTGAAACCTGATCACAAGACGAATTCAAAGTCAAATTGGTCCAAATAACGCTACAATCAAGACTCTACATCACATATACTATACATATATACATATATACATTTTACATATAGCCTAGCAGCCTCTATAGAAGTGAAGTAGATCTACTATTCGTGCGTCGTGCCCAAGGTACCAGTGTTCTATGCCCCTATCCTATCCTATTTGTCAAGGTGCTGTCAGACGCGGTATAATAATAGCCCCGTGTTTCGACAAGTGACAATGGTTGGTTACATTTTCACTCCGTTGCACCGTTGTACCTTGATTCAGGGGCAATACGCCATACTGACTTAAGCATTGAACTAGGCCCTACTATCTCCTTAACGTGTCTACCCATTTGGGAAGCATTCAACAGACGCTTTCTTCTGCGGATATCAGTCTCGGAATTAGATCTAATAATCTAATAATAAAGTATTCCTGCCCTTCTCCCCTACACTGGAGTTCGACATGTCCAGGTTCTATGTAGAGCCCACAGTCAGTAGACTCAAGACGTTGTATGACAAAGTTTCTGATGCTAGCCCGTTCGAGCAATTGAAACCCTTCCCAACCTGACCTTTGGCTTCTCCCCTTTTGCTGCTTCCTTTCCACATCGTAAGTGCGAGAAATGGCGATTCCCCAGGTTTGATTCGCACATAAACATATGTACAAACAGGCAGTACAGGTATAGTCCAATACAAAGCAATACAACATGCAGCGGACGGCATCTTGCATCGTTTGGAGCAACCCAAAAACAGTTCCCCCCCTCCTTTTTAAAGAGTTGCTATGAGATTTCCAAGCATATCTCCAGACAGAGCAAAGTGCTGTTGACTCATAAGCGAGACCTTAACTCTGGAGCACTATGTCCTTCAAAGATATCTGCTCTTCTATAAGACTTCATGTACAAGAGATCATGCAGATGCTGGCATGTTCTTTCCCCCTCATTGGATGGCGGAATTTTTGGTTGGGCCATTGAATTCAGAATAAAGCGAGGTCTGACAAGTTTGCAGATGAGTAAGAAACAAGAGAGCGATCGAACCAAAGCTGATTGTACCAAAGTACATAGAATAGCCTTGTCTCATTCATTACTCAACAGCACGACGAAGAAAAGGTCTATCTGTATTGAGCAAGTGGAACGAGAAAGAATATTTCCGCTTTCTGAAATGTGGATTGTACTTGCTCAGTATAATGATGAGTCTGCCTCTATAAGAAAGTGAATTGTCCTCTGTCTCGCAACAAAGCAAAATACTAATTTGGTCACCGGTGATGGGAGCTTTTCACATAACAACAACACCGTGTCATTTCCTTCCCAGACCGCGAAGCCATTGAATTACTTTCAATATCCGAACCTCCAACAGGACCACAGAGAACACGCTGCAGGACTACAGAGACCTTCCCAAGAAGCTATCCACATCTGAACTCTCAAGGAAGCGGAGATTGGTATGTATGTTCCATTTTCATCATCCTAGACCTTCAGTCGCTCGAACGGACTAAGTCGAAGTACAAAGCATTTACCTCGTATGAGCTCCTAACCATTGCGGGCTTCTTCTGTGCCCAGAAAGAGGAAAGATCATGCCTTGGCAAACGCCCAACTAACTTCTTTACAGCATCCTCCACCCAAGAACTGGACTGTTTGATTTAAGAATGCCTGTGAGTGACTCCCCTGGTTGGCTCAGCCTACCAGTATTTTGGCCTCATGTACTACCTAGCTAACAGATGCCACAGACGGCAGCCATGGAAGTTCCAGAGAGAGCAGCGACAACGCTACCAAAAACATATCAAACCTCCAAGGAGGGTTTATTGCTGGCAAAAAAACTGCGGAACCGCAGTCTACGAGAACGCTTTGATAACTCACCTATTATGAATGCAGTCAGCATCGAACAACAAGCCGAAGACTGCCCACGGAATTTTGTGGGATGCTGCACTTATTTCGACTTAGGTGATGCCAGGGTAAGAAACTCCTGAACGCCTCTTTCCTTGTTTGCTTGTAGAGAGGACCCGAAACTGACGTGAGTAAGAACCACGAGAAGCTCTACGGCGAGTACCGAATCGTACATACCTACTCGGGGAAAGGCGCGCGGTCCTACAGATGGAGACATTACAACGAGAAGGCCGAGTGTTTCACTCCTTCCTCAAAACAATCCATCACCGTCAAGACCGACGTCTCCCAAACAGAAAGGGGCACTGCAATGAACGCGGCTTTCCGTCGCGACCGCTGGGCTGCCGTTGAAGTGGTCTTCAACAACAAAAGCATGTGCTTCGGGCTGAACATCCCGCCTGTCTCGGACCATATCATGGACGGCGCCCCTGCTGCCCTAGTACAGCCCCCTACACCCAACGGAGACAGCAGTAAGAGCAACACCCGGCTTGACAAAGTGTTGGAGATGGGGATCAACGGGAGTGGGTATAACCGCGTCGCCTTCGGCATGAAGCACATGCTGAGATATTTCGACTGCGACAAGGAAAAGTACGCCAATCTAGGCTTCGAATTCCTGCAGCTCGAATTGGACTGCGTGGATCCCAGGTACGGTTGCGAGGATAACCAGGTTATCATAGCCGTCAAGTTAAGCAATGATACGACGGATGTTGGGTCGGAGTTCTTGCTGATGCAACAGATTCAGCTTCCTGGCAACAAAGCCTATTATGAGCTTAGGGAGGAGTCGGATAGCACTTATTATTGAATATTTGTCTCGTCTCACCATAAGTGGGTGTTCCGACTTTTGGCTTTTGGATGGAGGGCCATAGGGCCCTATGATCGAGTCTACATTTGTATGAATAAACTACTGTACGCGACCTTCCAACCCATGTTCCAATGTTCCAGAACTCCTGCAAATGTGTGATGCCCCATGACGCCTGTAGCTAAAACGCTCACTGTATAGAAAAGAAAGATGATTTCTGCCTAGTGCTCCCTAAGTTGGCATCATACCAATACTTCCTCCACCCATACCGCCACCGTCACCTCCATTAGGTCTGCCAAACGATTTCATTATGTTTGAACTCTGGTAGCCGGCACTGGTACCACCCCTCTTAGCAGCAGCAGATGTTTTTCGAGACCCGCCTCTCTTGGAAACACCCGAGTTGCTCCGACCACCACGGAATCCAGATCCAGACCCCGAAGCCAAGTCATTACTCTTCCGAGAGCCTCGTTTGAAACCCTTGCCTTTACCCCTAGACCCGCCTCTTGGCTTTTTAGGTGCTTCCGGCTTAGGATGGCTACGCTGAGGTAACTGTGCAGCTTGGGCAATCTGGGCGTTGAATGCTTGAACTTGCGCCGATGCGAAGTACTTGGACGGTTGCTCGGCCTGGGATAGGTGATCGTCACCCTCTTCATCGTACTCGTCATCATCCCCATCGCTACATAGGTCGATGACATTCATATGATTTTGATCCATATCTCTATCATCGTTGGAAGCCATCATCTCATCATAGCCAACTTGATACTTCTTGATCAGCGGTAGGAATCTTTTACCATACCGTTGGACTTTATCTTCGTTGATTCCTGGTATTTGGAGCATGTCATCTATAGTCAAGGTCCAGTTTATAGCCATCTCTCGGAAGTCGTTATCGGTAAAGTAAGGCCTAGAATGGCCGTTCCCGTTTCGAAGTCTTTCCTCCGACTCCTTAGCTTCGTCAAGAAATTGTTGAACGCTGACTCGATGAAGGTCTGGAAGATCCTTCAAGCGGTCATCTGTCGTAATTGGGGGCCCCAAAGGCAATGCATGCCGAACTTTGCGTGTGGCTTTGGGAGGCATGGGTTCGAAAGCGTCGGATTCGTTTGAAGCAAAGAAATCATCGTCGTCGTTGACCTCGACCATACGGTTCTTCCCCTTTGTATTATTTCTCCGTGAAGAAGGGGAAGCGGGTGATGTGAACATTGTCGATTGAGGTTGAGCTGTCGAGCCTCGTGGAATACTGGGGCCGCTAGCCTTTTTAGCCTGCCTTTGGGCATTCTTTTCGGGCCCTATTGGCGACGCTGATACTTTCAGCATCAATGTTAACTTGCGACGACCAGAGAGGAAGTCCCGAAAGTTCGTTCCCAACTATGAGCATGTCAGTACAGTAGTATGGGTCGATTTGTTACACTTACATGAATGTATTGTTGAGGGAAACCTCTTCGAGTTATGACAACCTCTTTCAGAGCATTCTCCATGAGCAATCTTGAGAAAATGCGTTCCGCTTCACCTCGAGGTAGATCTTTTGCTGCACCATATTCAGTTAAGCTTTGATGATTGTTGTCCTTGATTTTCGCGTTGCTCTGACCGCGTAAAATATCCACCGCGTGGAGGAGCGTAAAATTGCCGGATTGTATCTGTTTGACGATGTTCATAGCTGCCCGAGCTTGGCTCGTCATGTCTCTCGATTCAAAGACAGCATCGGAGTTACAATTGTCACATTTGTGTCTGCAATCCTCTTTTGCGAACGCTTCGCCGAAGTACGAGAGAATGTTGACTCTGCGGCAATCATGTCGATTCTCGCAGAATTGGACCATTCTTTTCAGCATGTCCCGTTGTCTCTCCTTGACTTCTTCAGTGCCTTCCCCGTCCTCGATGAATTGTTTAAGAATACGCGTATCTTGGTAGCCGTAATAGAGATAACATCCAGAATCCTTTCCATCCCGCCCTGCTCGACCTGTTTCTTGGTAATAGCCTTCCAAGCTCTTTGGTATTGTGTGATGGATGACAAAACGAACATCGGGCTTGTCGATGCCCATGCCAAAGGCAATCGTTGCGACAACCACTTGCCATGTTCCAGCTTGCCAAGCTCGCTGAACATCACCCTTCTCCTCAGGGTCCATACTGGCATGGAAATGATGAGCTTTGATTCCTTTGGAGCGCAGTTTCTCTGCCAGCTCTTCACAGCCTTTCCTTGATAGTGTGTAAATTATCCCTGTCTGACCCTTGTATTTTTTCAATATCAGGCTCGACATGTCTTCCAAAATCTCGGCATTAGCACCTTTTCCCTTCTTCGACCTGATTTCGTAGTAAAGATTTGGCCTGTTAAAGCTTTGCTTGTATTCTTCACAGCCCTCCATGCCAAGGTTGTGGATACAGTCAGTCTTGACATTTTCAGTGGCTGTCGCCGTCAAGGCAATAAAAGGCACGCCCGGAAACTTTGACCTTATGGTGCCTATAGTCTTGTAATCTTGTCGAAAATCGTGGCCCCATTGACTAACACAATGTGCCTCGTCAATAACGATCCGGGCAAGCTTATTCTTCCGATGCAGACCGGTAAGAGCGCTCATGAGTGCACCGCTTTTCCCTATCATTTCTGGAGTTACATAAAGCAGTTGGACATACTGGTCCGGGAATGGACCTTTGAGTGCATCGTAAACAAGATTTTTTTCCGTTTGCGTCTTTTCTCCATTGATTAAGACAGCTTGTATTTGGAGCTTGTTCAGATGGTCGACTTGATCACTCATGAGACTGAGTAACGGCGAGATAACGATGGTCACTCCTCGGTTTTTCCCAGATGTAATAACAGCCGGCAATTGATAACACAAAGACTTGCCACCTCCCGTCGGCATCAAAATGAAGGCGTCTTTTCCACCCAAGGTGGCATTGATGGCTTCCAGTTGGTTCTGTCGAAAGCCTCGAAGGTTGAAGCGCTCTTTAAGAGCTCTCTTGACATCAGCAGACCAAGAATACCTAAACAACATGCTTGGATGAGCTGGATCCATGATAGAGTACATTGTTTTCTTGGCGGAGGCCGGGCGCTTGCTGGTTTCAGATATAGCTGGCTTCTGTGTCGTACGACCTACAGGCGGTATTGCCAAAGACTGACGCTCAACCTCTTGGGCGAACTCGAGTATATCATCATAGTTTTCATCTCCGTAATCGTCGTCGGCATCGCCAGCTACCTGTTCCTTGAAATTTGAACTCTGATACAGCTCCTGAGCCTCGTCTTCAAGCAAGGCATCAAAGTCATCATCGTCCATACCACAGTCCATAGGAGAAGGGTTACGATAGAAGTTTGGCTGCCGAAAGACTCTGTCAGTTGGAGCTGACTCGGCTGGAGGCCCTAAGTCTGGTTGCTGGTCGGTGAAGGTTCGAGACCAATCGGCGCGCCGTATAGGAGATGGAGTTGCCTGGCGAGACATACTGGTGGTCTTCTGGTTGAATTCGCCTCGGGACGATGTTTCTGCTATATACTGAACGGAACTTGACGTTGCCTTCTGCGGCAAAGGGGGGACTTGTGTCTGAAGAACAATTTGAGCACTACCAATAATGCTCGAAGCAGCCTCGTCTGGTTTCAATGAGGCAGCTGGATGCACTGGCTCGGTTTCAAGATCTAAACCTGTACCAAAACCATCTGTGATTGCTCCGGAGAGATACAAGAGCTGACATGCTTCTGTTTCTAGCTTTCGAATAACTTGAGTAAGTGATGCGTTTTGTTCGTCCTGGAGACTTGTATCGACGCCCGAATCAAGCAGCTCGTATAGAGTTCGAGTGATGTCCTTCTTTTCGGCTACCAAAGTCCTGTGGCGCTCTGCAATACCTTCTAGGCTTAGATATGCCCTCTTTTTGTTTAGCAAGGTCTTCCGCTCTTCAATTAGCTGCTTGGGAGCAGGTTCATCCTTGTCATTGTATTCCATTGAAGTGACAGAGTTTTGCTGGAGCACGTTCTCCACACGAGTGAAGTAGGTCGCAATCGTTTTAGGTTTCGTCAAATACAAATTTACAAGTCTCCTGTCATCTGAAGTGAGGGTAGATGAAGGTGTGTGCTGGCTTGAGTGTTGTAACAGTGGATTGTGAACAGAAGCTTCCTTGGTGGGCGAGTCTTGGTGGAAGGGAGAAGCGGCATTTTCTTGCCTGGTGGCAACATTCCGTGATATAGGGCGTAGTGGACTCCCTACTCTTGGTTTTGAATTTCTATAATCATTTCCTACAGGGCTGCTTCGTTCAAATTCTGGTACTTCCCGCATTCTGGACACCCCAGGGGTATTTGCAACCCGAGGACTATTTTTCATAGAGGTCCGAGAAGAACAGCTGGCCCTTTTCTCTACATCTGATAATACCACATCGTCATCATCGTCAGAGTCTTGAATAGTTCTCTCGAGTCGTTTTTTCCGTGGTTTTTGAGGCGTTGGAGATTCAAATTTCTTTATGGGGGATGCGGCAACTTGAACTGTCGACCGTGATTTTGGAGTTGTTACAGTTTTCGGTCTTGATTCGGCTCTCTTCAAGGGAATAGGAGCTGGATATGTCGATCTAATAGGATCAACGTCGCTCACTGAGGGTACCCGGCTGATACTCTTCCGAGTGCGAGTCTCAACTCGGCTTATAGTTTCGGTGATCTGGAATTCCTCGACACTATCATCAGTATCTTGATGTTCAACGCTTGGTTGTACTGATCTAGCTCGAGGCTCCATAAGCATCGGTCGCGGGCGTTGAGTGTTTAGGGCGCCATCGTCCGAGGAATCGATATCCATAAACCCGTCATTATTGTCCACTAGATCTCTCTCCATAAGTCCCGTCTTTCGTTCACCATCCGGTCTCTTATGAGGGCTCCCAGCCGATATTTCATTACTCTTGCGTTTCTTGGAAACACGAACAAGAGGCTCCGGCCTCCATGCCGAATCCTCTCGCCAGAGCGTCACCGGTTCTCCAAACCCTTCTGTGCTGCTTGAACGAGAGGTAGGAACATCACTAGAGCTATCCCCAGTAAGATCGATAGATTTGATGGTTCCGATATTGAGTCCCTTTAACGGTACAGGGGTTTGTCGAGGGGTTTGCGGGGTTTGAAAGGGTCTTAAAGGTTTGGAAAGTGAACGGGCGGCTGTAGGTCTTGCAGAAGGAGTATCTAGACCTGCCGTGGGTTTCGTAAAAGGGGTCTCTAGAGGCGATTGTAAGATAGATGTCGCAACACAAGTCTGTTTGGATTTACCGGTCTTATCTCGAAAGGAATTCGTAAAGGATTGCGTCAAGGACGATTTCGACTTCGAGGTGGAGTTTGAGGCAGTAGTAGATGCTGGAGTAGCAAGCTGATGTTGGCTCAAAAGACCTGGTCTGGTTGACCTTTGTGCGGAAGCCAACTTTCCCATTGACTCGTCTGCCTGTGCATTTATCAAGTCTCGCAATTGTGGTTGTGGAGCAATCGATGAAGGGAGCGGCGGGCGAACAAAAGACTGAACAACATTGACCGTCTGGGTAGCCTGGTAATTTGCAACGGGTGTAGTAAAATCCCTTGGTATTTCTTCTATTTCCTCCTCCAAAAAGTTTGCTTCTGCTTCAGTAATATCTGCCGCAGATGTTGAATTCGTCCGGACTGCAACAGAAACGCCCCCCACGGGCGGAGTGACTTTGTGAGACAACAACCAAGAAATATGGACGTCGAGGTTATGTCTAGTCATGAGGCTCTGTTACCGCATGCATCTCCAGGCATGTCTATCGATATAATCCAAGGCTCTTCGTGCATTACAGGTCGGGCATGCGTGAATCGTTGTTGATATTCCGGGTTGCTATCCATCGCGTCGTTGTAACGCGTGAGATTTCACAACGCGATTCTAGTCACATGATCGCCATCGCATCTGCCCCTCCCAAGGATTTATTTGCCTGACCTGGATCTTTCAGTATGGAAGGCTTCACATAATTGTCTCCTTTGTAGTCTGTTGTCAAGTAGAAACTCCAGAAACCTAGAAATATCCTCCCATACACCACCACCATCACCACCTTTGACCCTGCTCTACCGGTACTGTTTTCACCAGAATGTATTTCCTACTGGCTACCTAGGTACCTTGAGACAATTGCCGAGGGGCTTCTATCAAATATGGAGCTCAAACTTCCCAACTACACTTCATGAAGTTACATATTCAGGGCTAAAGACCTTGATCAACTGTAATCTTACCAGTGAATTCCCAGTAAACAAACATTGCACAGTCCATTTCTATTAACATCTTTATGACGGCTTTCATATATCGGCTCCCTCGGCTAGAGCCTCGAAACCTTGCTCTCGTCGGCACCTCAGTCGCAACAACTCTCGCTCTTGTCGCCATAACCAGATATGCATTCCACTCAGCACCTCCCAAGACAATACCCAGTCCAAGAACGGCCGTACTATTGATATTAAGCAAAGAAGAGCAAGATGCGCTGCCGTACCCGCCCGATGCCTTCCCAGGCGCTCGGGACGTAGCCAGTCCAGTATGTACCGCCTTTCTCCGTCAGTTGACAAATATCTAAGAAGCAAATGTAAGCATGTCTATCTCTAATTCAAGACCCAGTATGGCATATTCCGTGCCTATGAGTTCGGTCCCGAGCAAGGCCGGAAGGTCTTGCTAATCCACGGCATCAGCACCCCCTGCCTCTCTCTGGGCGGCATTGCCAACGCCCTCGTGTCTAAAGGGTGCAGAGTCCTCCTGCTTGATCTCTGGGGACGTGGTTACTCAGATAGTGTGGACCTTCCCCACGATTCACGGCTCTACACCTCACAGATACTGCTTGCGATCACATCCTCCCCGCTATCGTGGACACCGGAGGGGTTCAGCATTATCGGGTATTCGTTGGGCGGAGGCATTGCGGCTGATTTCGCTTCTTCTTTCCCCAACCTGGTGAGAGGCTTAGTATTGCTAGCACCGAGTGGGCTGATTAGGAAGAACCATTTTGGATGGCAGAGCAGGTTGCTTTACTCTGGATTGCTTCCTACTTCTCTGCTTGAGACTCTCATTCGGCGACGGCTAGGAGGCGGGTCGAGTAATGCAAGTAGTGTCAAGCAGGATGATTTGGAGAAAGCTGTTCAGGAGGAAATGAAGGGCAATAGTAGCCAGGGTTTTGATAATACGCCTTTGAATAAAGACCATCCTAGTATTACAGTTGGTGGTGCAACGGATTGGCAGCTGGCGAACCATGAAGGGTTTGTGAGGAGTTTTGTAAGCTCTATTAGGTTTGCCAGTATTGAATATGTTCAAGGGAGATGGAGAAATCTTGGCAGGTTGAAGGAGAAGATTATAATCATGGCGGGCGAAACGGATCCAATTATGTAAGTTATTTCTAGTATGCTTGGTCTGAAGTCTGACTGTTATTCCCCTTACTCCATGTATTCAAAGTTTCGAGCTACTAACAATTTATAGTATTGCCGATGAGTTGCACAAAGATTCTAAAGAAGAAATTGGAGCAGAGAAAGTGGAATTCAAAGTTATTAGAGGAGGTCATGAATTCCCAATTGCACGACCAGACGAAGTGGTGGAAGAGATTGTTAGAATTTGGGGAATATAGAATAAGATGGTACGTAAGGTTTTTGCAACCAGCTGCTACAAACATCTCTGTCTAAAATGATGCATTTGTGTTCCTCTTTTCGTCTGTGTCTAGATCGGCAAGTGCTGGTCACCTGGTACATACATATATATACCCTTCACAGACCGTTCACATCGAGGCCGGTTTGAGTTCAACCTTTGACGTACTCCCACCGTTTGGTCGGAATCGCTAAATCACTCCAGCCTTCCTTCCTTTTTCGCGTTTGGGGGGGTGCTCAAAGAGCTACATACAAGTGCTGGTGGTGCGCACAGAATAAACCGCTGAGGAATGGGGCAACGAAGAATATACGCTTGAAATTGTGGCAGTCATTATATCCAGTCAACCTCAGGAATGTTGAATACACGCAAAGATTTGTAGATGAAATTTTTCATTTGTTGCAGAACCTCGTTAAAACATCTGCGATCAAAGAGTGCCTGCCATTCCCCATCATATGTTCATTCCAGCCCTTGGTTCACTAACCTCGTCCTCCAATAACAAGTCATTTCCTTATCTCACAAACGCGAATTCAAACTCAACCATGGTTCCGAATTCATCTCTCAGCTGGTCGAGATTTTTCTCGTTAGTCGTTATAGGCGATCTGTCCCTTTCCTGATATTCCGTGAAGTTCTGTGTCTCATTGTTTGGTACCGATTGTTAGCCGAATGTCGTTGTATTCTGGGCCCGATGATTATCTGAGATTTTCACATTTTCTCCGTCACACAACGACGTACTGTAGGTTAATTCTTTTTGCTGTGCTTTGTGAAACCTTGATGGCAAGCCATTAGATGTGGCTGTTAGACAGTCTTTTTGTTTCGTAAAGCGATCACCCGGGCGTAAAGCAGGGCTTGCGGCTTTGCTCTTGAAATCAGCTGACTTGAGTGTCGATTCGGGGACCGATTCGGGAATTTGGTATGCTTTCGATTTTGGTAATGGTGGATTTGTGGTCTTCTCTTCGGCTGTGAGCGCTTTGTAATCAAGGTAGTTGTCGTCCGTGAGGTAGTCCATTGCGCTTGATGTGGCGTCGTTGTTGTTTCCGAAAAGTGCCTTGATGCAATGATGTTGTCGTCGATGTCCATTTCTTCTGGCATTGTGAGTTCGGTGAAGTCATAGTCAAGGGGAGTATCCATTTTCATGGGTGTGTCTGAAATTGTTGTTTCAGTGTTGAGATCCATTGCCATGTCGTCCGGGGTCGTTAGGCCAGATTCATGATCAATATCCATGATACTTGGTATCGTGCTGCCAGAGTGATAAACTTCCATGGTGTCGTTGTCTAAATTATTAGTGGTGCTTAAGGTTAACTTTTCGAGGGCAGCGTGGAGAGCGGTGATACTCAGAATGCAAGCCATTTTTGTCGAATTATTGTGCACTTGTGGATGCTTGAGTGACAGTGTGTTCACAGCTGAGTTGTGTTCTAGTAGAGTTGGTTTAACTCAGATGGATGGTTGTCTTACAGCAGATGATATTGACCGTTTGTGATAGTCTGAGAGCAAAAGGTTTGATGAAGATGGTGAAAAAAAGATTTGCCGATTGAGAGGGGAGGGCGGTTTTATGTGCTTCTATGATGTTAGTAAAAGCACCAGGAATACAGTTTTTCTTCATGGACCATAGTTTGAAGTCAGTGGATATATGTAAAAACACCAACGGTGGAAACCGTCCAGGGTTAGCGTCCGACCGTGGCCAATTCTAACTATCCTAGCACAATATTAGGGAACTAATGGCATTTATAGCACGTTTTTAAAGCTAATACAGGTTACCTGACCAGGAAGTGAAGAGGTTATGACTTTTTGAGAGCTCATTATTGTCTGGTAACCTGATGGTAGCGGATATATGTGAGGATAGTTATGATAGATTTTGGTTCTCATAGGGAACAAGGCTGACACAAACGCAGCTAAATTCTAGCTGGGCCAAATCCACCACGGTTGGGACCTGGAGAAAGCCGATATGTGCGCCAGCTTAAGCGTTTCAAGTCGCCCTAAATCAAGCCTAAACCCTTAGCTCTCATCACTTGACCATGCGGACAATGTTCAAATGATGAATGCCCTCATTAGCTGTAGTAGATTGCTGCTAGGTATGTAACTAGGTGCATTCAAGATCGACGCTGAGACTCGGCTCTCTTACTCTTTGTCTCGGAGAGAGTGCAGTTTGAGTCGAGCATAAATTTTAGTGATAGGCACTATAATATGAGTTATTTGAAATGTTCATACGGATTTCCCTTCTCCTGAAGTAGTGCGCGAGGACCATTTGTAAAGTAGGACGATTGTGATATTTCACAGATAGAAATGTTGTTAGTGATGAACCCCCCTTTCTTCGCTTAGCTAAGTGATTTGCTCGAAAGACCCAGAACTTTGATGCAGGACTCCCTACATAATCATTCCGCATGGAGAAGATTATTCCCACACCTCAATATTTCTCTCCCCGCACCCCCAAAACACGAAATGCAAACGCGCAACGCGTCTCTCCATCTCTTCCCCCAGATTTTCTGCAGAATAAGAATGTCCACCCCCTCCTCACCACTCCCCAAACGCCAAAAACCCAACCCAAGCATAGAAACAATGGCCTCCTCGTCCTCCGCACCCGTCACCAAAATCGAGGCCCAGCCCCCCCTGCTCATCAAGAAGCTATCCGACAAAGCCAAGCTCCCGACTCGAGGCAGCGCGTTCGCGGCAGGCTATGATATCTATGCATCAAAAGAGACGGTGGTGCCAGCGAGGGGAAAGGCGCTGGTGGATACGGATATTAGTATGGCTGTGCCGGCTGGAACATGTATGTTTTCTTCTTAATTCCAAGTTGGGAGCGTACCAATCAACTGAGGGGTATCAATCAATGCTGATGATTGTTTGCTGCAGATGGACGCATTGCCCCGCGCTCCGGCCTGGCGAGTAAGCATATGATTGATACTGGTGCGGGAGTCATCGATGCGGATTACCGTGGTCAAGTCAAGGTGCTGCTGTTCAACCACGGCGAGAAGGATTTTGAGGTTAAGGAGGGAGATCGCGTTGCACAGCTTGTGCTGGAGAGGATTTATACCCCGGAGGTTGTGGCTGTTGAGGAGTTAGAGGAGAGTGTTAGGGGTGCGGGAGGATTTGGAAGCACTGGGTAAGTCTGAGACTTCCAATTGTAATACACTGGTTGGATGATATGCGAGATGATTGGGATGATAATGGAGTTATGGTGTGCTGGATTGAATGTAGTAGATCTGAATCAAGAAATGGTTCACAACAACCTCAATGGTCTGGGAGATTTGTTCGTGTTCTGGAAACGTGCATGCAAAGCGCCCCTTGAATCTCATTGCTCTTTGTCCTCTATGATGCATAGCTTATCTAAACATTCTCTGCTCTAAATTTGACCTGTGGATGCTTTAGGTATTGTTCATTTCTTACCAGCCGAACCTCAGCTGCTTTTGACTGGGCCAGCTTCAACCTCTTCTCACTTTCCTCTTCAAAACCCTTGACTCTACTGTTGAACTTCTCCATCTCCTCGTCTCTCTTCTCCTTCGTCCTTGCTAAAATTCCATGCATGCTAGCCAAAACCTTCTCCAATGCTCGTGCAAGCGGTAAATCCGTCGCCTCTACATCATCGTCGCTGACCCATGAAGGTGTGCTCATTAAGCCCTCTATATTGCTCACTGCTTCCCGTAAACGTACAAGCATCAATGCAGCGAACATATCCCCGGTGCCACTGAAATAGCAATTGATCGTTGGTATCTTGATCCCAAAGATTCGAGGTTTCGCGTTTGAAGTAATCGTGGATCCTACAATCGATAGTGACGGCGTAGCCCCAGGACTCGGTAACGATATGGAGGTAATAATAATATGCGGAATCTGGTGCTGTTCGTGCAACGTCGATATAGCCTGCTTCAGCGTCTCGAAATCTATAATCTTAACCCCCGAAAGCGTCCTGTCCCCATCAGCACCACTCTCTTGTCCAGCCTCGAAGTATGAACTCACTCAGCCTCAAATTGATTCGGCAGAATCAAATCCGCGTCCTTTAGCAACAGTTTGTAAGCGGGCACGACATCCTCAGCCACGTACAGGTGTCCGTTATCGCCCATCACTGGATCCAACACCCAGAAGAAACTGCCGGGATTCATCGTCGCCTTGTACTTCAGATCCCGCGCGATGGTGCCCACGGCTTCGACGGAGGCGGCGCCTGGGAGGTAGCCCGAGAGCATCATGTCGAAGTCATCGAGGTAAGAGTCTTTGAGGCCTTGGTAGAGGTCTGAGATTTCAGTGGCAGTGGCTCGAGTGCCCTTTACCTGGCCGTAACCCGTGTGATTGCCTGTGTCCTTGCTCAGTATATTTTGGAGCAGTGGGAAGAGTGGAAGGTACTAAATTGAACGGTATTGAGGGCGGCGACTTCGCAGCCCAGTAGTTGCATTACAAAGGTCGCCATGGTGTTCCCAACATAGCTTGGCCTTACTCAGTGGGATGCCTGAAAAGATGGGAGGGCTAGCTTACCCGTAGACAACCTGGAGTCGGGTTAGCAGAGAGACGAGGAGAGTGGAAGGGCTCTCACATGGCTGGCGACCGCAAGGACGTTCGTTTCGGGAATGGGGAAGTCTGAATCTGACATTGTGTTTATTTACTTCCCGGGGGATTCGAAAAGGTGGGGTATCAGAATTTTGATTCTGTAGGTTGAAGAAAGGGTGAAAGACGGCGTTGGGAACGATTAACAAATTGCGAAAACAATGCGAAGCTGAAAAGATCGCATATTGCAGTATAATTAGAATGAGGGGAGTGGAAATTCCTCATCGAGGCAGTGATCCAAAACTATGGCGGGGCAGATCTTAAATGTTATATACCCCGCGCTAGTCCCGAATTGTATGCCAGTCTGCAGATCACTCGCACGATCACTGGTGCATCAAAACTGTAGACTTCAGGTGGAGAACGTGTATATTTTGTTCATTCCGTGGGTACGCTATCCGTTCTCTTAAGGGTCGCAAGTCTTGAATTTCTCCTTGATCTCCCATTAAATAGAACTGTCATCCATATCCATCCATAAAGTCAACCAACACGCCTTGTGGAATATGCTATATAACTCATGCCATCATCAATACCGTTTGGTACTTGTCACATTTACTCATCATCACCAATCTGAATAGAAAATTAGCATGTATAAGCAGGAATGAGCTGGCTGGCAGTATTTACCTTTGGGGCCAAGTAGAATCTTAGGTAGCTGTTTCCCGCCAATGCATATTCAACCAACAGAGGAACTTCGTTAGATAGGCAAAGCTTGACGGACTTTGAAAGACCAGCAGCCTTGCAGAAGTTGACGAGGTATTTAAGGGAGAAGGTCAAGGCGACGGGCTCGGTGAGCTCGATATCAACGTTGAGGTCTGGCTTGTCGACATTGGTATGACTTCGCAGGGTAACGGCACCGTTGCCGATATCACCAGCGCAAGTGAACTTAACACCGTCTTTGGAGGCTTCGATTGAGACTGTGGCGCGAAAATATTAGCCAGAGGCGTGTTCTAGAGAGCAAGAAAGCATACCGGACTCGGACAGCAGCATGAGATCCTGGCAGATTTTCCTGAAATCCGCAGAAGGCATGCTAATCGTAGCAGCGTACTCAGTATCCGGAATGCCCAAGTGCTCTTGATCAATATCCATGAGCTTTAAATCGTACTCGCTCAACCGATCGCTCTCGCTGCTCTCAAAGACCAAGTTGAGCACATCGGGAGCATCCTCAGCCTTGATTGTCAAAATGTCCTCGCTCGAGGCGGCGCGCAGGACTTTGGTAAGGGAGGTGAGGTTGACGCCGAGCGCGACGTTGCGATCGCACCGGTAGGGCGAGAAACTCTCTGCCTTTAGCATCATGGAGACTAGCGCGACGTGTGAGTTGTCCATAGCCTGGAGCGCAATGCCAGAGTCATTGCAGTCGAAATTGCAGTCCTGAACAAGGTCCTTGATTGCATCAACGACCTTCTTCAGGAGATCAGCTTGCTCAAGTCGTGCCTCCAACACTGCGAAGCGCAAGTCAGTATGTTGTCTACTTCTGGCAGATTTGGTATTGTACTTTGGCTTACTATTGTGTATGGGTGAAGGTAGGTTGAAAAGATTAATGGAAGTTGGAAATTCTGGCAAAGTTGGGATTACTGTTGTGTAAGGGTTTGGTCCGTTTGGATCTGGAGACGCGAACGCGGTTTGAAAAGCGCGTTAAGTGGCATGGTGGGGACCAATCAGCGTCCTATATTTGGCGAGGGGTATCAATATCACAATTCACCACCGCCATTTATTACATCTTCTTTATCTGTTTGAGAATTCCTGGCTCATGCATGGTGGATTATGTGTTTTTCGTGAGGATATAATAAGTGTGTTTACATCGGTGCTACTGTACCACGCTCTTCATACACAAACTATCCCTCAAATTCTTTCAAAGTAGTGAAGTATTCCTTATGATCACTTTTGTCCCAACGGACTTCTTGATTTTCTTTTATTGCTTTTCTAATACATACTCAACTAAGTCCTGTGAATCTATTAAGCCTTCTATGCAAGCAAGTGCAACGCAAGAGCAAAGTCCTAAAACTCTGCGTTAGACATATAGTCGTATCAAAGCTCGGTTGATGCTAGACAAAGATTCCGAAATGGCTTCACGACTTCTGCGATATACTCAAAATGATACGAGGCGAGACACAGAGAAAGCGAGTGCAGAACGTGGATGAGCATTCTAGAAAACGAGTCACAGAAAAGGACGAAGCAGGAACAGGACAGTATCGAAGCCAAACAGGGCTTGCAACAACAAGTTAAGTATTTGTCGGGAATGGCTAATGCTTTTTAAATCAGTAGTTGTAGTTTTTGAATTTGCCTCCTCAAAATGAGTCTGGAAAGGGATGAAAGTAAAACGGCGTACATCGAAAGCCAGCCATGCTGCCTGTTAAAGGAGCAATCTATCTGTTCGATCATTGACTCCTGCAAAAATTGCAACAAGATTTCTCCTTCTCGGAATAGACACCCATTCGTTCTTGCAGAACGTACGTAATCGCAGAATTCAAAATCATGGATAGTAGGATGAGGAAGATACTCCCTTTTCGCAGATCCCGGTGTGGTACCGCGATGTATTTGAAAATAGAATTTCGATTTCAACTTCGAGATTGGAAAGAGCGAATCTCACTCAGATAAGCTTTTGGAACACAGTGCTAAGTCTTCGGTTGGAAATAGCTTGAGGCCACAGCTCAACCAGAGACGTACCTGCTGGACCGCAAATTCGGCGTTTGTAGCCTTTCGAGAAAGCTGCCAGAGCTTACAAGATATCCTTGAGTACAAGAAATTCTCCGATGAATTTCGACTCGATTCCTCTGGCTTATCTTTTCCCTGGAGTATCTGACTCCGAGGCAATCGAAGCTTCTCGTGCACATCGTGTATAGATTTTTGAGGTGTCTCTGTCTGTCAAGCTAGTAGCGGAAATATACTTTTCCAAACCACACATCTCACTCAAAGCGATTGAACTAGCCAGTGCCTGTGCCACTGTGCATTATTCGTTATCTCAAAAAGAACCCCCCCCCCCCCCCTTGGGAGAGTTGTAATACTCATAATATCCCGCTGGCGATACTGCATCCGAGCATTGCGCGTTGCTTGCAAGCGATGTGTCGATGAGATCGTAGACTTCCGATGAAGGTATCCACGTATGGAGCGGAGAGGGCAAGAGACCACTTTAATAAACAGCCCCCCTTGCTCTGAAAGGAAAGGCACCACGAGGAAACGGCGAAGCCGAGAGATTATCCCGCAAGCCGGACGGGAACGTAGTTTGTAAATTCCGGGTTGGCTAGTAGAAGTTGTGCATGGATGGCACCATGGAAGCCGAAAAGTATAATGCAAGACGGACATATACATTATTCAAGGTTTATGTCTTGGAAGTCATGAAAGTAGTGTGCCTACTTTAATTTCAGTAGACGTTCAGATACTAGTGCGCTAATTGACCTAAATTGAAATATTGTAAATCTAAGACCACCCATGAAAACATACCTGAATAGGAAATCCAGTTTGGACTCACACAAATGAATTAAACACCACTTACAATCCTTGAATCTCAGTATCATCGTTATGTCAGCAAAGCCATGTTACACCTCATCTCGTATGTATGAGTAAGTCTATATCTAGTGGATGAGTAAAGGTTTGATGAGTCAACGAGGCGTCTCACCAAGTATCCGCAACGTAATTTGAGACTCTAGATGGCTTTCTGACTTTAGAAGTATACGAAGTAGTGCTCAAGAGGGCGCTGATTCTAATACCACCCGCCTACAAGAAACGTGGCGAGGTTTCGTGCCTCAGTTTGAAGTGGGCAGATCCAGAACTTCCAAAAGTGTGTTGCCTAGCATGGAAGTTTCCAGAGCGAATATCATTGAAATTTCGGAACTCGATCGGCAATCCCCTTAAAGCATCATCGTCAGTGTCACCGTACCTCGGTTTGAGGTGGAAGTGCAAGAGATGATGCATTACCCCTAACACGAGGCTTCCAACGACACCACCAACTTGTACCTTGCATGCAGACACCCAACTTCGGTATCGGATCAGGAACAAGTTAGAATTACGGCTTGAAATGGAACGTGAGCAAGACAATTAATAAACATACGAGCCAAACGTCGCCGATTACGGCTCAGCTTACACCTAGTTGATCCTCTTCGGGCATTATAACGAGAGACGCATCCGTGATGGTTGCAAATTTGCATTTTTGAGGCACGAGGAGAGGCAAACACCGCCACATTAACGTAGTGTCCTCCTGCAGTCAACCACACTGAAACGGATTAACTTATTCTCCGTTGGTCCCAGACAACCCGCTCTATGAAATCAAAATAGCCATATTGGGCAATTAAGAGATGGATGTAATCAATTAAGTTGTCTCATAGTTACAATTCATTCTCCGCATGTTAACGTCCCAACCACTTGGATTGGCCCGCTCGTTTGTAACCTCAACTAATGGTCATGGTTTCGAAAGCATATGACACGGCGGCAGATCGACAAGAAACTCGATCAAGAACATCCGTGAAGAAAGTATACACGGGGACAATGCTTGCAGAAACATATGCACTTCTACTAGACAATACTTTCCCACTTGCAGCAGTGGAGACCAAAAAGTACAACAACCTCTGAAGCCATATCGGAATCGCCATGGCACTTGCGCATCTCATTCCTCTGAAAGACCGGTCATGCCGATGTATTCATATAGAATCTGTGGAGAAGACTGTGCCGCATCCTCCAGAGGGGAAGTCTCCGGATTGGAGGACCAGGTAAGGTGTGGAGCGCTCCTTCCTGTTCTCAAAGCTTCTAGAGGGTGATTTGCCCCTCTATGTTGGGTCTGTTCCGATGAGAATAGTAAATTGTGCGTACATTGAGGAAGTTATCACGAGATTGCGTGGCACGCTGATGCTAGTCGAATATGAAGCAATGGCCTCGCCAATATCAAGATATGCAATGACACAGAAAGCCGCCTTCGTGCAGCGCCCAAGGCATCCTACCTTTGAAAGAAAATGGCACTCTTGGCCTCCGTCCTCGCTCTTTCGCAGACATCAGGTGAGTAGCACAAAGAAGTTTGCACAAACTTGTACCAATGGACAAGGCTGAAGGATTCCAAGTCGGCCGTTTGCCATCTAATCTTATGCCTTTTATGACGGCAGTGGCAGTCTGGCAGTGGTGGCCCCTTGCTCTTGCAGCCTCGATCGATGGCACCGTGGTACTACAGTACGTACAGAGCACCGACCCGTTTCCATAAATAGTTTCGAGTAGTCTGCGCGAACCGCAAACGGTGGGGCACTTGCCAGAAACGAGAGGAAATGAGGTAGGTCGCTGTGCCGTGCGAGGGAGGGCTTGGGGTCGGGTCGCCAACCAGAGAGAGATAATCAAATCTTCAGCTTTGGGACGTGGCGTGGCGTGCTGGGATGATTTGGGGATGGCATTCTGGCGTGTTGAAGCCCCACCGTTTCAGATCTCTGGCGGTTCTGTCATCTCGGGGCACAGTATTTTAAGACAATTTACTCGTACTGACAACCCACACCGGACTGAACCCAAAATACAGGTACAGTACTCGTAGAAAAGGCATCTTCTGATGACACTACAGCGTCATCTCACCCACGAGGCACATGGCATGGGTAGCTTGCCTCGTAGTGCAGCTCTTCTAAGACGTGAATGAAAACGGTGCATCGGGTTGAAAATGACCGGTGTATGTATGTAGATCTATTATTCAACCTCACCAGCTGCGTCGTGTCAAGAGGGGGGAAATGACGGGAGCTCTCGGTCTGACGATGGTGCTTACTCACTCACTCACTCATACCTTGCCATGCCATGCGACTTTTAGATGGGGAAAGCTGCTGAAGCTGCAGCAGCTGCAGGTGCAGGTGCGGCTGCAGGCAGGTACGCCGCTACTGTAGCAGTGCAGTGTAGTGCTACAGTACTGTAGAATTCTAGCCTCTCCCTCCAATCAGCAGGCCGAGTCTGTCCGAGCCGACGTCGAGCATGCTATTCTGGAAAGGGGCTGTGTTTCCGACTGTCAACTACAAACAAATCAAACGTCGTGTGTACCTGACTGAACATATGGACGTCGTTCTTATTATTCCATGCATTAGTAGAAACTCATGCTCGTTACTGATTAACGTAATTGTTTCTTATTTGAGACTATTATTTCGCACATCTAGTTCCCGAAGTCTGGGTCTTCATTCAGGCTGCCTTTGTGTCACACCTCTGGCAGGTAGACTTTTCCTCCAGCCGTCAATAGTACTCAATAATGTAAGCCCCGGGTTTCAGCCCCATGCGCATTCTCAGGACGTGTGATGTTATGATAATTCTTTATTTAAAATTTGAAGTAGACTATTGAAGGGTATAATGTTCTCAAAAAATGTCGTCAACCATAAGCGTCCTGATAATCGTACAAGTACACTTCTAAACGGAGAACCCCCATATTGTTGCCAAACGAATGATTTTCTACTGCCCGACTCCCCATACCCAAGCCCTAAAAGCAAATACTCCAAAAAATGCATGTAAACCCTTGCTGCCCACCCTATGAGTTCCTCCGTTGCTTGCACTTCTCGTGCGCCATGTGGCCATTTCGTGCAGTAGTTCTCGTAAATTCCGCTCCACAATTTGGGCAACTTGACTTTGCTGCGGCCCCAGACTTCTCGCGCTGATGTCGTAAGAGGTTGCTAAATGTAGAAAATTGGCGCCCGTTACAGCCGTGTTCCCAGCACTGTGGCTTAGGACGGCTGTGAACGACCCTAACGTGGTCTCCATTATCCGAGGAACCGATTTTAGGAAGCTGGTGCTGGTAAAGACTTGGTTGAGATCCGACTGATGAAAGTGAGTGTGAGTGTGGTCGGCCAACGAAGCTGTGAATGCTAGACTCTGGACCGGCGTTCGAGTACGGCAGAGATGTGAAAGTTGGTGTTGATGTGAAATCGTTTGGGCTCCTAGCAAGTCATTAGTCTCCATCTTCTTGATACAGATGTTATGGGCAAAACTTACATTGTGAAAACTGGGCTGTACATATCAGACTGTCCATTCTCGGCGAGCTGTGGCGAGTATGGCGTCAAGTAAGAACTGCTGCTCAAGGCAGGAGATGGATGTGCTTGTTGTTGTGGAGGAAGCGGCCCCGAAGCTAGAAGAGGAGATGGTGTGAGGCTTGTTGTGTACTCGGGAAGTGTTCGTGGCAACAGTTCTGGAGAAGCTCTCTGGGACACAACATATGGGTTGCTTGTTGAACGTTCCCGTCTAACACGATCACGGGTCTTAGAATCTCTTCGTGCGTGATCACGCTGGCGCTTCAACTCTCTCTGTTCAGGAGTAAGGCTTGCCCGTGGAGGACTGGATGAAATAGAACGAGCGTAGATAGGCATCATCTTAGGCTCTTCGTATGAGAGAATGTTAGGGCTCAAATGAGGGCTAGAGATTTGGGGAATGAATTGCTCATTCATCTCGAAATCTAGATATTGTTAGTATGCTTTGAGGGATATGAACATAAGCTAGAAACTTACGAGGCCATGTGTATGATTGACGAAGTCCCGCCTCAAAGCGAGCATCGTATTGCTGAATCCCAATAGTAGACATGTTTGCTGGTATTGAGTTGGAACGTGATATTGATGATTGTTCACCGACACTGTCTTGATCTCCAAGATACGATTCTGGTTCAAATCTGAGTGCAAGTCCTTCTATTGATCCTCGAGTCGATTCTAAGTAAGATAACTCGGCGTGCAGATCACTTTGTGATAGTAACGGAAAAGGAGTGAGTTGCTGAGGAGCAGGTGAATCGATGATAGATGATGGTGATTGAGTTCTGTCCTGATGTGGAAAGGAGCGTGGTGGTTGAGAAGGATGAATATCAGATGATCCAAGCGTTGGTAAAGGAATGGACTCAAGGATGTTTAAGCCTTGAAAGTGCGATGCTGTTGTGGAGAGATGGGAGTTGGCTCTTGATCTAGATTGACGTGAGTCTTCTGTGCTCGAGTCTATATAGAAGGAGTCCATGAGAGCAGGATGAGGGGCTGTGACTGGTGAAGGCGGCACATACGATGGATTTAGATGAAAGATACTCGAAATAGATAAATACAGTTACGCGTGAGCTGTAGGATTTATAAACGTGGGGATATCGTGGCAGGGAAGTCCTTTGTTTAAATGAGTAGATGAGATGAGAACCTATTTGGGAGAGGCATAAACGTTTTCTATCACTTCGCCTCAAAAGTGACCATGGGAAACAGGGCTATAATGTATCTTCGAGTAAGCCCCTGTTGGAATAACCTGGTCCAGGGTTTCTGTAGCGAGATTCACGCCATTGGTCGATCGCACTTGACTTGGCAAGAGCTTTGAAGGATTCGGCCCCCTGTCACGCTAGTAGCCTCCATTGATAGAAACAGCTTTCCCGTTCTCTGGAATTTTGGGCAGAAGGTAACAAAACCGTACAACGGCAAGGCTCCCTCGCGCGCCCCTAGCAAGGACAGCCTGCATGGCACTGGTCGCAGAGCTGCAAGCTCCGAGCTTGCCCGCTGGAACTACTTGCAAGTAGAGTACTTTGTCATTGCAAGCCGCCTAGAGCTACTATATACAGCATACTTTATAGTAGTGCCTTCCTGAGGGCTAAATGGTGTGTACGATGACTGGGGGCGTGAGTATATGGTTCTGTGCTCTGTTCTTTTGCCTTTATGTTGCTATGCTGCTCATGCCGCAAACATGACCGCATCTGACCTAACAACGACCACCGGAATATTAAATCGCAGCATAAAACGAGATTAGGAGAGCATGTGCTCGCCGACCAGGCAACCGGTGCTGGCCATATAGCTGTGCACATTCGCTGGCTCGCAATTCGCAGCCTCGTCAAGTAGGCAAGGGTACCTCCACTGTAAGCAACTGTGGAGCTACAGTATTCGCTGAGCTCGAGTCGTAGTCAGGTACAAGCTTCTGTGATTCTGTAACACGCTAACTCACCCCCCTCGTGCTCACACGTACTGTGCCACCACAAATCTCCAGAAATATCTTCAAGTCGCAACGGCGCGGTAAACTGGTGTAAAATCCAGCCCCCTGACTGTGTTCGACTGCCGGTACAACCGCCATCCGGCGTGCTACACGCGATCGTCTCATGTTACCATACCATATTATTGAGCGCGCTCACCTATTGTAGCCCGTACCTGCATCGCATTACTCTGTACGGTAAACCTTCAGACGCAAGAGGCAAACACTCAACACCTCCTGCATTGAACGTGGTATCAGGGGCGAGTTTGTCGCGGCCTCGAGTCTGCAGCTCTTAATCAAACGCATACTGTTCCTTTAGAATCCTGAGGTACAGTACAGTCCATCCGTGTAAACACTGCCATGATGATTCCAGGCTATCTTGCATTTTCCATGATCAATTTGGGCCTGTCTGCGATTCGTCCTCTTGAGTGGAGAGTCTGAAGATAGGAACTCCTGTAGGTAACAATTAGGCGCTATCAACAACCGCTGCGCGGGTGTTATTTGGGGTCGTGCCTGTGAGAATTTGGGTCTTGAGGGCCCCATGCAAGCACTAGGATATGCCTGAATGATGGAGTATTGCAAATCGCTGTCAAAGAAGGTTTACGCAGCGATTAGTTTCCGAAAAGCCACACGTTCCCTGATGCACTGATGCCCTGACTGCCCTGATCGTCCGATCCCCATGAGATCGTCACGCTTCCAGAAGCCCTTGTAGCATTCCGACACCTGACATTGGACGCTGGAAGAGTCGTGATTGGCCATCTATTCTGGTTTCAAAGTAGAAACTAGATACTGTACTTTCGTACCAATCGGTCTTCGCATAGAATATGACCCGCAAAAGTAGCTTATCCGGGCTGGGAATAACGACTTGGAATGGCAAGCTATCTGGGGGTTATAATAAATTCATTTCCCATTGCTCGGAGTACTACAGATTAGTCTCTTGCTCTGCTGTTGGGGTTTCCCGGTATGCTGGAAATCCATAATTGTGGACTTGAACAAGTCAGTAAGTCTACAGTAAGTCTACAAACGCTACTCGTACCCGCCCTATAGAACAACGGGAACGGGGTTAAGCGCGGCGATTGAGGCGTTGAAAGGTCCCCGAAATAGCAAGCTTGCGCCTCTCCACATTAAGGCAAGAAGTTATACAAGCGCCGGGAGAGATATGGGTTATCTGGATTATGGGGTCCAAGTCTAAGGGCTTCAACCACGAAGCTCTTCCTCCGCCCATAGTAAGTAGATTTCGGCACAATAGAACTAGTCCGAGATTAATACTTGTCCCGCGAAGTACTCGATGTCCGACTAAATTGTACGTATTTGCGGACGAAGTATGCACCAATAGAAAGATGCGATGTGCGAGCACACCATGCCCCGCTCTTGACATGGTATGGACTAGTAGACTCTACCCGCACTGCATGACCTCCCTTGTAGGAACTAGGCGTGATAAAGTTTAGTGTACTTCCTAAATATAAATAAGTTTCAACAAGTAGTGCTAATGATCGTGCGTTTAGGATCATTAAGAAACCCGACTATGGCGTAAAAAGAGATTGTTTCAGAAAATCATGTAGTTTACCCAGGTCCCAGGCTGTCCAGCGCTGTACGCTTCTAGTAGCACTGGTATTCGACCTGCTAATTAGCTATACACCGCTAATCTCCTGGAATAGAAGTCGAAGATCGGGACTACTTGCTGTATAGTATATACTCTAAATTGAGAAAACTGTACTGACCGCTACCCGCATTAGTGAGAGTCCACAATGAGTCGAGAGCTGCTTAACGGCGTCCTAAGTCAAAACTTGGACTGTAAAGCTTTTGGTACTCACTTGAAAGTATGTGCAAGATACATCGTCATCAACCCTGCAGTTGCGACAAGTTACCCAGTATGGTAATTGTCTAGACAGGCACTGTAAGCTTAAGTCCTTCGAAGAAACATACGCAATCCGATCGCATACGCAGTACACTCACACGGTTCACCATCCAAGCTGTACACCGAGACTGCCATATTGGTCCAATGGCGCCCTTGTCAGATTGTCTAAAGAGGCGATTCCGGGTCCTTTGCTCCTTCGGTCTTTAGCCCTGTTCAAAAAAAGAGTAGATCGATTTTCAGATGATCGAGGCCCAGAACCCTTGATCAAATCCCCCGCCACATCGGCCCTGACGGACAAGGCCGTAGGATGCCGCTCTCTGAATAGTGGAGCCCGTCTTTTGAGGCTCGTTGGAAATCATGAGGGTGGAAGGTGGTATTCGCTACGGCTATGTTCTGCGGCGTAGAAAAATCACCAGTTTGATCGTCGGCGAGCTAATCTCCTCTCAAAACTAGTTATTTAGCGCCTGCTAAGCCATTATCAAAAAAGATACATTCTGCGGAGTTACGAACCTAAGTATGATCTCATAGAAACGAGTGAGGCCGAGGTTGTCAATGATATCTCATTTGTTCTCCAACTGGCGAGTTGCCCGGTTGGCAAGGAATTTGACAAGCCGAGCCCCTCACCACACTTACTCGCATTTTCAAAGGTGTTTCATGCCAATAATAGACGGGCTACCTTGACATGGCCATTTGCGGTTTGTGAAAGAGATCCTAGCAAATCCACCTACTAATGGGAAATGGGAAATGCATGTAAACAACAAGTCTAGAATCTCGACCAAGATATCCTTGTGACTTTGACGAGGTCTCTGGACTTGGATCGGCAAATAAAATAGAACGTCTGAGAATTGCTGAGACTTGCACTGGTATCATCCGTATTCCGAGCTAAATAAGTGCTGGACTTTCGTGTCCCTATCCCTATCGCCGACCAAATGTTCGCCTTGGGAGAGAAAGTCTCCTCCTATTGTAAGATCCGACTCGCCACTCCTATTTTAGGTACCAATGCTTCAGCCCTGCTTCCCAAATGCGCTCAAAAAACTCCACGCCTATGTAAGTAAAAAAATTTCCCGTTACGAACTCCCTAATTCAATGGTCGAGCAAAATCGATTCGGAAGAATTGTTCTGGGTTGGACGCTGGGTATTTTACTACCTTGATGTCTTCAGGCAGAGACCATCCAGCGATTCCTGAGTTCTACTAGAGCTTCCCATGACGAGCTTTGAAGATAGCCACCTTATCGTCGTAGAATAAGATTTCTCGCAGACGAAGTCTGACCTTCGATTTACCATCCTCAGAACCATCAAAAGAATCAGTGTCTGAGTCGTCGTGGTCAGACATTTCTGACTCTGTCTCATCGGGATCAATAGGGATTTGAGTCCCGTTGTCATCTTCTTCGTCCTCATCGTCATCCTCATCGCTTCCCTCTTCGTCTTCATCGTCATCCTCTTCGTCAGTCACGCCGGAGCCAAAGTTCGCAGCGCTCGAGTGCGCGTCTCCCGACCCATGAGCCTCGTCATGGGGCCGATTTTCCAAGATTTCGAAGCACTTGTGCGAAACGCCCATGTAACACAACTCGACCTCAGGGCGCAGAACGATTACATCGACGACTTGCATAGCTAGTTCTCGAGGGTCGAACGCAGTGGTAACGTGGTCGGCAATAAAGGGAATGTTCAGAGAACGGAGGTGAGGAACTTGAGGTAGACGTTGGAGGAAGTGATGCTGGAAGTGTTAGTACATTGCGTAGCTGGAAGATCACCAGATACCTAGGCATCAGTCGACTTACCCAATCTTTATAGTCAATAGCAATACTCAGCTCTCGAAGGTTACACATGCGTCCACTCGTGATAAAGTTAAGAACATCGCGGTTTGGCATCCAGGCCCTGTATTTTGAGCTATCTGACGAGCTTGTTGGCCCTCTGGGGATTTTGTCTGAACTGTCTAGCATCAATTTCCTAAGGCTTGCACGATGTCTCTTCAGTGGACCCCGGTAGATAGCGTCCTGAAGTTTGATAGTCAGCTCATGTCAAGCTCGATATATAATATTTCAGGTTTGCGGGATGCTTACAATTGTGACACTACTTGTGTTGGATCGTTTGCGATCTTGCAAAAAGAGCGTCTCCAAAGTATTTGGTGCTAGAGTATCTTTTAAGAAGGCAATGAGAGCAGGAGAAGCAGCGTCCGTATGTATCTTTTTAAGATTCAGGTGATACTGCATTGATACGCTAGATCCATGTTTTGAAGAATGAGTGCTGCCCAAAGGTGATGGTTGAAAGTGCCGGCGAAGCATGACCCACAGTCTATCGTGTTGAGAGCAATCGAGAATCGTCAAGTTTGTCAATACTGACCAGTCCAAGCCCTTTTGAAGTACGGCCACAGACAAGGGAATACGTTCCAACTCCAAGGTTTGAAGTCTCAATTTCCCTTCCAATCTTTCTCTTTCCGTAGAAGAAGTTTCAGAGAAGTGCGAGTGTCTTTGACTTTGGGTTTGTGAGCGACGTAATGGAAGATCTGCTATAATGTCTGGTTGTGCGATATCATGACTCTGCAAATCTACCGCCGAGTCAATTCCGTGAGCTGATATCAGAGCGTTGAGAGAGTCCACATCAGACTGAGCAGATTCTAGTGGCGGGGTAGCGGTCAGCCCAGAAGGGGGAGCAAGTATGTTGAGGTCGTTTGAATCAGTTGGCAACGATCCACCATCAATGTTGAATGTGACTCCAGGTGATACTGCTTCACTGCCAGTATTGGTTTTTTTGCCAATCCAATACCCATCTGCGGAGCTATTCAACGGATCTGATACTTGATTCCCCAAAATATCGTCAGTTTGCATGTCACTTGGGAAGGGAATTTGTGTTTCTGTGTGCTGCGACTCCATAGGCACAGGAGTAGACGAAGCCATAGTCGCAATTCGCTCTTTCTTTTCTGACTTCGTAGTCTTTTGCTTCTTACGAATATCAAAAATGCGCCCTAAGAGCACGCCCAAAACTCCTCCCAGCCGCCGCTCAGGTATTGTGCTTGCTCCAGGCCACTGTGCATTGTGATCAACTTGGTGAAGTCCATCACCATCCCAGGCAAGTGCAAAGTCTCGGCTGACTGCCTTGGTAGATATTCCAACCCGCAATTCACGTAAGCGGTCTTGAGATTTCGCAATTAGAACACTCATTTCGTCCAGATAGTCAAGTTCGTCAATGTCAAGCACAGATAGGCTCTTCAGGGGTGGCAAAACACTCAGTGTTGGATACTCAACATGACTTTGTGCGTAGGACCGCGGGTAAGGGGTGCCAGTGGGGTTGGGAAGAGGCCCAGGGGGTAGAGTCCACCCAATAGATGTCATAGTACTAGTAGCCAACATCTGCGGGGTGGTATTTGAGTTCGTTGCCGCGCTTTGAGCTGCTGTCATATTTGCTGGGTCAGAGTTATCATGCCACCTAACCCAGACCCGCTCTAGTCGACAATCGTGGTCTGCATTTCGACTTTGTAGGGAGGATAAAGCCAGCCAAACATCCCGTAAGACGCCAGTGGGCATGTCCCAGACAAATGTTTCCAAGTTCACCATCCTAGCCACGGCAAGCGCAACTAGAGTTCCAAGCATCTTTCCACTTTCTTTCGTAATCAAATACTCTTGTACCCAGTCCGCAGGCCCATTTCCAAGAGAGAACTTCCGTGTAAATTGGGGATATTGATTTCCAAGTCGCCGCTGACCACTGCGGGGTGATGACACCAGATCATGGCGGCATTCTGCACTATTGACGGTACCACAATTCGTGCACGTATAGGATTGTTCTCTATTAAGGTCTGTAAAGACGTTCCCCATGCACAAAGTAGCAAGGCCATATGTGAGAGCATCCACTCCGGTCCTCGGGTCCGTTGTTGCATGGGCGTCTGGCCATACAATGTCAAATCGTGAGTAAATATGGGGAATAGCGAGGTTATGCAAGGCAGAGTGGGTGAGGGCCAGTGCAGTCAGGTCATTTGTATGGGTTACCTAGATAGAGATAGATGAATGGTTAGCTCTGAGTATGGATGTTGATGGATTAAGCCGCCTACCTCTTTGACGATCTCTTTCAATACGTCCATAGGTAGATCCAGTAAATGTAGGGGACCTTTCTTCTCCACAACAGCCGTCCATTCTTGCTCTTTGTCTTTTAGCAGGCTCGAGATCTTGGTCCTGGCATCAATACTGATCCTCTCCGACTTCTCCAAAGCTTCTGGCTCGTTGGGATACATTCGGGGTTGGTCGGCATAGCCGTTTGTCTCTATATGATTCGATGGCTGGTAGGCCGCGGACGTCTTTGGGATGGCTATCGGCTGGTCATCTGGCTGTGAGGTCGTATCGCTGAGAGTAAGATCAGGGCTTGGAAGGTTGGCGGTCATGATCTTTGAGGGTAGAGTTGGAGTCGGAGTTGGAGTCGGACTCTAAGCTGTGTTTCAAGGCTTGAGCTTGAATTTGAACCGTCACGTTGCGCAGCCCGGAGCTGAACACGCATTATTGGCCAAGGAATACCCGTACCATCAAACCAGTACAGATCCAATGGGTTCAGCACTCCTAAAAGTATTCAATATGGCGAAAGTGCTGGTTGGGATGGGTGAGGTGAGATGGCTGGATGGGTCAACAAGGTAAGGTAAGGCGGCAAGTTTTGACAATCTGGGGTCGTTGGCAAACCAATCATTCTAACCCTCACCTGGGTCATGTGACTGGTTTCATCGAGGCTGAAGGCGAGGCGACGGCGACTCAAAGAGGGGTTTACCGTAGATGTTTCTAGTAAATGCGCTTACTGGTGCTTGTTATTGGAAATACATGTGGTGATATACGGGTATTCAAGGTATACCAAGGATTTGGGGATTCTTGAATGGGAGACGTAGAAAGAGTACTGGTTGTAGTAAAAGGTATATGGGTGTACTGGTACAGGTAGTTCGGCTGACCGATTTCTTGAAAGTTCTTGAATCCCTTGCTCAAGATTAATGGTCCACGAGAAGCGGTTATTATGGTTTGCTTAGTATGGGATGGATATGGCATGTTAGCTTCACGTACTTCCTTCGTACCACTCGTTCATCCATCCAAATTGATCCATTGTTGTCTAGTACAGTACTTCGCCCCTTTTTAGAGTAATACGGGGGTCGCTAAGTTCGCTCGTGCGGGATGCACAAAGCGGCACTTATTATCATCACTTTTGCTATGTAGTCGAGGTAGTGCCGGGTTAGGAATTGGTGCCGCTTTTATGTTCCACTGTGAACTTTGCAACAGACGGGGGACGCAACACGGAACAAGGGCTAATAACTATCCCTGCTTTGAGGCGTAGCAGTCGCCGCACTTTCATCATCGCTATATACAATCCGCGTCAGGATACACCGGGCATCCTTTGTAGGAATCACGACCTTTTCATGAATCTGCTCTGCGTGCGTGCAGTCAATGGGGAGAGAAGATATATTGTAACTCCTTAAGACGGCGGCACAGTCTTGGGCTAAACAAGCGCTCAGGTTCCACCCCGCCAGAACCCCAAACACCAAACGCCGTGCCAACTCTCTAGCAACACAATATGTCGACAGCTTCCTCCCGATCTCGGCCAAATAGGCGTTTGAATAGCGTTCAGAACTTCGATCGCTTGTCAATATCTCGAACTACCTCTCGAACACGATCAAAGGCCGTGAGCTACAACGATGCATATACCTTTGCTCTCCGAGTTGCCTACCTTCACCACCTCCTCCAGCCCCGAGCGAAGAGAAAGCAATATGTTGCAGCGGCACCGACCCCCAAACTCGCAACCCGAAAATCAGTGATGATCGGAGATCTAATTCAAGATTTCTCGCGAGTGAAGGACACCAAGAGCGCAAAGTTTCCCCACGGCTTTATGTCACCTCTAGAGAAGCGTATTCAGGGTGTTCTCATGGGGACGGAGAAGCTCCCGGGATACAATGATGCTGCGGTCAAGCGTACATTCGCTGAAGCCTATACAGCCTTCACTGAGCAGGGCTTCCGGAAAAGAATGGACAAGGAAAGGCGCGTAGAGGATTTGGTGTTGATATTTTATTCCAACGCAACCAAAGCGCTCCAGAAGGGCAAGGCTCCAGATGATGATACGTGGAAGCTCTTGGTCGATCGCCATGTGGCCCTCTTTGTCAGATTGATCAGTAACACCTTAAAAGACCATGGCGACGACAAGGACAGACCCGAGCTCATGACTCGATTGACAACACTGGAGAAGAAGCTATTGACAAACGATCAAGATTTATTCATTGATAAAGGGGATGGACAGGCTGGAAGTACTGTAGAAGTCGTGATCCCACTCAGCCTGGAAGTCAAGGATATGGCTATGGTACAAACTGTAGCAAAAATATTTGGCCTTCGAAACTCGCAGGTACAATCCGACATTGATGCCAACAAAAAAATATGGACGGAGGAAGCAGCACTCACAGACCTGAAGGCTTACCAGCATTGCCTTGATTCCAATACCAAGCGAACTCTAAGAAGTGATGATTTTGATCTCGACGAAGGATATCAAGCTTGGAAGAAGGGTGAGGTGCCGGACTTGTCTCAAATGATGGCTGAAATATTGCAAGCCAGGCCTGAACTCGTGAAGACTACGGGAACAAACAAACCCCTTCCACCAGTTCACTCTGCTTCAGCAAGCCTTTCCGAGGACAAAGCATATTCCGACTTGGCTAAAACAATTGCGAGTCCTGTGGAGCCCAACTCATTTTATTCCTTCGAACAGCCTGCTGATATGAGCTCTTTGTCAATAGAAGAAGATAACCCTCGTCGACTTTTCCTCGAAGAATCTACGTATACATTCATCCCCCCAGATCCACGTGCGTTTTACAGATCAATCCTGATGCACGCAATGACATTCGACCAACTCCACGCTCCCCAATCAGGAGAAGGACCTGTTGCAGCATCGCTCTTGTCTCGGGCTTCAATAGACCTTGTAGCTGAATTGTGCGTTCGCTGGCGAATTCCACAGTTCACTAGGCTTGTCCTGTTTCTGGATGTTGCGACGCAAAAGTTCTTGGACCAAGAGATTGGACTAGATGAGATCGACACTGCCTTCGAATTCGTCAAATCTCCGCCTCCTGAACCTAAACGTGCACATACGCACACACATACTCAACCTGTCGGCTTGTCGTCAATGGATCAAAGTCACTGGACAGTGTCGGATTTCGCCCTTTATCGCCAAGTACTTTCAAGTTTGCATGACGCTCTTCTTCGTGATCTATATGATCTATTGCAACATTGTTACGATACAAAGCCTCCCTCTCCGGGTCCTGTTCTCATGGTCTTGGAGAGCCATATCTTGAGCGACCCTTCATTTTCTCAAGGTCCTAGCGAGGTTGAATCATACAAGAATCAGCTTACCGAGGGTCTGACCTCCAAGGCTGCAGCTGTATACCGCGGATACCTCGAGACTGAAGTGCCGCAGAATCAGGAAGAGTGGCAATTTTATCACGTTGTTCAACTTGGTAAGGCTGTTGTAAAGCTTTGCGAACGGATTCAAAAGAGATATCGAAAGAATCCAGAAATCATGGGAGTAAATCCTTTGACGATTCTCGTCGAGACAATGTTCCCGAGCTTCGAAAATGATGCTGGTGACTTAATTCAGCGAATTCTTCATGTTGCGCGGAGCAACAACTCTGAGGTTGATCTACAGGATGGCTTTGATTTGTATAAAGAGCTTGTGGAAATCCGTCGTATTCATCATTCCGCGCTTCCAAACCGACCATTTGCGTTTCACATCGAGGGCCTTCTTGCCGAATTTGTATGGCGTTGGATCGCTGTGACAGATGAGAAGATGTTAGGGCTCGTGAACGAAGCCATCAAGCAAGACGAATTCCAAGTCCGATCCGATCATCCAGAACACGGCGCTACAGATGATGAACGGCACAGTGTCTCTATTATCGATATTTTTCGTTTGTTTAATCAAACTGCAGATCAAATATTTCAATTAGAATGGGATGATGATGTTCAGTACGCAAAGTTTATGACAGCCCTTTCGAAATCTTTTGGCGTCGGGCTTGCTCGGTACTGTGAGGTCATCGAACAGAGGTTTAGTAAAGAAATGGATAGATTGTCGCCTTTGCAGGAAGCAGCCGCTTTGCAAACCAAACAGGAAAAATGGATGCAGCTTGCCAAGGATGCCTGGAACAACAAGGAGAAAATCGAACCCTTTCAATTCTACCCTGAGGTACAACAACCCTACCATAATAATCTACTGGGGCCTTGCTGACATGTCTTAGTCTTTTGTGAAATTAAACAATATCGAATACGCCGTTCAGCAACTTGATGTTCTTGAGAAAACGATGAATGTTGATGCTTGTGCAGAAGTGCTGGCCAAAAATGCACCCCCTCGTGAAAAGTCACGGCGAACAAACAAATATGTCTTCACTATCAAGATTGTGGAGGCAGAAGAGCTCAAGGCTTGTGATCCGAATGGGACTAGCGACCCATATGTTGTTCTTGGGGACGAGTATCAAAAGCGACTAGCGAAGACCAGGGTAGTGATGAGAAATCTCAATCCCCGCTGGGACGAGTCAGTTGATATCACAGTTCAAGGTGCTCTCAATATTATCGCAACTGTCTGGGATTGGGATACCTTCGGTGATCATGATTACGTGGGAAGGACTTCCCTCAAGTTGGACCCTACACATTTCAGCGACTACATGCCACGAGAATACTGGTTGAACCTGGACACCCAAGGCCGACTACTACTACGGGTCAGTATGGAAGGGGAACGGGACGATATCCAGTTCTATTTTGGCAAGGCTTTCAGGTTGCTGAAGCGGACGGAGAGGGATATGACCAGAAAGATCACAGATAAGGTATGTCTTGCAAATGAGAAACAATAACAAAGCTAATGTTATGTAGCTATCCACATATATCAGCGCATCGCTCTCTCAGGATGCCCTAAAAATGTTGCTGTCACGAGGAGGTATTTCCGTAGCTGCAGTTACAAGTCTATGGAAGAATCGCCAATCTATTGTCCCGAGTCTTACCCCACTAGACATCGAAAATGCGCTGAAACCTCTTTTCACCTACTTCGATGAGAACTTCGCCATCATGAAACAGACGCTAACAGATGCATCAATGGTTATGGTCATGACTCGCCTATGGAAAGAGGTCCTGCTCGCCATCGAAGGTCTCCTAGTCCCACCTCTCTCAGACAAGCCGTCCACCCAAAAACCCCTAACCCAGCAAGAACTAGACATTGTCTTCCGCTGGCTCCAACTACTGTTCGACTTCTTCTACGTCCGCGACGAAGAGACAGGCGAAGCAATGGGTGTACCAGCCGACGTTTTGAAATCGCCCAAATACCACGAACTCGCCTCCCTCAACTTCTTCTACTTTGACACAACAGACAGCCTGATCCGCACCTCGGAGCGCATGGCCACCGCAACCGCTCAACGCGCACAAGCACAGCGGAACCGCCTTTCTGCGCCAGCCAGTCTGGGTGCTTCGTTTGGAGGCCTTATGGGGTCTACTTCCATGCGCCGGACGAAGAGCATCATGCTAAGTCGCAATTTGGGCACCATGAAGAAGGCAAAGGAGGAGAAGAGGAAGGAGGCGCAGGCTGATCCGAGTGATGACATGATATTGAGGATCTTAAGGATGCGGCCAGAAGCGGCGCCATATTTGAGGGATAGGAGTCGGCAGAAGGAACGACTGGCTGCTGCGGCGGCGGCGGAGACGATTGTGAGGCAGAGTCTTGCGAGTGGCGGAGGAGCGAGATTTGGAGCGAATAATTTACCGTTGAGGAGATGATTCCTTTTTTTCTTGCTGGACTTTGGAGGTCGTTATGGCGAAGGTGTTTGGGCTCTAGGCATGGGGGAGTTTGACGCGGGCGTTGAGAAGAGATACCATAGTGCTACTTTTCTAGTCTCTATTAGATAGGGACGGTTATTGATTTGCGTGTAATGAAGATTCTTATTTTGTTATACTATACGTGAGATTGATAAGTGTGTGTTTTGATATTATAGAAGTAGATGACATAGCAGAGGTCTGGATAGTTACGCAACATTCCTCCGTTCCGGTAATCGTTACGACCCCTCCCCTAGAGGTAGTCCCTAGAAGAAGCCATCAAATGCATATATGTACCTACCTGAGTATTTACAACCAACATTCAGTCCCCTATCCATCCCCCTTCATCTTCGCGCTGCAACATAAACCTACAGTACAGTACCATTTCACAACAACGAATACTCGGCGCAAACTCGGTAAGTGTAGTGACCCGCAATTGGTACAGCACACTGTCCAACGGTTCCTCCCAAGGCGGGAAGGATCGGTGGGGAGGTACGGAGGTACGAGTACAGACTAAGTGTGTGGAGAAAATAAGCAATGGGCTTGGGGCTTGGGCTAAAAACAGACAGGTACAAGCACGTCCACGCCTGAGTCAGGAATACACGAGTAGGGAAAAAATTAATAATGCTGAAATGAAAAATAGAAAAAATTATATCCGTATTAGTCAACTAGGTGATAGATGAGTGAGGATGGAGGAATAAGGAGTATGTACCTATGATGTAGAGGATAAATTAAGGTGAGTTGGTTGGTTGTACATTGTACTTGTTTGTCACTTGTTACAGGTATACACCAGCCAAAAAAACATCGGAAGTATGAGATGAGATGAGGTTATTTATGAGGGGTACTGTAGAGTGACATCATTTGTGATTTGATGATTTTATTTTGGGGGGGGAAAGGGGAAAAGGGGCTCGAGGGGGTCAAGAAGCTGATCGGAAAACGACAAACGACCCGCGAGATTTTACCGAGTATGAAGTAGTAGCGGACATGTATGAGTTTTGTTGCTGATCGCGAAGATCGTACTCTGGGATGCGGTATCTGAAACATCTCAGCTGTTCCAGGTTGCTTGTCTCTGTTACTCCGTACGGGCTGGGAAGATCTGCTTTGGGGTAATGGATGGACGATAAGGGAAGGAGATGTGATGTGGCTTGTGGGTGATAAGTGCAATGTTATTGTGTAAATGAGTGAGAAAGTGAAGGCTTGTTCTGGGGAGAAATGGCTGCTTAGACATGTCAACGAGTTTATAGAAAGTTTGTTATAGAGATTTCTAGTTTTTTGAGTATAACGCAAGTATGAGATGCTTATATCTGCATTCATACTCAAAAGATGGAGAGGAGGCGTTGGAACATGATTGTACGTACCCTCCCCTCCTCGGTATGAGTACCCTTGCTGCAGGAAAACGCCTCTGATGTCATAGGTAGGGTCCTGGTTATCCCGTCTCTACCAGGACAAGGCTTCACTTCACTGGTAACTTGGAGAGAGTTTATTGGAGAGGTTATTAGAGGGGGAAGGTTGGGAGAATATACTACTACGGAGTAATATAAATCTTCTTTCCTGACTGGCTTGTTCAACTCGCACGAGGTCCTTTCCAAGCATTTGAAGCAGGGCGGATTCCCTGCCTCCACGTCGTAGGCGTCCAATAGGATAGGGAGGTGGGCGGATATGGGCGGCCTTTGTGTAGATGGCACGGACGGCACTGTTCAAATCAGAGGCCGCGCCGCTTTGCCGTACATTACTGACTGGATTGGACTGGATTGGACTGGATTGGACTGGATTGGACTGGACTGGACTGGACTGGACCCTCTCTGTACGGTACTTTGAAGTATAATCGTAATTCTTGAAAGAAGGAGAGAAGGAGAGAAGGAAGGAAGAAACAAGGAAAGGAGGAAATGAAAGGAATGAAGAAAGCATCCTATCGTTGCATTCTCAGTTTTGGTCATTTTTGAGACCGTAGAGACCTAGTCCACCAGTCTCTTTCTTCTCTCTCTCACTCTAAATCTCTTTCATCCGTAAGCCCCACGCCACATTACTCGCCTGGCGTTGCCCACCATCACGCATTGGGTACAACGGATCCTGGCCTCAGGCCTAATGCACCTCCTCGGGAGCCAATCCAATTAATCGAACCTCAATCTGCCAAATCAATCTGCGGAAACAGAAACGGACAACCTCCTTTGGACTGACTGCATCAACAACTGTACCTACACGCCTACCTATTATATTGCATCCGAGTCTTGAGCAAAGAGAGACCTTGAGCCTCCTGATCTTCATTCTCTTTCTTTCTCCAGCCAGATACTTATATAGTAGCTTATCAACGTACTCGTACTACTGCCCCTCAGCCTAGGTACCAACCATCCTTCGAACCTTACGCCCTGTCCGGCTAGCTAGTTAGCCCCCGGCCCCTTGTCCACGCGGTGAAGAACCCGAAAAGCTTCACAATAACCTACCCATCTTTTCATTCACAGTATCGTTTAAGAAGAGTCTATTGTTGACTTTATTGGAGGTAAGTTCCTTTGTCCTGTTCCCTTCAACATCCGACCAGAGTTACTGCTATCTTGCAGACGGGAATGTTGGTCGAGCGATAGGAATACGAGAGCCTTTCTAATACGGGGTTTTAGGACGTCACCCTAGAGACTTCTCCTCGATCATTTTCTCGACTTTAACTACCAGTTGAGATTGCCCTCGATTCTTCATGCCGTCCTAATACACACCCGAATCAAACACCCATCCGTTCAGCCTGGCTAAACGAACGTACGCCATGGCCTCCCTTGACGAAGATACTCTTCTGGCCGCGAGCTCGATACTGAAGTGTCTTGCGACGAACTCGGGTATCGAATCGACTCGCATCAGTCGACCTGTCACCCTGCCGGGTGCTGCGACGGCCGGAAAAACACAACTCGAGCATGAATTGTCCAGCCTGGTTGGCAGAGTTCAACGAATAGAGCAAAAAGCCAATCTCGTCCACCATCAAACTCTGCCCATCACACCGAACGAGACAGGCGCACCATCGGGTTTCGCGGAGGTCGTTACTGGCGGACAAAGAAGGTCTCCTCCCACAAGACAACAGCTCGCCAATTTGTTTAACTCTAGAGAGGGACCTACCGATGAGCGACCGCAAAAACTTCAGCGAGTTTCACCAGATATACACCGCCCTGAGGTATTAGAGGAACGAGTGCTTGACCAAGCGGCACAGATTCGACAAGCCAAGGTGGCTAATGAGGGTCTGGAGCAGAAGTTGCTTGATTTCATTCTGGAACAGGAGAAAAAGAATCGGCAGGAGCTAGAGCGTGTCTTGACCCTTGAGAGAGAGTTGAGGAAACATCAGCAGGCGAATGAGGCTTTCCAGAAGGCTTTGAGGGAGATTGGAGAGATTGTTACGGCTGTTGCTAAGGGTGATTTGAGCAAAAAGGTTTTGATACACGCTATAGAGCTGGACCCTGAAATCACCGTGTTCAAGAGGGTAAGTGCTGTCAATTTCGCCCTTCGGTTTTTATTGTAGACTGACTTGAATGCTACATAGGTGATCAATACTATGATGGACCAGCTTCAAGTTTTCTCTGTCGAGGTCTCTCGAGTTGCCAGAGAGGTCGGAACTGAGGGCATTCTTGGTGGTCAAGCGCAAATCCAAGGAGTTGATGGAATATGGCAAGAGGTTATGATCAATGGTAAGTTTGCATGCGCTTACACACCTGCTCGGTTCTCGCGCTTTTGAACCTGTGCCTCAGTTCTAGGCGAAAATGATTGGCAGATCATTAGTGCTGATACTATACAGTTAATGTTATGGCACAAAATCTTACCGACCAAGTTAGAGAGATTGCCTCGGTCACGACCGCAGTCGCACATGGAGATCTGACACAGAAGATTGAGAGGCCCGCGCAGGGTGAAATTTTACAGTTGCAACAAACGATTAATACGATGGTGGATCAGCTGAGAACCTTTGCATCTGAAGTTACTAGAGTAGCAAGGGATGTCGGAACAGAGGGTATACTGGGCGGTCAAGCAGAAATCGAAGGTGTCAAGGGGATGTGGAATACACTGACTGTAAACGTCAATGCTATGGCCAATAACCTCACAACTCAAGTCAGAGATATTGCCATGGTCACAACAGCGGTGGCAAATGGAGATTTGACACAGAAGGTACAAGCGCAGTGTAAGGGCGAGATCGCGCAACTCAAGGACACGATCAACTCCATGGTGGATCAGCTTCAGCAATTTGCTCGAGAAGTTACCAAGATTGCCAGGGAGGTCGGTACTGAAGGACGACTTGGTGGTCAGGCTACCGTGCATGATGTTGAAGGTACCTGGAGAGATTTGACAGAGAATGTTAACGGCATGGCTATGAACCTCACAACGCAAGTGAGAGAAATCGCAAAGGTCACTACCGCTGTGGCTAAGGGTGATCTTACGAAAAAGATTGGCGTTGAAATGCAAGGTGAAATCGGTTTCATGAAAGATACTATCAACACTATGGTCGACAGACTAGGCACGTTCGCTTTTGAGGTCAGCAAAGTCGCCAGAGAAGTCGGGACAGATGGAACCTTGGGAGGACAAGCTCGAGTCGAGAATGTTGAAGGTAAATGGAAAGACTTGACTGAGAATGTCAATACCATGGCAAGCAATTTGACATCTCAAGTGCGAGGAATATCTACAGTTACGCAGGCCATTGCGAATGGAGATATGAGCCAAAAGATTGAGGTCGAGGCAGCTGGAGAAATACTCGTTTTGAAAGAGACTATTAATAACATGGTGGATCGTTTGAGTATTTTCTCGAACGAGGTGCAGAGAGTCGCTAGGGACGTGGGTGTTGATGGCAAGATGGGTGGTCAAGCTGATGTTGCTGGCATTGGTGGGAGATGGAAAGAGATTACTACTGGTAAGTGACCCTGGTAAACGCGGCATGCGGCTCAAGTACTAACTCGTCACAGATGTGAACACGATGGCCATGAATTTGACAGCTCAAGTCCGTGCATTTGGGGACATTACGAATGCAGCGACGGATGGAGACTTCACGAAGTTGATTACGGTTGAGGCATCTGGAGAAATGGACGAGTTGAAGCGGAAGATTAACCAGATGGTGTTCAACTTGAGAGATTCGATTCAACGAAATACCGCTGCCAGAGAGGCAGCTGAGCTGGCGAATAGAACCAAGTCCGAGTTCTTGGCTAATATGTCTCACGAAATTCGAACACCAATGAATGGGTAGGCTTTCCTCGTACTAATTGCTATTCTTGGATCCCTCCAAACAGTAGACTTCGTACTATGCTAATGCGAGAAAACAAATAGTATAATCGGCATGACGCAGCTTACTCTCGACACCGACCTCACTCAATATCAACGTGAGATGTTAAATATCGTTCACAATCTGGCGAACAGTTTGTTGACTATCATCGACGACATTCTCGATTTGTCAAAGATTGAGGCTAACCGGATGATTATGGAAGAGATCCCATACACATTGCGCGGAACTGTCTTTAATGCTCTTAAGACGCTGGCCGTGAAGGCAAATGAGAAGTTCCTAGATCTTACTTACCATGTAGATAGCTCGGTACCCGATCACGTTGTTGGTGATTCCTTCCGTCTACGTCAAGTCATTCTCAATTTGGTTGGAAACGCCATCAAGTTCACCGAACACGGAGAAGTGTCCTTGACGATCCGAAAAGCTCCTCAAGATCATTGCGCCACGGATGAGTACGCTGTTGAATTCTGCGTTTCTGATACTGGAATCGGCATTCAAGCCGACAAGCTTGACCTCATTTTCGATACCTTCCAGCAAGCTGATGGCTCAATGACAAGAAAGTTCGGAGGTACGGGTCTTGGCCTATCGATTTCTAAAAGATTGGTGAATTTGATGAGAGGAGATGTCTGGGTAAAGAGTCAATACGGCAAGGGGAGTTCGTTCTTCTTCACCTGCACCGTCCGATTGGCCACCTCGGATATCGGTTTCATCAGAAAGCAACTCATGCCTTACCAAGGCCACAATGTTCTCTTCATCGATAAAGGACAGACTGGCCATGGATCGGAGATCATCAATATGCTCTCACAAATTGGACTGGTAGCAGTTGTTGTTGATTCCGAGAAGCACGTTAATCTATCTGGTGGCGGCTCCAAGGTTGCATCCAGGTACGATGTTATTGTCGTGGACTCGATTGAAACAGCGAGAAGGTTACGGGCCATTGATGAGTACAAGTATATTCCAGTCGTCCTGTTAGCACCAGTTGTTCACGTCAGTCTTAAGTCAGCCCTGGAATTGGGAATAACTTCTTACATGACAACGCCTTGTCTGACCATCGATCTTGGGAACGGCATGATTCCAGCGTTGGAGAATCGGGCTGCACCATCTTTGGCAGACAACACAAAATCGTTTGATATCCTTTTGGCAGAAGACAACATTGTCAACCAACGGTTGGCTGTGAAGATTTTAGAGAAATATCATCATGTTGTGACAGTGGTTGGTAATGGACAAGAAGCACTTGATGCGATTAAGGATAAACGATATGATGTTATCCTAATGGATGTACAGATGCCAATCATGGTAAATTCAATTAAATATTCCCAATTTGCAATACTAACCGAGCTATAGGGAGGTTTCGAGGCCACAGCAAAGATCCGAGAATATGAGCGAAGCTTAGGGTCACAACGAACGCCCATTATCGCCCTAACGGCTCACGCCATGCTTGGAGATCGAGAGAAGTGCATCCAAGCGCAAATGGACGAGTACCTATCGAAGCCTTTGAAACAAAATCACCTCATCCAGACAATCCTAAAGTGCGCTACTCTGGGCGGAGCATTACTTGAAAAGGGCAGAGACGTCCGATCCTCAGCCAACGAAGAGCACCCACAAGCTTTAAACACAAACGGTGCCTCCCCCTCCGTGCCCAACCCCTCGAACTCGCTCCTGCGCCCCGCACTCGAGCCGCGCCCCTTCTCAACCACCGGCCCAATATCCCACGGCTCACTAGAGTCCCCGGCGATCGTAACTGCTGATCAAGACGATCCAATTTCTAGAGTAAGTCCGCCACTTCAACTTTGATGCAACATCCCGACCGTACAGATTCTCAAATATATGAATGTAGATAAAATTGGAGCACATGAATCACTCTTACTAAGACGATACTCGTTGAAATAGCTCCTATTTCGCGCTCATAGCAGCTGAGCGATAGATACTACGATACGATACGACTCGACTGGACTCGATAATCTTTTGATGATACCACCCGCTGCTCGCCCTACCTCTTTTTCTCTTTGTACAATTTTGAACGACAGAGATCGAGTCCAAATCGAAATCGAACGGAAATTACGCGCATGGCGTTTTACGGAATGGGCGTGTGTGGAGCCAGCCTACTTGCATTTGTCTCTGCTTACTTTGAATTTTCGCCCCTGTATCTGGGCTGCTTTGTTGATTGAGTGTTCTGTGGGATTGGGATAGGTTATGGTTAGGTGGGGACTAGCATATATCTCAGATGCTCTTCCTTTTAGGGAAAGAAAGAAAGAAAGTCATCAAGTAATTGTTTTGATATGTGTTTGTGTGTATGTGTAGGCAGAAAATTCAATGGTCTTTCTCTCCCCCTCTCCTCTCCCTCTTTCTTTCTTTCTGTGTGGTGTGGTGTGCAGGAGGGAACAGACACGTCGGACGCACCCCCGACCTACAAGTATAAAAAGTGCCTTGGTTCTTCTATAGACTTCTTCAGAAGTCCGCGAATACTGTACTCAAAAAAGGTCTATTTTATTTAATTTCATATAGTAAAACGTAGCCAGCGAGCGAACCATCGAGCAACGGATGGGATGGTTTGGCAAAGCTGGGAAGTTTGTGAGGTCTTGAAGTTGGAACTAGGGGATAGGAGGTGTGGAAGAGAAGGTAAAAGGGGGCGGAAAGTAAAGAGAGGGTACAATGGCGGGCACAGAACAACATTTCATCTCATGTCCTGTTTAGGAGGAACTATGGTACAAAACATATGTACACAATCACATGACCTCTCCTTATTAGTTTCAGGACTTTCAATTCCTTCCTCGTGCCTAAGATAGATCACTAGGGGTCATTGGCTTGTGTAACATCAGGTTCTTCCCCTCTGCTTTATAGTTTGGATTTGTGAGGTGTCGTATTTAGGTGAGATCAGATGACGGGGCAGTAGGCAAGGACGGATAGATACATGGAACGGCGCTGTGGTGCGGTTTCGGAGTCTGCCGGTGCTGGGGAAAGACAAGTCAAGTAAGTACACGGGGTTGGTGAGCTGTCAGATGCGACCTCCCAGTTCGCTTGAACCATAAAGCAAGCCTTCACCGCTTGGGTAGGTGTAGGTAGGGAGGGGAGGGAAGGCGTAGATGTATGTAGGTAGCTGAGGGAGATGATGTTGAAGAAGCCATAGATAGGTGTTCGAGTGAAACGGACTTCTACATGTCCATAGGTCCTGGATATGTATATCGTTATTGGATGGATGGATGGATTGATTGATTGTATTGTTCAGCCGTTCAGGGGTGCAACGCGAGATTCGATATGCGAGAGTAGTAAGGTAGTTCGGGGATTTGTTGGGCTCGGGTGCCAATGAGAGGCTTGACTTATTACGTGCAGGAGATGTGTGGCGGCATGCGTTCATCAATCATCCAGGCAGCGGAATACGGCAGAGGGAGAGGTGCGGGTGCGTAGGTATGTTAGTACCTAAGTACCTAAGTACTTGAGGACTTGGTACTTGGTACTTCCTCGACGACCGGAAATGGTCATCTCACTATCACGTGGCGGCCGCCCTCTTCTTGTTGTTGAGGAATGCCGGGATTCTCATTGGCTGATACTAGGTTTCTAGCTTTGTAATAGTCTTGCCCGAATTCATTTGGCATAGAAATGGCTTTTTATAGTGGGTTTGCGGCTGTCGAATGAGGTTTGGCGGACAAGGAAGTCTTGACTTGTTGATGTGGGTTTGGAGATGACTTTTCGACAGACGGCATGAAGGTTGAATTTCATGCTACTCGGTGTGTGCCCGTTGCCAGAAGATGAGTCTCGAGCCTTTGGGTGGTCAAGGTGTGAGTTGAAACTTGTGTAGTAAGAAGGTTCAATAAAAAGAGATGATCCATTCCACAGTAAATATACTTTGTAATGATAAAAAGCCAAAAGGGCTAAGAAAAGATGAGAAAGAATACTGCGAACGGGTAGTTATAGAAAACAATGACCAATGAACGTCTTCTGGCTCGCTTATGTAGGTAAGGAGGGGAGGGAGACTTTTACTTCTATTAGAGTGACGACCGGGAGAATCGGGACTACGGAGTACGGTTATCCACATGGCGTCATCATGCAAACATTTATTTTGGATCTTACTATAGGGGTGGGCATATAATCAGAAGCCAATAATGATGCACACCTAGAAAGTGCATGTATCACTGATGGTGGGAAGGACGTGGTAAGTATCTATCTATGTCTTCTCTTCTCTTCACCTCTCCCACTTCTCCCACTTCTCCCACTTCCCTCACTTCTCTTCTCGTCCCTTTCCGTCGGCAGTATCATCCATCTGCTCAGCCCCTCTCCTCTCTCCCCTCTCCTGCCCGAATTGCTACAATACGGTACGGTACTGCCCTGCCCCTCCTTCCGTATGCCCGCATCTGCTACAGTACTAAAAACCCGAGCTTGTCCTGCAGCATCCAGCCTTGCAAGCAGTTGGTTCCTCTTCCTCAGTTCCTGTCCCTTGAAGCATCGCTCTGCTCCATGTACGGAAACTGTGCCAGATCCGAGGAACCGTAGCCGGACGGACCTATTCGAGTATCTGGTGGACCCAGCCCCATCCATGACACAGCTTCCGTTGTAGCTGCTGACCAAAAGGTGTTTTTTAAACGCACACTAGGGTAATGTTGAAGTCCACTAGAAGTTGGGAACCAGACCAGAGCTGGATCACGCCTGGATCCAAGTTTCCTTTTTGAAAGTTTTGTACTGGATATGATAGAGTATCACGTACATTTTTATGCAGAATCGAACATGGGATAAACAAACGCAGGCGCAGGCGCAGGCTCAGCGAATAGAAATGGCCACGACGCCTAATTCATCATATTCCGCGCTCATATATCTGCCTAGGAGTAGGGAACCCATCCCTTAAGCTTACAGCACAAGCAAGCCCCGGCACTGCACTGCACTGTAATGCATATGGAAATGATAATATTTACGGTATGGTACTGTAACCTGCCATCCATCATCCATCTGCTGCTGTACGGTACGGTATGGTACCTGCAAGTCAAGTAACCCAACCCGCGAATCTGCAGCCTGCATTTGCATGTCGATGTGCTTGGTACAACGGTTGGAGGTCCACCACTACCTATACTGTAGGTAGGTCAGTACCTCAGCTCATAGGTACTCGTAATTATTATTCAGTACAGACAGGACAGGTCTATTCATCCCACCAGTCCAGTCCAGTGCCTCTTCTACCCACTAAAAGACAAGGCCCTCCGTCAACCTAAAAAGTAAGAGTCTCCGGTAGCTCATTCCTTACCTAAACTCTCACGTCCCCTCCTTTATTATTACCTTAGTTTTCTCTGCCTCTCTGCAGGCCCACCACTAAGCTTGCGTCCTGCCTGCCTGCCTTACCTACCCTACCCATTCTCGCCTTGCACTTGCGCTTGCTTGCCCTACCTTTCGACCTAACGTACCGATCGGTCGTAGTAGCAGCAGCAAGCAAACACCTCCCCTCCCTTTCCTCTTTCCATCCTCCCCATCCCACCATCATCATCATCCTCGCACCTATCGAATCCCTTCTTCCAGTCCATCCGTTTGCGTCAATTGTTTCCTGTCGATAACTCGGTCCTTCGTGTCCTTTCGTATCGCCGGTGTTTTCCAATTCTCTGCTTTCCCATCGGAATCAAGGTTTTTTCAGCACCTGTTAACCTGGTCAACCTGTAAGTAAGTAGTAGTAGATCTTTGCAAGATCCTGCGCCTAACTGGACCACACGCGATGGAGGCTCAACCACCGCGCAACAACCCCTCAACCACTATATACCTCTCTTGCACGCCTGCTGTTGCGCCTTGCTGGCTCCGCCGTCGACTGTCGTTCCTACCTGGAAGCTTGCATGTCCGGGACAATTGTACTGTTGCCTCTGGCGCATTCCATTTGATCCGGGTCACTGTCTTCGGGTGCATGACAGCTTGATGCGCGTTTGCTACGAGCTCGGCGCAAAGCATTCATACAGGACCCAGTGGTCTATCTATACTTCACTATACGCCGGCGCTGCGAACTCGTTTCATCCGAAAGACAATTGACTAATTTTTGGCTCTGCTGGCAGATTCGGTCTTATCCCCAGCGATCCATTCAGCGAAAATCACCGTCTTTCACGCCGTCACTCCTCCGATTTTTGCGGCGCAAGCGTTCTCATAAAATAATAGTCGAATCGGGTTTGCTGCAGGCTTGCTTTTCAACTTCTTTCCGCCGAACGCAACGACCTCTAGGAACGTCGATCTAAATATCTTCTTCAAGCCGCTATTGGAATCTGTGAGGTAAGCTAGACCTCCCCTTCTCTCCCCTCAATTTGGGTTGGCAGCCCCCCTCAAGCGCGACTCGGAAAGATCCGGAACTGGAGGAATATACATCTTTCCGGCATATTCGATACTCGGACCCAAAAAGCGTCATCGATATTTGGAAAATCGGATTGATGGAGCAAAGTCTTTCAAAACGAAGTCGCAGTGCGATATTGTTTGAGAATATGCGAACAGAATCAGTGTGTGAACACGTCCAGCTGTTTTAGCATCGAAGAGCGCCCTCTGCTATTTCCCAAATGGTGCCTGTTTAAAGAGATATTGCCTCAAAAGGCCGTGGCAAGAGCAGGCTAAGAAGCCTATCGCCGCTCAGTGGTACGGGTTTAGCAATCGAGGCAGCACAGTGGAAATCTGAGTGTATCAGGACCACTGTTCCTAGGTTCTCTTGCTACTCTGGCCAGTGCGCTGCAAGTGCGTTTACTGCAATAGAGCTTCGAAACACCTGACTGCTATTCTATTGATGCTTGCTGTGTGCAAGAAGTAAACCACACCAGCCTTTGCATTCATTTTTTCGATTTTCATTTTGCGCGCTGTATGACTCCGAAGCGCAGATTGTGGACTCCCGGAGCTTGTAATGAAGCGTACAACTCTTGCCTGTCTATATCCCTATCGATGAGTGCCAGAGGTGCGTTTAGACGAACCTTACTTAGACGGCGCACTCCGTCTGGCATTTGCACCTTTTTCAAGCTTGCAAATTTTCAACCTGCAGCGCTTGTTTGTTTATCCGCAGGCGCTCGCTCGTTCTCCCGTGTCCGTCTATCTTTCTAGGGCAACGACGAGATGGCCTGTATTGATTTCGAGCTTAGAGAAACACTGCCCAATGAATTAGTGCGGGGTACTTGATTTGTAGAGTTGCGGGGTTCTGCTTTTATCTACCTTGTCTGGTGGCGCGTTGTATTATTCCTTTGCGTTTCAAACACACCCCTGCGCATCTGTGAATTGAATCAGCAGCGAACACTTAATCGAGCATAAGTCCTTTTAAGACTGTTTCACGGTGTTGGTCGTATTTTCCGGTATCTGTCTTTGGTTGTTGCATTGTCTTTGAATTAGTTGATTGCCCCTTTGCGTTCGTTGCGTTTTGATTGTCGTTGCGCGTGGCCGAAATAGCTTGAAAAGCTCAGTCAGAGGCATCCAGACGTGCTTTGAAAATTTTGCAGGTTGAATTCGCGTACTTTTGCTTGTTGCGAAGATATTTTATCAACGAGCGTGTTTGCGGTACTATTTTCATTCCTTCAAGCAATTCATCACTGTCTAATTCTACAAGTCTATTCAAGCGGAGGAAGCATCTTTATAGCAAGAGATTACCATCCAGTTTTGATTATACAGATTAGACTTCCAGTGTTAGTTTCCTCTTTGCATCACACCTAGTAAGGTAGTTGAGACCGGCCCTGGGCTGTTATTGCTGTACTATCTCCTGCGCTATTTTGCACCGCCCACCGTGGAGCAAACAGCGGCGACATCTTGGACCTGTACAACGATTACAGCGACGCATGGATGTAGTTGTATCGCTGAACAGCCAGCCTCTCAACCTGTTCCCCCACGCATTCCGGTTCTCTGGTGTCCTCGAGGGTCACTCCTTCCGCTTTTGGACAACATCAACCGTTTGGGGGCCTGCCAACACTTACTTTATTTCTCACCCGAGACTGATGACTCGAAACTGACTAATTGAATTCGTAGATCCCGCCCATCAACTTAACCTCGCTTTCGATCTACATTCTCCGACCTCCCACCTTCACAAAGTTCCTTCACGCACCACTACTGACACCGTTCACAACCAACGACCTCTTGTAACATTCATACTGTTCCGGCCTTCTCTTCTCTGAGTCTTCAAACAGAATGGCGTTCCAGTACGATCCAAACCAGCAGGGCCAGTTTCCCCAGGAAAACAACGGCCAGGCCATGCAACAACAGGGCCCACCACCTCCTCAAGGCCTCCCCCAACAAGCGCAGCAGCCCCTCCAGCAACAGCCCGGGCAAGACGGCAGCTCTCCAGCTCCTTTCGCTCAACAAGGCGGCGTTGATGGTTCTGGTGAAGCTGATGCAAAGACAACTCTCTGGTACGTTACTTGTTGATATTTCCACATGATACATACTAGCATCATGAACTTCACTTATCCCGCATCGCTTCTACTCTGCTATTTTCTTATGGTGCCATTTTCCATCTGTGGAATTCGCCGTTGCTGTGGGGAGTAACCGTGCAGCGCCCACGACGTCATTACCCGCGTCCATGGGCCTTCTCTCGCTCCCACGTTTCATTTTGTGTGAACCTATTCACCTCACGTTCCTCGGTCGGAGTTTGAGCCTCTCGACTGTAACGTCGGCAAGACATGGCCTTAACCCATTGCTTCTCTCTATCTCACTAGATACACCCATCACCGCAATGCAGCTGCTGACTATCATTATACAGGATGGGCGAGCTTGAGCCTTGGATTGATGAGAATTTCATCCGCTCTGTCTGGTTTGGCATGGGCGAATCGGTGAACGTCAAGATGATCCGAGATAAGTTCTCAGGGTAAGCCGATCTACATGAACGAGATCTCTTGTGCCACGACTAATATCCGATAGCAACGCTGGATATTGTTTTATTGATTTCGCATCCCCAGCTGCTGCTGCAAAGGCGTTGTCGCTTAATGGATCCATGATCCCCAACACTTCTCGTCCCTTCAAGCTCAACTGGGCCTCCGGCGGTGGACTCGCCGACAGACGGTCAGAATCCCGGTTTATATTCCACAACTCTTTGACATGCTATCGCATCTTTGTAACGTATGCTGACTGTTGTTTAGTGATGACCGCGGCCCAGAATACTCGATTTTCGTTGGTGATCTTGGCCCCGAAGTCAACGAATATGTCTTGGTCTCCCTGTTCCAAGCCAGGTTCCCTTCTTGCAAGTCCGCGAAAATCATGACCGACCCCATCTCGGGAATGTCCCGTGGTTATGGATTCGTTCGTTTTGCCGACGAGCAAGATCAGCAAAGAGCCCTGACTGAGATGCAAGGTGTTTACTGCGGCAACCGCCCCATGAGAATTTCTACAGCGACACCAAAGAACAAGTCTGGCGGTGCTGGTCCAGCTGGGATGCCAATCCAAGGCGGTATGGGTGGAGGTGGTGGTGGTGGTGGTGGTGCCATGGGCGGTGCCCCTGGCATGTACTCTATGGGTGCCCCTCCTCCATTGGGTTACTATGGCGCCCCGCAGCCAATGAATCAGTTCACAGACCCCAACAATACCACTGTCTTCGTTGGAGGACTTTCAGGATACGTTACCGAAGATGAGCTCCGCTCCTTCTTCCAAGGCTTTGGGGAAATTACGTACGTCAAGATCCCACCTGGAAAAGGGTGTGGATTTGTGCAGTTCGTTCAACGCCATGCTGCAGAAATGGCCATCAACCAGATGCAGGGTTATCCAATTGGAAACTCTCGTGTCCGTCTTTCCTGGGGTCGCTCTCAGAACAATTCAGGGCCAGCCGGCACCCCGTATCGCCCTGCTCCTCCACCACCTCAGTACCAATCCATGGGCATGCCTCCTCAGCACGCGTATGGGAATTTCCAACCGTTGCAGGTATGTAACTTCTAATCCATCATCTCATTATTCAGACTCTGACACCTTGACAGTAAAACATATTCATACATGTCCCGCGTCTGGAGTTTGTTCTAGCGATCATGGCGTTCTCTGCACTTGAATTTGCCCTTTTATACGGCTTTACTTCTTCGCGTCCACTGCCTGGATAGCTATTTCTCCTCTTAGCGTTACTGCAAAAGTATCGATCGGATGGGTGGGGATTTTGCATTTTCCACGATGCCCATGTACAAAAGTGCATTAGATGTCTCTTCATGCGTCCACGAGGATCTATCACGCGCTGCTTTATTTCGTTTTACCTTACAACACATTATCTGTACGCTCTGAGCCACCTGTTATATAGCTTTGCATTCTTCTTCCCTGATACAGTTCCCACGATCTGAGAGGGGCTGCTTTGTGAGCTTCTGCCACATGCATGGTTTATAGAGCTCGTTGCTTTCGAGCATGCAAATGCCTTTCCTTATTACAATTCGTCAACGTTGTTTTACACCTCTTCCCCCAAAAGCCAACATCAAAAGTTTAGACTCTTTGCAATACACACGTCACATCATGGTCGGACCAGAAATGGAACATAGCAAAGACTCTCCACTTGTGCGAGGTTTTTGCAACTCATGTATCTTCGCTTTTTTTCTTTTCCCAGTGCGTTGTTTTGAAAAGGAACCTGCTCGATCATGCGGGCTTAGCTACTAGTCATCAATGGATTTTTCGCAGATTATACCTTGCTTGCATTCATTCGTGCTGTACTTGCTTGACTCATGTAGTTTGATCCCTTGTGTATGCTTAAATACCTTTGGGGCGCTTCTGGATTCAAAGGAATTGCTTTTACTGCTGCGGAATATCGGTCTGGGTGTTTCAGGCAGAGGGGAATGAATCTATGAGGAAAAGCAAATATATGAGCGACGTAACTCGGGGGGATGGATATACCAGACATGACGGATCGATCTATTTGAAGAATGATGTGTGCGAAAACCATTTAGGGTTCAAAGTTGTGTATATAGTTTAAAAGGGGATGGGATGGGAGGGAGACTTCGATTGATATCTGCGCGAAGTATTTAACGTTCCTTATTATAAATGAATACTAAAATAAAATATTTTAACTATGCATAAATTGTCTTAAAATAATCTCCCTCGAGGAGTAAGATCTTAATAGTTATGAACAGGATATATATGCTTTTAATCGCTGTACTGGATTTGAAACTTGAATATAGATGATACCTTAGGTAGGTAGAATGATTGAATTGACAGATGGGGTTTTGTTTACTTTAAAGTAAGGGGATTTAGATGTTGAACTTGGCTTGGTTTGGCTTGGCATTGGGTGAATTATTCTGTAAGATCAGCTTGCTTGCTTTTAGTTCGACGAGGACTATACGTATTGTTCGAGACGTGTATGAGTTTCTTGTATGCAATAAGTTCGATACTGCAATTCAGCTCCACTCCCTCGTGTCTGGTATACTAGATTTGTAGTTTCTCCTGTACTTGCTGACGCGGCTAATATTTCGAGAGCGATTCATAGTTACGAAAGCTCGATCAAGGCTCTCTTTCTTTCTTTCTTCAACTGTCTGTCTCATCAATCATACTCACATCACAATCTCGGCATATAACGTTCACAGCCAGATCGAATCTTGCAAGCAGCATTGATTGAGTGACCCGAAGGTCCAATATGTATCTTCATTCAGTTATGAATTAACATTACTTATTTCCTGGTCTTCCTAGCATGCTTGACTAGATTCTCAATCACGCCTTCAAAAGCCTCCCGATCCCCCAGCTTCTCATCAGTCCTCTTGGTCCAATACTCGAGCACCTCGTTCGCGGTGCCCTGCATGGCCTCCAACCTCGCAACATGCTCCTTCAGCTCGTTCATCGTCAGCCCGTTCAGCGCCTCGTCTGTGATGGCGCATAATTGGCGTGCGGAGACTAAGTCGAGGGAGGGGGCGGGGGGAGGTCCTTTGCGACGCCGCGAGTCGGAGCGTTTGGTTTGGTCTTGGGAGTCGAGGGATGTGGAAGAGGAATTTTCTTGCTTGAGGCGCGAGACGGAGCGCGAGTCGCTGGAGGTGCGGGGTTGGAGGTTTATAGAGGGGAGGATGAGTTTTTTCTGTTTCGAGGCGGGGAGGATCTCGTCGAGGTCTACGGGGACGCCGAGGGAGACGAGGAAGAGACGGCGGATGCGCGAGCGGATCCAGTTTGGGGGTTGGAGGGGCGGAGGGGCGACCAGTTGGGACCAGAGGGAGGCGGAGCGGGGGGTGGGGAAGATGGGGTTTTCGGCGATGAGAGGTGGGAGGATGGAGGTGTCTATTGTGTCGGGGGGAAAGAGGGTGTTTAGGTAGGGTTCTGTTGCTGTGTGGATTTCGGAAGGGGTTGAGAGGGAGGCGAAATCTAGTACTGGCTGGGAGGTTGTTAGAATGGTCACTTTGCAGCGGAATAGATAGGGCTGTAATTGTATAGATTGCTACTTACAAATAAAGGCGGGGATGGAAAAGACTGTTGCGGAGGGGAAGTAGCTGTTGGTTCTTGAAACCCTTCATCAAAGTCCCCAAACTCAGCATCGTCCTCCCCTTCCTCGAAATCATCAAAATCATCGCCAAACTCTCCGTCTGAACCATCTTCCTCCTCATTGTAGTCATCGCTAGCTGAAGCCTTCTTCAACGCTATAGATGACTTCCGCCGCGTGTGGCTTATGGGTTGGGATCTAGCACCAGGCAACGTTGGCGACCCTGATCTGGTCAATGGTTCTGAAATGCAACGCGAGGGGTTGTTCCTACCTGGTGCGTCTCCTACCTCCTCCACAATATCTGGTTCAGCATCCCCTTTTCTCAAATCAAAGGCTTTGGTCCCTGGCACTTCTCCATGGCTGGGTGTAGAATCTACCTTCTCGACCTTTGTAACGGGGATCGGCTGATCCCCTGGAGTGCTGCTTGCCCTCGACCGACCACTTGCTGAACGACTATGCGACCCAGTTCTCACTACCACATCTGGCACTGCATCTGCAGCACGTTTATCGTGTGCCAGTGTCCCTGGGACCTCTCCATGACTGGGAGCTTCTGGGTTAACCTTCTCAACAACTGTAATTGGAATGGGCTGTCCTCCGGGCGTAGAAGGTCGAGTAGTGGTAGCAGATCTCGACCTAGACACAATTCCGTCGGGAATGACTTCTATCTCATCAGGCGCGGCATCCTGCACCCTCTTGTCATAAGCATCTGTCCCTGGAACTTCTCCATGGCTAGGCTCGCCGTCGACTTTCTCGACTCTGGTCAATGGCACGGGGGAAATGTTGCCAGATGTTGTCTTGAGATCAGACTGGGCGTCTGAAAAATGGTCGTCGTCGTCGGAAGATTCTGAAGGCATTCAGTCAGCACGGGAATGTCCTAGGATGAAGGGTAAATCGTTACCAAGGTCGTGTGCACCTGGATCCTCCATACTCTTCCTTGGCGGCGGTTCCAAATTCGCATGCTCGTCTTGTGGCATAGTTATTGATCGTAAATGGTGACTGAAGAGCGAGATGTGATATTTTAGCGGGCGATTTGTCTGGAATTAATAGAAGCTGTATTTCAGGAGGTGTTGTTTTGTTTGAAGACAGGAGTCCAGACCAGGGTCTTTGATATCGGTTGCCAGGGCTGTGTATTGAAAAAGCGGCAGCGACTTTCAGTGTTCCCCACCGAGTGGCAACTGCCACATGGGCGCCGCTTTTTTATGTCAACCGCGAGGATGGTTTTCCCAGACGCGCCTGCGCCTAAAGCTACAAAGCTACACCTTGAACAAAAAGATTGCAATTCACACGCATGCGCCCGAACAACGTCTTTGAATTCTGAAGCTGAGGTTGTGATCGCAGAAGCTGATTCCCAATCCAACTTATTGAGTTGGTCTGTTAAATCGTATTTATCCTCTTCGCCCTTTTTCAGGATAAGCTCTAACCTTCTCTTTAGGAGAACGCCCCGTCAACAATCTTCCTCCAGCGACCGCAAACATGTCGGGATTCACGTTCGGCAGTGGCTCTTCCACCCCTAATACGGGAGCATCCAATTCTGGCATAACTACATCTACTGGACTCTTCGGCAATCTGTCAACATCGAAGCCTCCAGCGTTTGGAAATACAACTACGACGGGAGCTCCATCTATCTTCGGAGGGGGGCAAACGCAGGATCAAACGCAGGCTCTGGATCGACAACGCCTTCTCTTTTTGGAGGTAGCGTTGGCAACCCTCCAGCTGGCGGTAATATGTTCTCCAAGACGCCCGCGAGTAGTGGTGGAGCAAGCGGAGGCCTCTTCTCGCAGCCAGCAGGCGGCTCAAGTTCATTGACTAGTAATCTCTTTGGTCAGAATAATTCTAGTCCTGGGAACACCTCGAACCCATTTGGTGGAGCAACAACATCTGCTCCAGCAGGTTCAACCACCCCAGCAGCTTCCAAGCAATTCGGTGGCTTCATGAGCTCTACCACTCCAGCTGGTCCACCTCCGTCAAATAGCCAAGCCCCTTCATCCAGCGTGTTTGGGGGTGCTATTGGGCAGTCTTCATCTTCATTATTTGGAGGAGGCTCAAAGCCTACCCAAAACCTTCCAGCCCCAAGTTCAGGACTCTTTGGCTCCAACGGTGGAGCGCCCAAGCCCAGTGGCGGTGGTATGTTTGCGAACCTCAATAATCCAACCTCCAATAATCCAGCCAGCTCTGGCCAGCCAAATCCTTCCACGACCGCAGCTGCAACTCCAACCCCATCGTTTTCGTTCGGCGGGGCCAGCACTCCTTCAGCGAGCACCCCAAGCACTCAATCCTCTACAACAGCCCCAGGTACGACTACCTCAAGTCTGTTTGGTAACCCTACTTCTACTCCTGCTACTGGGGGACTGTTCAGTCTTGGTGCGCCCAAAAATACTGCCCCGAGCACCTCAACAGCTGCCCCTACTGCACCAGCGTCGAGTAGTCTCTTTGGCAATTTAGGAAACCCTCCTGCAAGCACCAGTTCTACATCCGCCCCAACGACTACAGCACCAGCTCCAACAGGAGGCCTATTTGGAGGCGCAAGCCAGTCAGCGACGACATCCACAGCATCTACGACAGCTCCTGCTACAGGCGGCTTATTTGGATCGGCTGCAGCATCTACGACAGCTCCTGCTACTGGTGGCTTATTTGGATCGGCTGCAGCATCTACTACAGCTCCTGCTACTGGTGGCTTATTTGGATCGGCTGCAGCATCTACTACAGCTCCTGCTACAGGCGGCTTGGGAGCTGGAGGATCCGGTGGCCCAGTGAACCCCCCAGGTGCGGGAGCAAGCACGAGTGGACCGCAACAACCCGGTGGAGGACCTGCTCTCGGTGCTTCTACAGCTGGCCCTGCTTCTCAGTTATCACGTCTCAAGAACAAGACTATGGATGAGATCATTACACGATGGGCCTCTGACTTGTCGAAGTATCAAAAAGACTTCCAAGATCAAGCAGCCAAAGTTGCCGCTTGGGATAGATTACTTGTAGACAACGGAGATAAAATCCAGAAGTTATACCAAAAGACATTTGAGGCTGAGCGAGAGACTTCAGAGGTTGAACGCCAACTTTCTAACGTAGAGAGCCAGCAAGATGAGCTAGCTTCATGGCTGGACAAATACGAGTCAGAGGTTGATGAGATGTTCGCGAGACAAGTAGGTCCAGGCGATGCTCTACAAGGACCCGATCAAGAGCGAGAACGCACCTACAAGCTTGCGGAGAAGTTGACGGATCGTTTGGAGGATATGGGCAAGAATCTTACAAGTATGATTGAGGCTATTAATGAAGCTTCTTCATCTTTGAGCAAGAGTAATAAAGCTGATGATCCGGTATGTTATCCCTCCTTTAGATTCCAAGTGCATAATTGCTAATGTAAATAGTTGTCACATATTGTGAGAGTCCTAAACGACCACCTGACCCAATTGCAATGGATTGATCAGAATGCTACACTACTCCAAGCAAAGGTCGCAGAGGCTCAGAAGCTGGGTCAGAGTGTTGGGTCGAATGGATATGGTGGGCTAGAGAATGATGCTGCGGAGTCTTTCTACCGGTCGTACGCAAGGAGATGAGCGAGCTGCGGTATACATGAATGGATGGTATTTGAGGGTTGGCGTTTAGCAATGGCGGGATGGAGCATCTGGCCTTTGAAACGGGCGAGTGATATCTGAAATGCGGAATAAAATGCATGAGGGCAAGGGTAGATGAAATCACATTTGTACTTGTAGAATAGCGAAAACAAAACGAACAGATGGACGAAGCAAAGTAGTGTCGTACAACGGTATCTGACGACTGCATGACGTACGCAAGTGTAGAGTTTAACTCCATGTGTTCATTCCTTGTATACAGCTCAACTCAATTCAACGGTTCATATCCTTCCACCTCCACCCCCACCCCCCCTCTCCTTCCCCCTTCACATTCTCGTAATGAAATCGGCATACGAAATTCAGCTATAGGCACAGCGACACACTGTTCAGCATTGCACGAAGCAAATGACAGAATGTAGAAGTCGAGACCACAAACGAAATACCCCAATCCATCCACTTGCTTGTTTGCCTCCACTCCACTTCACACTCCCCCGGGATATCCGAAATGGGATATGAATACTTACTTTTGCTCGCCGCCCGAGGACTTTGAGATCTCATTGCTGGAGGGGGGTTGGTGTTAGCCTGTGCGTTTTGCTTTCTTGGGGTGATGGAGGGGAAGGAAGTAAATGGAGTGTGATGCGTGTAAAGAAAGGTAGCGGATGATATGGGAGGGAAGGTATGGGATGGATTGGATCGGAGGCAAGGTGATGGCTTACATGTGTTCTTCGAGCTTCTTCAAGTGGTCGTGCTGCTCTGCGATCTTCTTGCGGAGCTCGAGGAGCTTCTCCTTCTCGCGCATGCGGATGGCGTAGTCTTCGTTTGCCTTTTCGCGTTTGGTGAAGGCGTCACTGTTTTGGGTATTTCGTTAGCTTGCTTGCTTGCTAGTTTGGCTGTTCGCTTGAATGGGATCAAGGGAGAGGGGGAGGAGCATAGGGAGGGATAAGTACCCTTGTGCTGTGGATCTGGGAGCTCCAGTGTCGCCGCCGGCCATGGCTGAAGATGTAGTTGAGAAGCTTCGGACTGCAGGACGAACTGCCCTTGTGAGGGTTTGACGGTACATTGCGATGGATTTGGAAGAGGAATTGGTGAGAGAGTATATGATGATTTTATACTGCCTGGTACTGAGGGGTTCCGTGGCTTGGGCTTGGAATTGGTTTGTTTGGTTTGGTTTGGATGGAGGGTTGTGGTTGGTGACCCGAAGGTGATGGTTCTGCCGATGGAGACCGGCAAGCTTCGATGGTCAGACGTGATTGGCTGGCAGAAAGTTGGAAAAGCTTCCCAGGCTGGCTTCTGATGATCAGGCCACCGTAGGATATCAGGTGATCTCTATCATACACCGATTTGGAGATTGGCATTGCAAAGTCTATGTTTAGTATTAGAGAAGGGTTTGATGTTTGCTCTACTTAGATAGCGCTTTAAAAGACTTTCTGCTCTGAATTGTCTTAGATTGGTTAGTATTGATGATTTCTGAGCCCCTCCTTGAACCCCTCCAAACATGTGACCTTCAGCAACCGCCCCCGTGTTCCGTAACTCCAAGTAAGCCAAGACGGATCTCTCATCATTGGTACCATTGGTTACCATGCATTTGCTACAGTCTCCAAGACAAGAGGCTCTGCATAATGCAGGCTTATTCGAAACTCACGATATCGCTTCAACAAGAGGTTCACGGTTGGTCGGGAGCATAACATAGCATAGCCACAATGCCCACAAGGACTGCCTTAGATCTCCAAAGACGTTTCATAAAACTGACTGCGAGCCCAGGTGGCCACTTCAAGAGATTAAACTGGGACCAGACACGGCAGTAATCGAGGCCTGGGCTGGATCCCATTGCGCTCAGATGGTGGTATTATCATACCATCGCTACTGTAGAATCTTGAGGGCATTGACAGCTTGAGGGGGGTGCAAAGCCATAGCCGTAGGGCTATAAGAGAGTATATAAATAAATGGCTTGCTTTCCTAAAGAACCACTCAACTTTCATACGAATCGTTTTCCTCTCTGCTAGCCTTCACTCCTCAAGGCCGCGTCAATACATACAAGCAAACAAACAAACAAGCAGCACCTCCCTTGTTACGATAATAATAATAATACGTGTACTGTCACAACAAACAAACAACCCGAATAAGCAAGGAAACGGGCTTCCTCTTCTTAATCAATATTAAAATTGACCTTACTGCCGCTGCCTCATTACCAAATTACAGTTATTGTTATTGTTGTGGTGTTAACCGGCACAGCCAACGCAGCCACTGGACGTCGCTTCTTTCGCACCAAAGTCTCGCTAGCTGAAGTTGGCGGCCCTTCCCTTGCCCTTTCCTTTCGATCGACTTCTGCAATTCCGCCTCAACAACAACCTTTCCCTCCTCTCCTCTCCTGCTTTATCTCGAGAACACCACAACACCCTCGAATCCAAATCCACATCGCATTCTCCCCCGCCCCTACAGATCCATCAACCTGACGATCTGTTCCCCTAGCCAATACCCCCTTTTCAACACAACAGTCTGGTGAGCTCCTTTCCCGCTTCTATTTCGTCATTTCCCGCTGTTGCAATCCCTTGAATGTGTTTGGGGTCGCTGCCATCAATACATGCCTGGCGACGGTCTCTCGATGATTACTGCCCCTTCGGCAATGCGTCCCAGTCGATGATGGCCTGGTCACTTCTATTTGAGGGGCTGCATTTACAAGGCTTTGCGATTGCCCCTCACAGAGGCTGAGGGGCACCTGCCGCACTCCTGCTATGGTCTGCACAACATCTCAAAGGCACTACAAAGCAAAGCAACGTCAACTCTATATAAAGACTATGCAGCAAGGTCGTTTGGCGCATCTTCTGCGCGCCGTCCTGATGAGCGCCAAAAGGGCAGGATGACACATGCGTCCTTTATTACAGCGGCCCACACCGCTTTCAGCATTATCTTTTCTACAACTTCCATCTTAAAATCGATCTACAGCCTCGCTAACATTGCACTCTCGTAGATATCATCAAACCGCAATCATGGGTTACGAAGATTCTGTCTACCTCGCCAAGCTCGCTGAGCAGGCCGAGAGATACGAAGGTTAGCACCCGCGAACATTCACCCAATGTGGCTGCAATATACTGAAGCGCTTCACAGAAATGGTAGAGAACATGAAGTCCGTTGCTTCTGAGGACCAAGAATTGTCCGTCGAAGAGCGAAATCTCCTATCTGTCGCCTACAAGAATGTCATTGGCGCTCGCCGTGCTTCGTGGAGAATCGTCACCTCGATCGAGCAAAAGGAGGAGTCGAAAGGCAACTCATCCCAAGTTGGACTCATCAAGGAGTACCGTCAAAAGATCGAGGCCGAGCTCGCAAAGATCTGCGAAGATATCCTCGAGGTTCTTGACAAGCACCTGATTCCTTCCGCCAAGAGCGGAGAATCAAAGGTTTTCTACCACAAGATGTTTGTTCCGTCATATGATCCAGGACTTGTCAGAGGCTGATAGTTCATTACAGGAAGGGAGATTACCACCGTTACCTTGCCGAGTTCGCCATTGGCGACAAGCGAAAGGAGTCTGCCGACAAGTCCCTTGAGGCCTACAAGAACGCAACCGAAGTTGCTCAGACCGACCTTGCGCCAACACACCCCATTCGTCTTGGTCTTGCCCTCAACTTCTCCGTTTTCTATTATGAGATTCTTAACTCGCCCGACCAGGCATGCCACCTCGCCAAGCAGGCATTTGATGATGCTATTGCTGGTAAGTTTTGTCAGTCAGTAAAAGTATTTCATTTGGCTAACCTTATTCACAGAACTTGATACCCTCAGCGAGGAAAGCTACAAAGACTCCACATTGATCATGCAGCTCCTGAGAGACAACTTGGTAAGTTAGCCTTGGAGTGGTGCGCTTTCCAAGAAAATGGACTAATTTTATCCAGACCCTCTGGACTTCCTCCGAGGCCGAGCCAACTGCTGAGACAAGCAGCGCGGCGCCTGCCGAGTCCAAGGAGGCCCCTGAGGCTGCTGCCCCATCGGAGACTAAGGCTGAGGCTGAGTAGAGGGTTCTGTTCCGGCGTTGATGTTTGGTACTCTGGGTACAGCTGATTGGGGCGGGATGGGAATATTGCATGTTGTACGCAGCTGAGACGAAGAGTATCGATGAACTTTTTTTGGAGGTCGATCACAACTTGCTTGCCTCTAGACTCTAATGCATCAGACTGTATTTGCCCCTTTTCAATGTCTCTTACAAGACTTAGAGATCACCACCATCTTTTCTTTTCTCGCTCAGACCTCTCGTCAGATGAAATTTGATGCGCGCTCCTCATGCGACCGGCTGCCGGCTTCTCGTTCTGCGCTGGCTTTCTCGATTAGACTACCAAAAAAATAGCAAATTCATAAAATCCAGGCTTCTTCAGGAGCTCTCTTGCCAAATCACAACATGCACACATATCATTAATTCAAGAGCATGGCAGGTAGATGGATGCTCTTTCAATGTTTTAATTTTCTGTTATTCAATTCGTGTCATTTTTGTATGCAATGCAATGAATGCATGCTCATGAATCATGATAAAGCCAAAAGCCAAAAAAAAAAAAACACCTTCGAAGCCAAGCCATCCAAATCCGCAAACTATCCACATCGCCGTCATGAATGAATGAAAACAAGAACTACAAAACAAGACTCCCATGCGAGCAAGTCAGGAAAAAAGCAACAGCATTATACTCAACAACAAGCAAGCGCCAGTACTCCCCACATTTCAGTTCATATACTCTCCGACGCCGGGTTTTATGCAAGTAGAAGTAGCACAGCATGGATTTCACACTTTCTCAATAGACACATCTACAACCCCGACACCTTCCGCGACGCGTTGACGCTGCCTACGCGCCCGCTCGTCTTGCGGACCCCAGATGGCTCCTTGTTGCGCAAGCTATCGCCACTGCGCTTTGGGCTGCCGCGGACTTTGTTGAGCGTGCTTGAGCCACTGCCAGACTTCACTGTGCCAGGCGTCTTGGGACGGTTTGGTGACGCGCCGATGTTCTCGATATCGTTTCTGCTATCATTATCGATGGTGCTGGTGTAGATTGTGGTGGTTGTTTGGCTGATGGAGCGGGAGCTCTTCTCGCTGCGGCCGGGCGAACGCGAGGGTTTGCGGTTGGTGCGCATGCGGACTTGCCATTCGTCTTCGCCTTCGGGGTCGTCGAGGGATTGGCGATGGATGGAGATCATTTCTGTTTCTCGTTGCAGCGTATGCTCGTCCTCTGTCGTGCTGTAGGATGTGGAGACGTTGCGGCTGTATGGGTGGTGGCGGTCCACTGCCCTGCTTGTCTTTCTGGGCTGCCCTGGTGTTGGAGCTGGGAGGCAGTCTTCTTGGATACCGATGCTATTTCGCTGCTCGTTGTCGACTTCTCCAAGTGGTGATCGTCGGTTGGGAGGGGTGGCAATCTGGTTGTTGGCAAGGTAAGGCTTTTGGCCTTGTCTTGTTGGTGTGCTTGGTGCCATGGTTGCCAGCTTCGCCTTCATTTTCTCCTCAAATTGCTCTTCTACCCACCATTCACGGAAAGTTCCCTGGTTCAGGTGCAGCCAATGTTGTTGAGGACCAACAACCATTCCTGGCCGCATGAAGCGCATGTATGCAATGATCTCGTTAGCAGTGAAGCCATAGCGGTAGATCAGGTAGGCTCCAATCAAGCACCCAGTCCGGCCAAGTCCTGCCTTGCAGTGAACAGCAATTCCTCTCTTCTTCACCGTGATCATTTCGTGGGCGAGCTTGATGAACTTGCGAACGACACTAAGAGATGGACAAGTGCCATCATCGAAGATCATGTCCAAGTGCTCTATTCCAAGTGCAGTAAAGTACGATGGCGAGTACAGTTCCGAGTTAAGACGCACGACGAGGCCGATATTACGGTTCGAGAAGTGCTTCAGAACGTTTTTGAACGGGTTTGGGAGTGTAGGATGAGCATCAACTGCCTCCAAGGTTGATGGAAGCGTCGAATATAGTGGAGAAGATGGCAGTATTGGCGCAACAGGAGTATGTTGTGGTGATGCGAATGCGAGGAAGTCCGGTGTTATCCAATTAAAGTCCCCCTGGTCTACCCGTTCATATCTTTCATATTCCTCAAGATCAAATGATGGCAATGCGCAGAACCCTTGCTCCTTTGCTCTCCAAACACCATATACAACATCTTGTACCGTAATCCCGTAGTCTGCTTGACTGTAGCCTGCGTCGCGGAAAGGCATGAGAGGTGGGTCGGCTTGTGCTATTGGCGCAAGCGCAAGATGTGGTGCCCATGACTGGATGAGGACCATGTACGAGGCAAGAATACAGGCAGCGTTTGCTCGGCCTAGAATCGTGTAGTTAGTTGCCTGCTTCGAAAAACATGCGATTACAAGAGGAATACTCACTTCGTGCATCGGCCTTGCTCCAGAATACGACTGGCTTGCCTACATTCTCCGGTGCACCAAGAATATCATGGAATTGGACAGCGAATCGGTACAGGTGTCCAATATGCAGTGGTCCAAAATCGTGGTGGAAGGCATTGTATAACAATGAATCGTCGATGGAGAAATAGTGGGGAGGGGTGCGATCTCTCTCTGACACCACAGCGGAAGGACCATCCACAGCTCTAGTTGACCGCTTGCTAGGGGATCTTCGGGTAGGTTGGCGATCAGGATATGGGAAGAGAGTGTCGGGGGTTGGCGGTGTAGTATAGGATGCTAGATACAGTCGGTCTGTGAAGGTTAGCACAATGAACGGACGAGTGGGTTGCGCTGGCGGGCGCTGTTGTTGTTGTTGTGATTGTTGTGATGCGCTCAGTTCGTATTCCTCGCCGCCAGATACAGATGCAGCCCATTTAACCATAGAATCATAATCCATTAGGAAGGATATGCTAGCAATGTGTAATAATGTTGCGCCAACTGACGACGCTGAACTACCCATGCCCCGCGAAGTGCGAAATGTTGTGTGGAATAAGCAAGCTTACCTGGGATATACTCGATGATCTGCCCATACTTGACGGCAGGAGTCATCTTGAGAATTGGTGCTCTAAAGTATCAAGTTCGAGACAGTCGCAACTACCAATATTGTCCCAGGTGCTGGAAAGTATCGTCGAGTCCGTTGAAGGTTGACTTTCGGGGGAAGTGAGGATACGTGCGGTGCTACTTTGTTTATTTTGATGTTCCGGTATGCACAAAATATGCACTTCTGTAATCGATACAGAAACAAAGCTGAGAATAGGAATAATCTTCGGTATCAAGTATAGCTTGGGAAGAAGAGAAAGGTAGTTGGATGAATGGCAAGATCTGAAGAATGTTTGGTCTCGAAAGCAAGAGACTTGTTGAATCCGAATGGAGCTAAAGTGCACCCATTATTTTGGGGGCCCGTTGGCTCAGCAACATACAGTCTTCCGCAAAAACATCCTTGACGCCTCAAAACACCACTGCCAATCTCACAGCCGACATTAATTTTATGCAGAGGACTTGTGCTTACACTGCAATCAATCTTCAAGATAAACATTACAAGCATCATGGCCCATCAGCAGCTGGACCACTCTTTCCCCTGCTCACTGTGCGTCCCTCCTCACTCTCCTGCGCTACAACAAACTAACCTCGCATTCCAGCACAATCGACCTACCCCTCCCTACGGCCCGCCTAGCATCTGCCGCACTCCAAGCTCTGCGAGTTGACAAGGAGCTCTCCCCTCTGGTATGCCGATCTTTCTCGACCGTTTCCCCACCTGAAGGACGCGACGGGTCTGAAGAAACGGTTCTGCGCACGGAATACAAGGCGACAACGAATAGAATGCTAAGGGTTGCGGTTAACGGGTTTATGGAAAGCTTGAGTGTGGTGCTGGGGGTGATGGAGGAGTTAGATGTCGATGTACTTGGTGTTGAGGCGAAAGAGGGATGAAGACTGGGAAGCTTAAGGAAGTTTCTGTACTACGGTATGCCAGGAAGGGAGTATATGTGCAAGAGTTGTGAGAACTCAAAAAACACAAGCAGTTATGCCGTGGGGATCATGGCACTTTGGAAGGCATATCAGACCTGGAGATCGAAATGGATTTTCACTTCGAAAGGTAGGGGATAGATACGACAAGGACCGAGACAGGAGATCATGTCTAGGTGCTTTCCTTCTCACGGCATCATGAAGGCGTGGTCCTCGCGTGGTGTTTGGATCAGCGGCTGCAGGTTCCCGAAAGCCAGATTATGTATGACCTTACAATACTCCCGAATTCTTTGATGAACATCAGAAGCAGAGTCTGGAGTTAAGATCAAATCGTTTACAAAATGCTAAAATCTTATTGCAAGAATTACTATAAAATGTGGTCTTTACTTATGAACACGGGAAAGGAAGGCTTTCATCAATCCAGGGCTCTACTTCCAGAATATATTCTATAGATTAGAGGCTAAGGCATTTTCTAGATGTTCCCCAAAGATGCCCGAGATATGATAACAGCTAGAAGATTTCACATCTTTTCGGACACTGAAGCTTCGAGGTGAAAACAATCCCACGATAGTTAAACTTTATTTGTACTATAACAAAATTCTTATTTTTCTAGGATTAACCGTGTCCCCCTGACCTTGATAGTGTGGGAGTTCAAGCATCCCTCCCACTACCTCCGCACGATTATAGCTCGTATGTAGACACCATTTTCCACAAGTTTGTCTCCCAAACTGATGAAGAGCTAGGTGTCACGTGTACTATATTTACCACGCAGCAAACTCCTCGCATTGCTATCTGATTAATAGGTGGCTACCCCTGCCTTCTTCAACCTGCTGGTAGTTGAGCATGAGGAAAGCTGAGGGGGGACCACCGATTAGCCTCCCAACGTCGTAAACATATCCAAAGCAATCCCGCGCCATGGTATCATTAATCCAAAACTCCCAAAACACCTCGTAATACGCTTAGCCCCCTACGACTTCACACCAAGCTGCTTCTCGGCTTCCTCCGCCCTCTTATTTGCGTCGGCGACTTCCTGCTTCAACTGCTTGATATATTCGATAGCCTGTTCGACAGTGCTAGCTTTGCTATTTGCACTCTGAGCCGCACCTTTCCCACTCCCTCCAGGATCATTAGGTTCTCCAGCATCACCGCTTCCACTCTTTTCTCCAGAGCTGTCCTTAGTGTCCCGTGGCAACAGTGTAGCGATTTCTTGGAGGGCGAAGTTTATACGATTTCGCCGACCTTGTTCAGCAATCTTATGAGAGGTGCGTTTGGAGGTCAAGTTTGTGGATAACTCCGAGGGATAAGAAACTCCAGGAAGATGAGTACCTTCTAAGATTTTCTGGTAATTTGACTTGGATGCTAGGAGCAGCGAAGCGGTACTCTCGGACAAATTTGGAGTCCCTGGGATAAGTGGCTTCATACTAGGAGATATCCGTGGCAAAAGTGCAGGTGATGCGAGGACTGAACTACCTGCACGTTTTTTAGAGCCGCGAGCAGAAGTTTGAGCCGACTTTCTCCCGTTCATAGAATCAATTTGAGGACTCTGACTTGCAGATACACTTGTCCTCGAACGATTGAAAGCTGGGGATGGCAGAGGCTGAAAGCCAGGAGCTTGGACACCAGATGAAGCTAACGTGGGAGTAATTTGACCATCAGACTGAGTGTCTATAGGTGAAGGCTTTGGTTTCGAAGAAGTGGCAGGTTCCGGTAGGGCGAAAACCTCCATTCCTTGGTCGATATCCATATTCTGGTTATTGCCAGCTCCGTTCGCTTGAGGTGATTGCGTTAATCTCATCAGCGATGCAGGAGTTGCAGGAGACCCAAGAGCCAGGTGTTGAAGACTCGGGTTCTCCTTCTGGGACGTAATATAAGGAGATCTTCCTGCTGATCCAGGAGGTGGTACTGGAGGTGGAGCCATATCTGACAGATGCTCAGGAGATATTGAGTCCTCTGACTCTTCCGTACTAGGGTTAGAATAAGACAGACTTGCCGCATTCGAACGGGTAATCTGAGGATTGGTGGGTTCTATGATGTCCCCAAGAGCTTGGGCAGGAATACTTGTGCCACTCTTTTTGGATTTCCGCGGTTTCACTATGGGAGACTGCCGTACGGTTCGCACACTGCGTGGTTTCTGCGGTGCTTGTTTACTTGCTTTTCTCGAAAGGATGACTGAGCTTGCAGGCGCAGAATGAGTTTCTGGGTTCATATCGATAGGAGAATTTGTGGTGCCCGAATTTCGCGCGTCGTAGATGGCTGAGTGCTCGTTCTGGGCGTGTAAAGCTGGAGAGCTTAAGGGGCTGAAATAGGCTCCTGGTACAGTGTATTCCGGAATATTGAAGTGGGATTCTAGAGGAGTCACTGCTGGTGATACAAGTGGAGTGAAAGCCATCTGTTGTTGCCAAGTCAGAAATATATTCAGGTTTCCGAGTAGCCTCGAAGGATAACTTACGTCTTGTTGCTTCGCTTGCATCTGGTACCTATCATACATAGCCTGATGTTGAGGATCCGATTGTGGATAAAAATGAGCATTAGCTCCGTGCAAATCCATGCTACTGGGTGTTGGAGGAATCATCGGGTTCTGAGTATAATAATTCTGCTGCTGCTCGTGTAATTGACGCTGCTGCTGTTGATGGCGCTGATGTTGTAGATACTGTATTTGTGCGTCCAACTCGACCAAACTCTCATTCGAAGAATGTGCTTGGGAGTTAGCCCCTCCTTGTATCGTAGCATAGCTCGTGGCCGTTGTCATCGAAGGCATGTGCTCTTGCATTGTAGTATCGTGCCCAGTCGAACCCCCATTCTCCATCCCGGTATGCATTGCCTCATCGCCATTCTGATGCATCAATTGGCTCTGCGTCGCATGTTGGTGGTTGTAGTCGGGGAAATCAAATTGAAGACTGTCACTGAGGTCGTTCATGCCAATGTCGAGGAATTGCTGGAAATCATCTTGGGAGGGGACAGATAGGGTCGGGTCTTGACGGTCCCAAGCATTAGAAGACTCCATCATGACCGACGAGGTTGTGTCTTCCCCACGTCGGAGAAAAGAGTGTCTTGGACGTGAGAACTGAGGGGCACGGTTGCGAGGAGAGCCTGAAGATTGTGTGCCCGCGTGAAGAACAATTCTGGAAGTCTCAGACCATGTGGGCGGTAGATGCTGAAGCTTTTTCGACACGCTTTATCGGTGTGCAAGAGTTATCGTCTCGATTCCCTTGAAACCCTCCAAATACGAGTGCGAGTTGGAATTTCGAAGTTGGTGATTCCGCCACAACTACAGGAAGACTGGCGGGGTTATCGAGAGCAAAAAACGATGTTCACTCGTGCCTGCTCGGGCGTCGTTTTATCGTGTCGGTACGCAGAAGCTTTTTCTCATCTTGTCCCGTACCCGTACCTTAGTCTTCCTAGGTCTTCCGGTGATGTTGGCCGGCTCGCCCTCGCCCCACGGCGATTCAATGCTAGTTCTCGTACGGCTAGGTAGCTAGCTACCTTAGATATTGCGGTTTTTTACAAGCCTCTAGCGGTGCGATACTATGAACCAGGGGCAAGTGAGAACGGCTAAACCTTACGCGTGAAAGAGATACGTAGGAAGATATTATGTGCACAAAAGAGCAGAAGTTTGATATAAGAGCGGAGTTCTTAGATATGTGTGTATTGAGGTACATATCCACACCCTGGTAGTGGAACTAAAGAGTTCGCATATGCATATAATACCTACCTTCGCACCCCGCTATTCTATAAGAGCCGAGAACTTTATGGGGCGCGGGATTTATTTGCTCTATATCCCCATCCACTCCCAGCAATAGACATTGCAGACATCTCAAACATCTTTACTAGGTGTCAGCTGCGCCCGTTCACTGCTCAGATGTACCTTCAGACGGACTTATTCTAGTTGAGAAGCTAATGGAGAGGGATATATCCTGAGTAGCGGCCAACTACTATCATACCCGCTGTGCAACTCCTAAGATCTCGCTCGTCCATCACACCCCACCATGCTGTGCTTCGGAATCTATCTGCAGTCCAGAGCCATATTGATTAAGAGGCTTGAAAGACAACCATAATGCATACTCTCTAATCAACAAGCTGGCAGAACATACTCCGTAGTCTTACATACCATACCCACATAGAAGCCGAAAAGGACCGTCTTTCTCGGCTTGGATGCGGGCTCGCGGGCCCGTCTAGATGGCACGCCATGCCTATCTGTGCATACAATATGTCCAAGACCGCCGTTGTAGCACAGGGTCGTAGCTGCAGTCGCCGCAATAGTAAGGTAACATACCGGCAAAAATGAGGCCAAAGCTACGCCCTGGATAGGAGATAATATCAAGCCTTCAAGAAAGAATACTTCGACCGGGAAAATATGCTTCTTCGCACCAAGCGCTTGCTCCTGGCAAGCTTCACACGGCCTTCTGGAAGAATTTCGGACTCCAGCCACAGCATCTTTGTAGGAAAGCAGTGAGAGACGTTGAAGGGACCAATCGCATCACGCACCGACCCCACGATGTCCCTTTAAACAACGGTGGGGGTGGGGCTCGGCTTCTAGACGCCGAAAACGCGGCTTGACAGGATTTTGAGAACTTCTCTACAGTCATACCATGTTAGAAATTCTTGAGAGAAGTCTTTTCAATAGTTAGTCGAAAGGCTACCCCAGGAAGCATCCTGCCTATCTTCAAGTACGAGTTCTTTAATACGTGAGTTTAGCTCTGCAAAAAGTTGCAGTTAGCAAAGGTTCCCTCGAAACAGGCTCCGGAGTCGAGTCTGAAGAACTCTTTCACTTGAAGCGGCTTACTCCACGATAAAGACTAAATACTCTTTCGTAATAAAAAGAGGCTATGTTTCAGACAAATGCATGCACACATTGCGTAGTGTTGGGCTTGCCTTGTCCCTTCCGCTTTCTAGCCTCGAGTTTGTTTAGATTGCTCTGCTGTCTTTCTGTGCTCCATCTCTTACTTTTCATTGCACTGCGAACAACTTCAGTACGTTGCCAAAAGATTGCAGATGAAAGAAAGTTGTGGGAATGAACTCCTATTTGCCAACTGACCACTTTCAGACCATTCGGGGCCCCCGTGAATGTGCGACTCGTCCTATCTTGACATATGGTTTGAGGTCTCCCTTCTGATAGAGGTGTCATTCTTGCCTTCCAACTTTCTATTTGTTGTTGCGATCAATACTCCAATGGGTAAAAAGCATCATTGTAGCGCATTACAATTCCACACGCGAGCGTTGCTTGCAGTTGAAACGCAAGAAAGAGCATTGCAGTATTGATTTTCCTGGCAATTATCATTTATGACTATCATCCAGGTCTGGTTCCATATTCCATATTCCATATTCCATCCGAGAATCGAAACCCTTTGACGGAAGTAATCTTGTATCTCTTACTCAGACTATTAATCATCGCCTTGGATTGCCCGTAATCGCGCCACCCTCAAGCAACTCCACTACTTTAAGATTTGCTAACGATTTTTCGGACTCAAAGCCTCCAAGTCTTACTTGAGCTGACGAACCCGCCCTCTCTATCTGTTGTTGCTTTAAGGATCCGTCTAATATTCGAGCGTTAGTCAAAACAGCCTTGTTGTTAAGGAAATATCGCTTCATACTAGTTATTGCAAAATCATAGCACCCCTGAGCGACGTCTCTATCCGCCTTGATGATTTCTGTAATTATTTTGGCCGCTTCTTCCCAAGACTTAAAGGATTCCCTCATATTCTGGCCAAATTCCTGTAGAAGTAGGTCGTTTTGGGAAGCTTTCGTCAGAACCGGAACGTCGCCTTCCAAAATATCATCAGAGCTGACAACGCAAATAAGCTCCTTGAGATTTTGCAAGTACTGGTTAACAGTCCGTTGTTCATGTGTGAGGTAACAAAAATGGTTTCCACTGTTACTCCAGAGGTTGGAGTCAATAGCAAGACTTGTCAATTTGTAGGATGATCCCTGTTTATACAAATCCGCAAAATAATGCTGATGCCACCATATGGAGACCACCTCAGCCAAAGGGTGTCTATATTAAGATTGGCGTAAAGTATTGGAGTCTGATAGTGCGAAGCAAGGAAGTTCTCCTTCACCTTCAATGCCTGTTGACGTGCTTCGTTGCAGACTCTCAACAAGGCGCATTTTGCTTCGTTTCCACACCACCAGGAGGATCACAGCATCTAATCTCATAATTAAAACACTAGACGGCAGGACAGAAGCCTTTCAGTACAACCCGCAACTCATATTATTCCTCTCTATACCATTCCTCATACAATCGTTTTTTGTTTTACAGAACTTCTAAGTACATTTGTCTTCAAACCCCTTGCAAGCTAGTCGATCGAACAACATCCATATACCTGATAGATGGGATTCTGAGACTCTTGAGTCTCTGGAGAGCTGGGTCGTCCTCTGCCCTGAAGCGCTGCAATATATCTTTCAAATAGTCAGTGGCAGTCTATAAATCAAGAGTAAAGACTACTTACCCGTCCTGATCATTCTGAAATTCCCATAAGACCACCTATAGTACTCTGCTTCCCGCTTCCACGTAGGGAAGGATGCGTCCAAATCAAGATCCTTTTTGATACTGATTTCCTTCTGTGACCTTGGCTCGACAAAAACAGCCTCGTCGTCCTCCCTAATCGTCTCGCTGTCGACCACCAGTATAAGCTCTTCCAGGGCAAAGTCTTTCAGCGAATGATACTTGAAGAGTTTACACTTGTTGCGGGTGTCTGCACTGATTGCGAGACGTCGGACACCCTTCAAAGGCAAGTCGAAGAGGTTGGATGTGCTCTTGTAGTTGACTAACCAAATCGTGTCGACGGCGAGATTGGCGTATATCGTGGGAGCCTGCGGTATGCCTTCGTAAATGTTTTTCTTCACTTTCATCACCACGTTCTTTGCTTCGTTGCACACGTGCGCAAGAGGACAGCCGGCTGCTGTACTAACAAAGAACTTTCCTCCATTTTTCAAGCCCACGATTTGAGGTACCGCTGCTGCTTCTTCCCATATCTGGAGACGTAATTCGAATGGAAGTTCCCGGAAGAGATGAAACTCCTTGGTGGGCCCGATGTCAGATGTCTGGGTCTTATCCTCCGGCTGGGTGAGCTGTGTTGGAATCTTCATGGAAGTGATGGTCTTTGAGGTGGTGTTTGAGCGAGGTAGAGGCGCCATCTTCTTAAGGTTCGCAATCATAGTTGCGAAATGTGAGATGACGAACGAATGGAGATATGTGATGACCAAGACGTTAATGGAAGTGAGGATGGCAGTCAAGACGTTGTTGGATGTCGAAATGATGTGCGTATGTAATATCTCAAGCTTGGACCAATTTGAAAAGGAAAGGAAAATTTTCATTATCTCGGGAATTGTGAATGTGCGGATGGGAATTAGACAAGCTATTAGCTAGCTGCAGTGGTGTTACTTTGAAGTCTGGTTATACTAATACTTAGGACCACCCTTAGGACCCAGAACACGCGGGGAAAAAAAGATGAGATAATCGTTTAAGCACAAAATAAATACATAACACTACAGTGAACGGATCGGGTCTTCGCTTGCGAAGGGTAGGAATTATAGTTCGTGTATTTGTGACGTGGAAAGCCTCGAAGCGCAATGTGGAAACTGGTAACTAACCGTTGTGCTTTTAACTGCATGAAGAGGAAAACAGGTACGGGGCGGAACTCATCCGTTGAAAAGCAACCTATTGGGATATTATCTTGTCTCATGCTTCTTCATATTCCTTTCCTCGCGCTCCAATACGAAGTCTCCATTTCGCTTCTGTTGGAGACTGCTCGCTTTGACTACCTCCATATACTTAATTTCGGGTACCAGCCAAGGCAGGGGTGGCTTCACTCCTGCTTCCTCCATTGCGTGTTTAGGCAATGGTACGGCTGTATTATGTTAGTAGTTGATCTTGAATAGGATATATGGGAAGGAGTCATAAATACAGCGATCCAAACCAATGGCCAACTCACCCAGGATCTTCATCAATTCATAGTTCTCAATAACAGCCAAGTCCTCCTAGTTTTTGTCCCATGCCTGGCTGTTATGCCTATCACAATCCTCAACTTGGTGCTTGATCAGGTGCGGCCGCTCTTGGGTAGATGAAGACGAGCTCGTCATTGTCGCCGATCTCCTCTGATTTTACAGCAATCACTACCTCCTCAACGTCCATGAAGGGAAGACGGGATAATAAGGAAATATCCGCTAGTGGTTCTCGAACTTCCCCTAAACCAAAGCAGATAATCTATGGCGAGGCGCTTGATCCCCGCCAGGGGAATTTCCATGGCTCCGGGCGTAGGACCTCTGGGCATCATCTAGTTGATAGGGTCAATAAGCCAGATCTTGTCGACGTCGAGGTAAACGTATATTTTCGGGCACCGTCGGCTTTCGGGGCTATGGTAGAGATCTTGCTTGGTCCCAAGAGCCTCGTTCCGAGCTTCCTTGCTAACGCCGAGGGGATGACAGGGCGCTGTGGTTCCTTCAAGTATATCCCGATATTTGCCACTGCGTAAGCCAATGACTCGCGGAAACGCGGCCGCGAAGCCCCATATCTTCAGCCTGAGCTCGACTGGGAGGTTTGGGAATGCGGGAAACGTAGTGGGAGGAGTTTCGACTTTGGGGCCTTCGATATTGAGGCCAAGGAAAGGAAGAGTGCTGCTAGCACCCACAGCATTACTAGACATTAGTGGACCAGGAGTCGATGTAGAAGACACATTTAGCCTACTAGACAGTAATGGACCAGTAATTGATGCAGAAGACATGTTTAGCCTGCTTGACGTTGGAGGTGGATGAGAAATTGCTTGAATTTGTACTTTGCACGATGAAAGATAATGTGAAGTAATTGGGACAGCAATGAAGGTCCGTAGAGGTCTAACAGCAATGCACACACAGTTTGAAAAGTGATGTTTTTGACAAAGCCAAATTCAATCTTGAACGGCAGAAAAAGAGAAAATCACGTGAAACCTATAAAATAAACATGAGGATATTCTTTCCTTCCAGGTCTCACCCCTCAAAAGTAGATTACCTGAGATAAGTGGTAATCTAAAACCCAAAAATCAAGTTCACTTGCTGATTCTTTGCCATCTAAAGATAATGATTAAATCCTATGTTTCTAGGAAGATTGACACCAAACGAACACCCCAGAGCACTAATCTTTATACATTGCGTGACAAATTATCGCCTATCCTATTCCAAATAGAAACCTCAAATGTGCCCGGTTGAGGTCAAGTCAAGGACATTCCTGCCACTGGGGGGCTGGGCTTCACTTCGTACTACCCGAATGCCAGGTGGTGGGGGTTCCTTTATATGCTTTCTTTCTCCTGCGAAGACATACATACATGTCTAGGGCCAAAATTAATTGTCTTGCATAATCAGAAACAGAGTGGTGCTAGACTCTTGATGCAAAGGCACACACTTTCGCCTCTAAAAACACGCGCCGTCATGACGCTGTGTTCGGGAGAGCTATATGAGACAGGGGGAAGGATATTTGGATGCATAGGAGTATATTGGCACTTGCCATACTTGAAACCGGCAAACAGTTTGTTGGCCATCATGATGTGGAGGAAAACCTGTTCAAATCAAATTTGTCTCACCAAGCATATAGAAACCAAGCGAGTAGTTCATTAACATTTATTGATAATGCTTATCTCAACTTCTATCATCACCACACATCTCATTTGACATGTTTTCTCCACATCTCCCCCGTCCGCTCGCATTTCCCTAAACCCAAATCAGGTAGTGGAATAGCAGACAACACCCGCCCAGATTTAAGCATTAAACATCCAAGTACATGGTGTGCTGCCAATGACAGGCAGCGTGGTATCGATATCAATACAAAAAGAAATCTCCCAACAAGACATAAAGTTGACGCCATCATGCAAAAATCTAGTGCAATGCAATCCCAACCAGTCCATTCATCTCCAGTTTCCGATAAGTGGAAGTCCAGTAAGGTATTGAAAACGCCAGAAAAGATATTTCGAAGCCAGTCATGATCTACTTTTGACTTGCTCCGCTAAGTAGCGAAGGAGCGACGCATTTGCCTAACACCAGGGTATGCAAGAGTATTTCGAAGTGGCGCTAATAATGAGGAATAGAATAAAGATTTGTGGATATGTATAATGAGGGCACCTCAGCTAGAAGGCGACGCAAACTGAGGTCCAATGAGAAGCGAAACATCACACCCGGTCGGCACCCAGGTTAAGCCAGCTCATGTCGTTGTTCGGCGGTTGAGGGCGTGATCTTTGGGTTGTAGGTGGCGTTGGAAAGCGTAGATCCTGTGTCAAGTTGTTGGCGGCATTTCGTGAAGTGTAGATGCTTTCCGAGTAATTGCTACTCGGAGCTCGACCGTCTGCCCAATTTGATCGATCGACTGGGGTCCACGAATCTTGTTCGTGGACACTAGCTGGTACGCCACTCGAGTAGGCATCATAATGATCATCGGTATATGATGAAAAAGTACTCATAGAACCCGATCTTTCGATCTGACCTGACATCTCTCGCGAGGGAACATCGGTAGAGAGATGTGCGATAGTTGGGCTGCCTGACGCAACCCTGTTTAATTCTGGCCGTCCTCCAATTTTTAAAGGAGGTGGCATGGCTGATGCCTGGGTGACACCGCTCTGTTGTCTGTTGTCCGAGTAGAAAGAATCCGTATCTTCCCCATAGGTTGTCCGTTTCGATCCGAATCCAATAATATTCAGGGCGCTTCCGCCAGACCAGTATCTATTCCACCCCGAGCTCCGTCTCATACTCCCTCGTCTGCCTGGAGCTCCTCTTGGTCTTGTCAGAGGTGGTCTGTCATCTATGAAGGCCACATCGTCTCTGGCTGGCTCCTTAATTGAGGCCAAATGTCGTTCTTGTGGTATAGGTTTGCTGATCGCGGTTTTGTATTTCTTATTGAATTGACTGCTCGAGTCGCTGCTAAAACTCCCTTCACCCTTTTCACTACCTCTCTTATGGCCGACTCGCCCCATCAAAATCGCGACGGACGAGAATGACCCGTTTGATGCATTCGGCTCGTGCCCACGGAACTGTCTCGTCGAACTCCTTTGCGGCAAGCCTCTGTCTGCGAAATCCATGGCATCTTTCTCGTCTGGGATCCCACTTGAACGCCGTTGATGACCAGCGTCAGCATACTGTTTCCGTTGCCTTCGCCACCGGAGAAAAAAAAGCAGAACAATCAATATAGCAGCAAGACCTAGAATAGATCCCAAGACGGCGCCAAGGATCTTCACTGGAAATGGTGGATCCGAGCCATTAGATTTGGCAGCCGCGGCCGCGGCTGACGTGGTCTCCGATGGCGATGAGGCGGTAGTCGATGCTGTTGTCGAGGCAGCTCCGATATTCCCGGTGAGTACCCCCTGATTCTCGGCCTTGGTCAATTTTGCCGTGGCGTTGACCCAAGTATTATCCCTTGCCTTGAACATACATAGCACGTCCTTTTCGTTTCCACCAGATATCACCACTAGGCCACTCTGATCTTTAGCCATTGACCATGATGTCCTTGTACTTGATGGTACCAGGGTATTATTGTAGGCTGGCCAGTCAGCAACTGTCAGGTTGCCCCTTCTCTCTAGACCCGTCGGGTTCTCCTCCTGCCTGCCTTCCAGGCTTCTCGAGCCAATGGGTTTTGAATTCTGAACTGGATTCCCGTCGGCATCCACCAAAAGAGTCCGATTAACAGCATTCGGTGAGACTGACATATCAAAGGTATAGAGCGACTTGCTAGAATCATCGCCATTAATAACAATGGACTTGATGGCTGAGGAGTTGTAGAGAGGAGCGGCCAGAGTCGCATTTGAATCCACCCAGCCATCCGATGGGCTGAATATCATTGCTTTGGTGTTGGTTTCACTTCCTCCAATGTACATGGCATGACTTTCAGACCACTGCATCAGCAAGGGAGATACACCGGGGGGTACGGTAGCTGGGTATGCCAATGCGGCATATGGCTCAGAAGCTTGAATGGTAAACGTTTGTGATGATGGAGCCATAATGCCATCCTGATTTCCAGCAAACACAAGAATTGAATCCGAAGCATTGAGATAAGCCGCGTTGTGATATACTCGATTTTGGGTGACCGGCACGGTTGGCTCTATCGTCTCCCATTTCGCATCTGCAAACGTGTAGCGCTGTAATCCCTTGTAATCACTGGAATTGGACGTCCCGCCGACGATGTATAATGCTGCAGCACTCGTGTCATTCTTCGGTGTAGACTTAACACAAACTCCTCCCTTCACCGGAACTCCCATATCTAATTCCATCCATTCTGCGCCCTGCGTTATGGTGAGCGATTGAAAAGCCTCCGAGGTGTATGTGTAAAGAGTGTTGTTGAATAAAGTCGAGCAAGAATCCTCCAGGGGATACTTGGGTATGGGAGGAGGCATGATGGTATCTTGAAGCCCGTGGCTCGATGGACGCTCCCCCACGATGTCGGTCTGGCCGATTTTCCCTTTCCTAATGTATACTTATTGAGGCATAGTAGGCAATGACGTGCCAATAATAGTGTCGAATCCAAAAGAAAGGATGCTATTGAAGCGGTCGAATTGGAGTGACCAAGCTAGTTCGATGCGAAAGGATGCAACCGCACCCACTTCTCCCAAATAGTCTCGAGTGACTTCTCGTCTCGTCCCTAGATGCCCTCGCAAGCAGAACCTTGAGGTAGGAACAGGTGTACTCCCGAAAAATACTGGTTGGGCAAACTTTGAGGTGCTGTGACCAGAAATCAATTGAAACGAACGGAGTGAAAGATGGCTAATCTCAGCGTTTGCCCGGCTCCCGTTGAAACTCCTCTAAGACGGAAGAGGATTCGGCACCCTCTTGCTGCTTGCAATCCTGCCACGAGTCGGATGAAGGTCTGGAGAAGCTCTGGCGTGATTGAAACACGAGATGGAAGAGACTCGAGAAGCGAATAGTCGAACGATTTGAATATCCCGAGTACGGCGAGGACCTGCCCGGCAAAGTTGATCTACAGACCACACCTAAAATTTGGTTCCGCTGTAATCAATGCAAAGTGATGCTTGGACGTCTTGGGTGACAGAAACAAGTCCAGGGTCGTCACAGATATAATGATATCGAAGCAAAGTAATGTCTAGAAGCAGATGGATACGTCGGTATCGTGGAGTGTGTTGACGTGCAGGAGAAGATAGATTGGGAGGTTGAAGTCTGGAAGGGTTTGTGCCAGACAGGCTGCTTGATGATCCTTCTGGTTGGGGTTATTGGATTTGCTCAGCAATCTCTCCATCCACCGCACTCGGTATGGCTCGAGGATGGTACCATACGTTTTCGTGACTATGGGCCGGCGAAGTCTAGCGTGTGTGCGAGGGAGGGAAGGCGCTGCTGAGTCCGCGTCAAACCCCTGGAAGTGGTGCTTCTCACTCAGGCAAAAAGGAAGGATGCGCGGAGAGGTTGGGGAAGGAGGGAGGTGGAAGCGTGGTTTTGCAGGGTATAGACGTGGCGCGAGGGTTTGAAGCGGATCGCAGGATAATGATAAGCAGCAAAATGATCAAAAAGAGGGAGAGGAATCATTCCCAATGTCTAAGATACTCGTAAAAGTTTATCGATGGTATTATGCAGCGGCTGAATCGCTGATACTGTCTGTATGGGCTGTTAACTGGGCGGCAAAGAGTTCATTTGAGTTCATTCGAGTAAGCCTTCCCCTTCACAACTTGACTTGTGAAAGACACAGACGTCTACTCCGTTCACAAAAACTACGCTTCGACCACGAGGTCCCCGAAAATAACCCAAAATCGTGCGGCACTTTCACTATTTTGGTATGGGGGCACAATCGGGACCTGGCTAGTAGCTGCCGTGCCGTCTGTACAGTACCTGACACCCTACCCTTTGGGCATGGTGTGGCACTGTGGACAGCGTGAAACGAAGACTGGGGACTGGCGAATCACTACTTTCGGAGTAGTCAGGGGCACTCTGTTTGGAACTTGAAGACCATGAATCGCATGCACGGCAACTGCTGTTCTGGCCATGCCGTTCATACAGTATCTTGAGTTTACTTTCTTTACCTTCAGCTTCATGTTGATGCTGAGACAGCACATGAACTGATGACTGACTGCCTGACTGACTGACTGACTGCATCCAGGTTAAATGCTGCGCTGCGCTGTGCTGCGCATCGTAAGTAGAAGTAATCTACTGGTACGATTATGATATCTGCATTGTTTAGGGACGTCTCCTTCTATATTGCCCAATCAGGGGATTTCGTCGGCATGCTGAATGTGGCAGAGAGACTCCCCTGTCTGCATTATTATTTATTGGTTGCACCACCTGAGTGGTCAGACACGACACGCACGTACGAAGTACGGAGGAAACGGATCTGAGTGAGCCTGCAAGGGCGAGTAAAAGAGGGCCGGCACTTCTGTCCCAACTTCTCTAGCAACCAACCTCAACCTTTTATCGGATACAGACTGGAGAGTTTCTAACTGCCTGCGAGTCCCCAACAGCAGCATCATATTTATCGCAAGCGCACGTTCTGATGGTAATGTTAGCTTCGAGAAGTCTAAAAGCTCTTGATTTCCATGATCCAGCTGCCGTACGGTACTGTATGGCTCGCATTAATCCAGGCTTGTCTCCTTAATTCGCTTGAACCGCCATGACATTAGGAACATTTTCTCTTCGACGATGCTTTAAGCGCTCAACTCAAAAGCTCATTTCTCTCTTTAATGCTGATCCGTTCTGTTTTTTGGTCATGTGCTTATTTTTTGTTGGCTTCAAGCGCGCGCAATAAAAAACTGTCTGTGATGCGCTCTGCTCGCCTGAGCCAATGGAACCTGAGAACACACCTCAACGTGCTGCACCAAGAACAAATTCGCGTACTCAACATGAGCGCGAGGAAGAAAGCGTCTAGGGAAGTGAAAGGGCTGAGATCAGCTTGAACTCTAAAGCTAGAAGTTTAAACGATCTTGTTCACTTCGTCGATCATATCACGACTCGTGATGGTCGTCGGCCTATAGCTGATGTGATAGAAGACAGAACTTCAAGGCACTGTGCGTTTACTAGAAGCTTAAAATGGGTTCAGCATTGTGGCGGTAACAGTCACAATTCACCTATTGAACTATTCCGTCACGCAATTATCACACCGCCAGTCTTTATTGTCGCATTCAGCTTCTCTCATAGCGCGGTGGACATACTTCGTTTGACTTCGTTCACACGGACTGGAGCCCTTTCAATTCATTTTTATAATGACTGAACATAGTTTACTAGTGCTCGGGACGAAGGAGAGCAAAGCGTGTTGCGTCTCACTGCTTACAACATTTCCCATGGGCTGTGACTGCACATTTTTGGTATGTCAATCGGCATACGCTCATGATCTTTCTTTCTGTCCTTTGCACGTGGTGGAAAGCCCTGCTCAAGCTCTCCGTGGGTTTCACTTTCATTGTCTCATTGATAATGAGGCCATATGCTGCCTTTTTCCAAGAAGCACAATCTCGACCTTGAGGATACGATGTGCCATATCCTATAAAATAATCAGTCTAGATTTCAAAGTTCGCCGTAGATTCTTCCTTCTGAAATGAGATGTCCAAATGAGCTATGACGAGGAGAAGTTTGGAGGAGTAGAGTCGCTCGTGGCTTGTTTGAAGAATCGTCGAGGAGATCCTGATGCTATGTTGACTTTACCAACTATTGATCACTATCACCCACCCACCCCAAGCAATCCCACACCCTCGCCTTGAATAGGAAAAACAGCTTTGTTTTCCTTATGTTACGCCGATAGCGACAACTAAATGCCATAATAACAAGTACTTCTTTTCAAATCTCCCCACATGCCCTCTTTCCCCTCTATACCTAGCAAGCAGATATGAATATGTCCTCTTACTTCTTCCCCCCAATACCGTATTCGAGGAATCATTCCCCTCCCTAACCCAAAGAGGAAACTTGCTTGACCCCACCATCTGGGCGACCCGCACTTATTTTAAGAACATACCGATCCGATACACCGCATGCCAGCTTCGTACAATACGTACCCCCATTGCATATAACACGTTTAATCAATCCCTTGAAACCCCATGTATGCTCTACGCTCCGTACCGCATAGTAAATTTACGACAATGTCCCCATAAAAACACGCGCACGTGGAAACAACGTTGCCTATAGTACAGTATATCGAGAGGATCCACATCCCTCCCCCCTCCCCCCCGATTATACGAGAGAGGCTCAGACCCATCCGCCACACCCGTACCAGGGACGCGATCCGATCGAAAAGGCAGGATGAACATGAGGATGAGAAGGACCGATACAGATGGATGGTTGTTATGCTCTATTGCGTGATGGCTATCCGATGTCCGGGGAAGGATCTGGATTCTGGAGGATGCCATGGATGCATGACGAATGTGGATTGCGGTTTGTAATTGATAGATAAGGAAAGGTTCAAGGGATACACAATCACAACCACAATACCAGCTGATAATAATATTATATTTAATTGAGAAAGCTTACGACATGTCAGTTAGTTAGTTGATGAAGGTTGCTTGTAGATAAGTCCATGATTTCTTGTCTCGATGCTTTATTTGACGAAAGAGGGAAGTGCCAAACAGATAGACCACAACGCAACACCACACTGCACAAAACAGTCCAATGTCTTTGATATCAAACTGCCGTGTCTTCAATACAGCAATCCCATGATCCTTTAAACACATTTCCTAGCAAGCGCCCTAGTTTCACATGATCATTTCCAACGTTCATACAATAATAGGATTTTGAAGTGCTCTTTCAAAAAGGAAGGTCAGAGTGCTACATAGCCGAGTGAGTGACTTCGCCCCGATATCATATCAAGATACTAGATCTATCTTGAGTATCCTGTTTGAGACTCATCGCCTTTGTTGCAGATCGCAGGTTGTGTTTACATTCCTCCCATTCGGGCATGACATACATACATACATACATACATATAGTCTTTATCTATAATTGACCTCTCCCCTCCTCTTCTTTCCCACACCCACACCCTTTTCCCCTCTTTCTTTCTTCCCCAACATCACACCCCACCCCACAACGAGTGTCAACAAGTCCAAAACCCACCATAGATATGATCAATCACTTTATCTTGTAGCTTTCACTTATATTCCGAACTTTATCAGATAGATAGATAGTCCCAATGAAAACAGAAATGGTCTCAAACATATAGATTAAGTCTCAGCTCCCAATCAATTGCAAGCTTAGACTCAAAGACATACTCGCTCAAGCCCCTCCTTCAATATCAATCTATAACCTACCTTACCCACTGTCAGCACCAGAATGATGGTTTTCAACTACCGCTGCCCCTCATGATCAAAAACCCAACGCTATAGATGGCATATGTCTGCTATTACTAATCCAGGGTCATAGTCTTTGGAATGGTATCTGTGTAACAAAGCATCATCTCATAAGGCCCGTTCCTACGTGCATGCATACATCTAGACAACGTGAGCTTGATATTCCTTGTGCCCACCCCCCACTCCACAACACCTCACATCCCTACGAAAACGAGGAGATGTGAGATTCGGTGCTGGGTTTCATGTTGATGCCTAAATGGTCGGTGCAATCACAGGTACACTGAAGCAATTACTGATTGTTGTTGGAAAAGTGATTGGTTTAAAAGACACTCACTCAGCCGAACGAAGTAAGTCCTGGTGGTCCAAGACAAAAATGAGTGAATTGAAACTCCGATCAAAAGTGATAGCCAATATAAGCTACCTAACAATAATGCTTACAGGGAGAACGCCTCATGATAATGCACCATGCGGGGTGGAGTGAAATACTAAAAGTCCATGTTATTCAATGCCGCGTCTGGCGTGAGCATGCGTCTAAGACAATGAGCTTAAGAATCCTTGTCCCCCTTTCCCAAATTGCCAATAAACACCAAAAGCAGGCTCAAACAATCCACAAGTCATCGTTCTCTCCTCGACTCAGCTCATAGCTCAAAACTGCACCGGTAAAATATGTAAGCATTAGTCTCCACCTCCGTGGCCGTGTACTCTTTCTCGCATCCCAAGGCTCACTTGAGGGTTGAGGGGAAACCGCAATGCCCAAAAGTGGGACTGGATTTTTATTTTTCAAAAAACCGACGTGTTGACTGAAAGGGAGTACGAGGTCCAAACGAAGCATCACTACCGGACCGTGCTGCGAGAATCTATTTTCCAACCTGGTAAGAGTGAACAGAGCAACTGCGCCTATCTGTGATGCTACAATGAGAAGTGATAGCTCTGGAATTTTGGCAATCATGTTGAGCCGATGGTAATGTATAAGTGTCGGTCCGTCGGCGTCGGGGGTATTCCATATTTCATTGATGGTCTGAAGAGAACCAGGGGTTTAGCAAAGGTCCCAAGGATTGTGAAATCTCATAACATACCGTTACGCTACTTAAAACGTCATGACATATCGTGCTCGGAAGGCCCAAATTTCCCATGGGTAATAGTTGCACACTAGTTCTAAGTGCCTGAAAAATTGCCACACCTTCAGGAGATGAAACCTTGTCAAGGTCCGGAAAGAAGTTTCTGATGCCCGGAAGTTTCATTGGCTTTAAGGACTTTAGCTTCCTTAAATAGTCTTGCCAGCACGTCTTATCCGCTATAAAAGGTCGAGGCGGATTTAGAGAACGCTGCGTACAGGAGGAGAGTTAGCTAACTTATATTTCAATCACCGTTTACGAGTAAACTTACACGTAGAGCTTCAGTGGTCAAGTTTTGATTAGGAACCTTCTCGGAGACTCTTTCCATGTCTTTTATAGCCGTAGTATTAGCCTCGGCACTTTCAAATGTGGGAGAAAGTGTGTCTGCGGTGTTTCTGGCATCGCTTTTGGTACAGTTTATATCAAAAAAGCCGCGAGCATGTTGCACGATGGCTGGCTGGTCGCATCCTAGAGCCATCTGAGGTGTCAATTCGATCTGAAAGTCCCTCAAAGGTATAACCAGAATGCCCCAGCCCCTATGGATGATTCTCAGCAGCTAACAACAACTAATAGTTACGGTGTTAGTACTTACATTTTGTCGATTTCAACTGTTGGATGATGGTCGCTTGAGTATCGGAGATGTAAGGAACTGGGTCCCAAGGATCCAAACCCACGGTTTGGCACCCATAGATCTAATGACCACAGGTTCCCGCAGACATCAGTGGCAAAAATCGAGTCAGCGTCAAAGTCTTGGTCACTAGAGAAATCTAGCGATGGAATATTGTGACCCATGCGACCGAATAATAATTTATAACCACGATGACGATCTTCGTGCGCTGAGATTGGATGGGAACTGCGTAATGGAAACGCTTCGTTGGGGTTAGAAGAACCGTGGTTCGATAATTTACTCTGCAGTGTATTTCCTTCGATCGCAAATGCAAAAACTGTGATCTGATGCTTGTTTGAGCTGACAGCTATGAGGCGTGAATTTTGGTGCACAGCTAGCCCCCAAGCACTTCTACCCACATTCTCATGGAACATAGGAACCGTCTCACTGATCGAACCCCTCTGCACCGTCAAGCTTCGACTGATTTCAGCATTCAGTTGGTGCGTATAGTAGGCAATGATATCGCCATCGTCGCAAGCCATCAAGAGGACCTCGTGAATCCCAAGGTTGCCTATGACTGTGAAACTAGGATTAGCTTTCCCCAGAGCAAGACTGTTTTGCGTTTATCTTACTCATGTGATTGACTGAATGTGGGTGGCTCGAATCGATGTATCCCCCGGCCATAATACCATCGGGGCCTCGTGGTAGAGCAACCTTAATGTCTGGAGTTCGAGGTAGTTTCTGCTTTAGGCCCTGAGGAATTGAAACATGTATCGTGCCTTCGTATGCTGCAAAGTAGAGCTGTGATACATTAGCATGGTCCAAGCAAGTGAAACATATCAGCAACGAGCAGAAAGTCAGAGCTGCCGCTTGAGGCCCTCGCCATTTTCAATCACTTATAGGGATTGAGAGATTCAAGCGAGGAAAGGCATGGTGCCAGCATACATTGTATCTCTGGGATAATGCAGTCAGGTTCATTCTCCATTCTGCATGATCTGGTGGTATATATTCGCCAAACCGCTCCTTTGACGATTGGTATGCAAAATTCCCGACGCCAATCTCCTGGAAATTTCTGGCCTTGGGCCTATCCATATTGGGTTCGATGTCTTGAGTCGGAGCTTATCAATGCCTTGGTGAGATGGGACATGTTTACAGGTCTTGAGTGAAGGTTGAAGTTTTGCTCCTTCCCCCTCGAAGCTTGTTGACGTTCTTAGCGTGAGGCTACAGGCGAGGCTGTCGTATCGATAAGCAACTAAAGCTTAACTGTACTGTTCACAAGAACAAGACACTTCCTGCTTGGCGAAGTTTTCAAGTGTATAGTACCAGCCCAGCCTAGCTAGCTGTCACTAGCATTTGAATAAGGATAATGTATTAAATGTAAAAACTTAATACCCTAGGTATAGATACCTACCTAGGTACGTCTTACAAACTCAAAGTAGCAAACTTGCATGCATGCATCCCATGACACCGTCCCCATCTAATATAACATGCCACAAACACTTAACCTCTCTCCCTCCTTTCTTATTATCTCAACTCCCGTACGTACGTACTCCGTCCAAGAAACAGTCTGCGGAATGAATTGGCATGCACAGGCTGAATTTTGGTGCATACACGTGACTTTATTCCGCATACTTTTTCTCGGACGGAGAGGTATTCCCCTCCACTTCCACTTCCACTTCTCCATGTACTTCCTTATTTACAAGAAGTCTATGGCTACGTAGTATCTACATGATGATCTCCAGTACGCTACCGGTAATAACCATTTGATTCCCGTTTATAAAGATCCTTATCGTTATTCTTTGTTCTTATCGTGAATGTGGGAGAGGAGTGGAGGGACACTACTGTACAGGAGAATGAGAGGCAGGGATACTGATAAGGAGGACCATGGAACGCCACTCACTTACGACGTACACTTACGGATACGGGGGATTGTTCTGAGACGGGACGGGAGGGACGAGTGGAGTGGCTACTGTAGAAGGGAGGGGATGGAGGCGCTTCTGGGGTGCATGCAGGACGCTGATGTCATGGTGGCTATTTTGACGTCTGTCGGTCTGGATCTGGAGTTGAAGGTAGGGTAATGTTTTGTAGGAGGTTGAATCGGAGCATGAGATTGGAGATTGGAATGACGATCTATAGGTAGGTGGTTGCTTGCATGTGCTTTATTTATATAAGTCTACTTTGCATGCTTGCTGTAGGGACTGAGAATACAGTGTATTCTAGAGAAGAGTAAGTGGATGCCGCTTGGTAGGGAGCATTGAAGAAAAAACTTGTGCAAAAGTGAGTATAGATTCGTAAATGCATATAGCTTTTGTGACAATATACATATGTACAATTATATGGGGTTAGAAATACAAAAAGACAGGTTATGAATGGCCAGCATACTTTCAGCCAGCTGGATATCGCTAATTGACCCAACTCCTTTTACCCAACATGTCTAAAGATGAATCCAAAATTCTCCATCTCATCTCCATGTTCCCCCTCTTTCACTCATAAGCCATTAGTAGCAGGTACAGGTTTTTCGTTGTGTTCATCGGCATCAATACCCTGAGCATGACGATCGCCTTGAATCCCAGTATGCGCATTTCCAGCATCCCGCTCCGGTGAATGTCCATTAATCATATCGCTGTGTTGAGGGATCCCGTACCTGTCTCCCGCGGCAACATTGCTCTCCGTCTTCTCGGGCTCGTCCTTGGCGGGTGTCCACGCAAGGTAATCTCTGCGGACCTCAACGTAATCGTAGGCGAACTCGCCGAGTTGATCATCGTCCATACCAAGGAGTTCGGCATCCTCTGATGCACGAAGATGTAGGCCGGGGATGTAGTTGATGATGTAGGCGATAATGGCGGACATCACAAAGGCATAGCCGGTGCAAGCTACAATGTAGGCAACTTGGATGTAAAGTTGCTTGTAATTGTGATTGAGCCAGCCGCCGTTTATAGCACCGTTTCCATTCACACCGTCTAATCCAATAATGTAGTCGGCGGCGAAGAGGGCGTTGAAGATGAGACCGACTATACCAGCGATGCCGTGCTCAGCGAAGACATCCATGCTATCGTCGATGCCGATCCAAAACTTAATCTTAGTTGCAAAATTAGAAACTATGCCAGTGACTATGCCGAGAATGACGGCTGCCCATGGTGGGATGAAACCAGAGGCTGGGGTGGCAGCGACAAGACCAGAAATACAGCCGGAACACCAGCCAACCATTGACCATTTCCTGCGATTGATTGTTAATAGATTCTCATGCATCTGGAGAGGTGAGATTACCTTGCAAGACGGTAATCTAGCAAGCACCAAGTGATTGAACCGAACATGGCAGCCAAACATGAGTTCCAGCAAGCCATAACAGCACGAAGATTGGCACCAAATGCCGAACCACCGTTGAAACCGAGCCATCCAAACCACAGAAGAATCGTTCCCAGTGTAATCAACGAAACATTGTGGGGTCTGAAGTTCAACATCATCTTCTCTTGACGCTTGCCCAACACCATCGAGTATGCGAGAGCCGAAAGACCAGATCCGATTTCGACAGGTCCACCTCCAGCGTAGTCGAGAACTCCGTATTTGTAACCCCATCCGTTGACGTTCCATGCCCAGCATGCAAGGGGGCAGTATACGAGTGTTGCCCAGCAGAAGATAAACACCATGGCTGGAATTAATCGCCCCCTTTCAGCAATAGCTCCTACTACTATTGCAGCTGTAGTAGCACAAAATTGTAGCTATAGAAAATTAGCACATAAGCGGGTAGCAGATATGAAAAGATTGCCCACCTGGTAAAAAGAATATAGCAATTCAGGAATAAGTGGTGATCCAGGTGAAGGCGTTCCCAGAACACCCTTCAGACCAAAACTTCCCAAATTTCCGATGAATCCATTTGTTGCAGAAGGGCTAAAGGCCAGCGAGTAACCCCAAAAATACCATTGGAACACAATTACGGAGAAAGAACCCATACACGCCCATATCATGGAAAGGGCAGACTTTCGACGTGCCAATCCCGAATATAAGAAGCCCAGGCCCGGAATCATGAGCAGTACCATGCATGATGAAACGATGATATACGCCTGGTCACCCGGATCGAAATATACGTTCAGATTATCGACGGCTGTAGTTCGATTGAAATGTTAGTATTGCATTCCACATGCTTTAGCAAGGGTTGTGGAAAGTGGAGGTTTCTTACCGGAATCGCCGCCAGTTTTCCCCGTACCATTATATGGCTGAGGGGGCCCAATTGGCGTATACGAAGACATGGTAAAAGGGGGGTCTCTCGTGCAATTGGATTTTGTATCTTGGGTACGAGTATAGATGGTTATGCTTGCTAAGGTCGGCTAATGCCCGCGACGTAATGACGTAGTATTGATGTGTACTTGTGACCAGACGAAAAACGGATTTTCTTGTCGAAGAAGGCGAGAGCAACCAACGACTGTACAGAGGCAAGAGCAACACAAACAACTCGTAACGGAGGAGATGAGGAGATGAGGAGATGAGGAGGAACAGAAGTCGGCGAAGACAAAGGACGTGTGATACGTCTCTCTGTCGTCGTAGAGGCGGTTGACGAATTGTCTAGATCTAAAGTATAAGACAAGCCAGAATGATAAAAGGCTAAAGGAAATCGAGGATTGGGCACGACTCTTTATTAGGACTCGCCCAAAAGCCGTACCATGAATCCCAAGCCAAGACCCGCGTTCGCCCTGCACTACTACTAGTAGTGGAACCAGCCCAGCATGCGCCTCGCCATGTCCCCGTAGCTCTCCGACTTGTTCTCTTGCATCAAGTTGCATGTCCATGCCATGTCCACGGAGAAGTTTTCGGGAGGGGCTCCTCAGTGGGAGTGAGTGGGGAGATCTGTAAGTACCTATGTAGATCTGCATGCCGTGTTGACACAGGAGCTTCCCTGCAATGCTCCAGAGCAGCCTCATTCGCTACATTGTTTTTTTATATCTCAAGGAAACGTGGTGGTCTGAAGAATCCTTTCCTGTATCATGCAACTCAGATGGGCGGATTCTTCTATGGGACAATAAGTTCGTCTCAAACATGAGTCTTCTTACTCAATGAAGCGATGAGGTAGAGCGGAAGGAAGTTTCTACCGTGACACAAAAGGCGAGGCACCCCTCATACAGAACGAGCAGGGTCGGACAGAGCGTGGGGAACGTGTCATTGTAAGATTACCAAGCATGAACGAGCGATATCGCCAGCTTGAGTTGCTTCGAGCAGGCAGGCCATCTTGTTATAATTCCCGCCCACGCGAGCAAAAAAAGTTCGTTTTAGCCCAGGGTGGTCTACGGAGTATGCATGGCATACAAGGCGGCGCGAGGCGGCGACAGGGGTGGAATAGCTTCACGGGGTGGTTTAAATACGGAGTACCTTAAATCGAAAACAGAACCAGTCATATGGCTTTCTTTCAGCCACCGAGGTGCCTATAAGGTAAGAAATATCCACAGACTGTGGGGTAAAAGTGAGGACAGCGGGAAGAAAGAGTTTCATGCGGCAGTTTATGTATATCAAAGAAGCTTCTGTATCCAAAAGACCAATTCTGCAATTGAGTCTCTACAGACAAGGAAGCATCTTTTAGTAGCATCATATCCAAGAGGCATAGCTTACAAGACGAACAGCACACTTCTAAAAGTATCAGGTTAAACCTCGAACCTGTCATCCTCTCTCTTGAAAATCTTTCTTGCAGCAAATGGCTTTTTTTTTTTTCACGAGAGAAGAGAAAATTGCAAGCTTCAGGTACCAAGCCAAGTCAGGTCCAAGCAGAGCAGCATGAGCATAAGCCCCCCATTTGGGATTTAAGGTGTCAACCTTGTACGCTCATGGGCCACGAGACAGGAGACAGGAGACAGGAGACATGAGAAATTTTCAGTCACCAAATTCCACTCCACGCTTCCTCTGCCGCGCTCGCCTGATGGAAGAAAGAGAAGCAAAGCAAATGCCATGTCATGTAATGCATTTGACTTGGCATGACGTCCATAAGGTAAAAGGTATTAATTCCAGCTCTGAGAGAGGCCAGAGATAAGGCTTTCCCAAACCGTTTGAATGAGGTATAGTTCAGCTTAGCCTTATCTTTGGAAGTCGTCGTTGGAGCTGGCCAATCATGTGGGCTGTGACAGAATATTTTGACATCCGGATCGGCTTGAAAATCCGGCAAGTGGATAACGGCAACAGGGTATCCTTGCACTTTTGGATTGAGCCGCTGTTATATTCTCCACGTGATTTGGATTCATGTGCTGATCCCTTGTCGAAGGTGTCAAGGTTCTCAATAGCAATCTGGATTAGATTTGGGCTCACTAAAATTTTGAAGATATACCGAGATTGTTACAAGTAAAGGCTCGTTCGTATGGCTAGGTATGAGTAGGATGCTCCATCAAGACGAGTCACAAGCTTTACTGTACCACACAGAAGCCGAATTAGGTATTGAAAATCAAATTATGCTATTTCTGGATAAGAGGAAAATCTACAAGCTACCTAGGTACAATCAAATCCTACAGTCGTAAATTTTTGTCCAAACCAAAGATAAAACGCCAACGCCATAAAACCATGCGGGCATAAAGTCATCACCAAACTAAACCAAATGGATATCCGCCAGCCATCTAAAAAACGCTCCCTTCGCCCCCAGGCATGCTACTCTGCAAACTCATCCGCGAGTGATTCGCAGCCATATCCTCCGGACTGAAGACCCTGACCGATTTCTTCGGCTTCGCGACCAACACCTGCGCAGGGCAGACGACAATCTCCTCGTCTCCTTCTCCACTATCATCGCCTTTCTTGACGACTAGTGGGAAGAGCACAACTCTCACGACAGCCTTCTGCGCTTCTAGCTCCTCATTCGAGACAGTATCCCCGCTGCGCTCGTTCATCAGCGCCGCGTTGAACGATACTTTGCTGGCAAGGTCGCCATTGGCATCGTATTCTGGCTGCAGGGGTGGGAGCATCATGTACTCCGCACGCTGAGTCCGCATCTCGATGGAGAGATCTACTGCCGCTTTCATTACTCTCTTCAACTGCTCATCGATCTGCGCCTCGAGGTGACTTGGTGGAGGAAGGATCTCGCTAAGTGTTTCTAATATTGCGTGAACGACGGCTTCGGTATCCTGCTCTCGTTGCTCTATGAATGCATCTCGTTTCGATAGTAGTGTGAGTGTGGTAGCACGCCATTGATGGACTGCTGCTGCTGGTCCGACCTCTGACAGTAACTTCTCCAAAGATTTGAGCTTCTGCCGTTGTTCCCGATCCATGCCGAACAGGTAGCGTGTGAATATGAACTCCCAAACCATTGTCATTGTCATCGACATGAACACGTCTCGGCGCTTGATTCTATCTGCGAGATAGTTGTCTACATCCGAACCGTCCAAGATTGCATTATCGAGTCGGTCAATAGTCTTGTCATTGTTGATCTCGCTCGTAAGCCTGCAGGCTCTCATATCGGAGAACTTCGAGAACCGCAGAACCCATTGTTGCACATGTTGACATAATTGTTGGCAGGCATTGTCAAAGTAGTCTTCGTCTCGGATGGTGAGAAAGTCGCTGTCGCCTGCTTTCGATGCTAAAATTTGCCTTTGCATTTCCCGAATCTGCTCCTTCGCGGACTCCAGCTGAGCTCGCAATTGAGCAATCTCTTCATCTTTCTCCTGTACAGACCTCTGAACCTCATTCCTCACGATCCCTTCCATGCCCCCCGATAAATTCCTATGCGCATCTCGTGTTTCTTGGAGTTCGCGGGTGGCTTGCGCATGCTCGGCTTCCAGAGTGCCATATCGTTCGCTATGTTGCTGTCCAATCGTAGCATTTGCGCTCGCCAATCCATCATTCACTTCTGTAAGTCTTGTAACTTCATTTTGTAGCCAGTCGAGCGTCCTCTTGAGACTGTCAATCTCTGCATCTTTTTCGACGACTGAATTAGATCCTTGACCTGATGCTTGTAACGTTCGTTCGGCTTGCGCTTTTGCTTCTGCCAGCATGCGATTTTCGGCAGCTAATTGTTCGAGTTTGGACTCGAGGTCAAGGACTTGCATGCTTTGTCTTCGGCGCATGGAGTGGGGTCGAGTTGGAGAGCGGGGTGAGCCCATGCGGCCTTCACCGAAGCCATCCTAATTAATTATTAGATACGACACATTATGATGAATCGCGATTCTACTTACATAGACATCCGCCATGTCCTTAGCCCGGACGCGACCCTCGTTGGCTTGTGGGTTTGTTGCTGTTGACGATGAATTTGATGGCGCGGCAAGCTCAGCTTCCTTAGCGAGGTCAAGCTGACTTCGTTGGCTGAGAGACCGCAGATCCCCGCTGATTTTGCGATCACTACGGCGGAGCGGAGGCGTACCCGAACGGTGGCTGTTGGCGCTGTCGGATCGAAACTTGGGGTCTGGAGTTCTTAGTCGATTGATGTTCGATGTGGACTTGTGACTCTGTGCGCTGTCTGGCCGTTTCTCTCCACTCAATTGGCGAGCGGCTGCGAAACCTAGGCCTGCCGCGCCAATGGCAGCAGTACCGGCTGCAATAGCGGATTCATTGCTGATCTTGGGCCGCTCAGCCTTGGGTATTTGTGCCTGGCCAAGTTCCGCGTATTTCTCTTCCTTGGGCTTTGAAGATCGGTGGGAATCGGGTGATTTAATCCGCGGCACACTTTGCTTTAAATCGCTTTCTACTTTTGGTTTGGCGGAGCGTAGATTGTCTGAAGATTCGAGTCGTTGCACGCGTTGCTTCACAAGACCACCTTGACTCGGTTGTCGCGATCCATGAATGGTGTCGGTGCGATGAAGTCCTGCATGTTCTTCCCGGTGAGATGGGTGGATGTCTTGTTCATGATGTCTTGCTCTTTCTTCCGCCGATCCATGGATCGTCTGAGTGCGGTGGAGGCTCGTATGCTTCTCCTCTTTGTCTTTTTGAGATGGAAGAAGATCAATACTTGAGCGCTTTTCGTCGTGATGCTTGTCTACTCGCTCGTCTGAAGGCCGCTGAGCCTGGAAGAAATCTATATTCCTGTCTTCTTTCGGCTCATGTAAATCGTGACTGCTTCGTGAACTCTCTTCACGGCGGTGCTTGTCAGTCACAACCTTTGGCCTCAAGGACTTGTCAATGGCGACCGTCTCTGCTTCTTCATCGACCTGAGGCCACGCCAAGCTAGCGATGGCATCATCCGAGGAAGACACTGGCGCTCGCGCGTGCATTTCCCCAGCTGGCGAAATGTCATGCATATGGACACCACTGTCACGGACGTGCTCATCATGAACATCTGCGAAGGCCCCTTGGGGTGGAATTGGCGACTCTGTAACAAATGCGCTGTCTCTATTGGCATCATCTTCGTGGTGACCTCGTTTAATTTGAAGATCAGATTCATGTCGAACTGGGCTTTCTTCTCTGACTACCGGCAAGTCTGAAAATCCAGTATTATATCTGCTCTTTCGGGATGGCGTACTTTCGATCGGTTGTTCCTCGAAATCGACTCCTCTATGCTGAGATTGGCTAATCGATTCAGATGGAGTTGAGGCGTTTTGATGGCTAAGCAGCGGTATATCAGTAAGTTCTAGCGGTGTCGATACTGGCTGTTGAACATTCGAAGTTGTCATTATTGGTGGAATTGGAGGTGTCTGAGATGTTTCGTCATGAGGATGCTTTAGCTCTCTATCGATTTCACTTGGCTCGTGGGATGCGACTGGGTCTGCGTGTGATTGTTCTTCCCGAGGAGGGGACCAAAAACCATCATCACCATCATAATCTTTCTCTTGGCCCCTTGATTCTTCAAATTCCTTAGGGTCAGCACCCTCCCAAAGCGCAGGATCGTCGAATATGTCATCTCTTGGAGCCCTGTGATCAATGCTCATCTTACGCTTCTCCTTCTTTGACAACTTTCTCGCTGGCGTTGAGGCGCCACTAGCAGAAGTACTTGGTTCGCTCTCCTTTCCGCCGGACTTACTGAGAATAGCTGCACCAGCCAGAGCTGCTGCTCCCGCTGCAGCTAGACCTGGGATGCTGCTGTTCTCGTCCTTGGGGATATCTTCTCCAATCGGAGGACGGAAGGACTCTGCCATAGATGGTGAACCGATTGACCCAGTATTCTTCTTCTTTCCCTTCTTGCCTTTCTTTGTAGGTCTGAGGAAGTCGTCCACAGGGGACGCTTCGGTTGTGAGTGCGATGTGCGAGAGAGATTCGTCCTTTGCAATATCTTCAATGACTGGTAGTTTTCTTTCCACCTCAGCCTCTTCGACTTCATCAGCCCAAGATGTCAAGGCAGCTTTTGCCAGTCCAACATCACCAGGTATGGTAGCATCAAGAGTAGCTTGACGCTTCCTCTTATCCTTCTTGGATGGTTTTCGAGAGAGGTCGGTTGGGAAAGCATCGGTATCCTCGCTCCCAAAATGCTCTGAGGTGGGAAGTGAAGCGCTCGTTGTGTCTCTAGATTTGTCCTTGAGAGATGGGCTCATTTGCTCAATATCAACAGGATTGACAACCAAGTGTTCTGCTGCGATGGAAGGCCCTTGCTCACGAGAACTCTCTGTCGTAATAGGTGAGTCTTTTGGGAGAATATTCGTGGCATCAGCCTCCGTATGAAGCCTAGATCCTCGTTTTCCTTTTTTGTCCTTCTTAGATTTCTTCGCGAACCCAAAACCATCATCTTGAACTGTCCCATCTTTGTCATCCAATTTCTCACTCAAGGGTTGCGCAAATTCTTCAACGGTTTGAACTCCAAGAGGATCGGAAGACGGCTGTTCAATCAAGCCTTCAGTTTCCAAATACTTTTGAGGTTTGGTGCTAGTCGATGTTTCTTCTTGTGGCGTTGAAAGGCCTGTCTTGTCCTTTTTGGACTTCTTAGTTGAGAAGGAACCCAACTCATCTCCGGGGGCTTGCGCAGGATCTTGAGAACCTTCAGGGAGGGGAGATACTTCCAGATTGACTGGCTCCTCGACAAATTCTTGTGCATAAGCGGCGCCAGAATCCTGCTCGGTTGGTCCTTCAATTTCTTCGTCCTTGGGTTTATCAGGGGCCTCGATAAAATGCGATTCAATTTCACCGGACGGTGGTGGACCTGTGGAATCAATGCTCAGGTCTCGAGGCTCTTCGACAGCTACAATTTGTTCCTGCATTTCCTCTGCCGGCGTAGGGGGTCCAGATTTGCGCTTCTTATCCTTCTTGTCCTTCTTAGACTTCTTGGTTGAGATCGACGCCCACTCATCAACTGGCTCTTCGGTTGCCTCTTGCGCAGGTGCAGTAATTATCGGCTCCTCATTTTTGGCAGGTTCCTCGATAGCATATGGCGTTGCAGCGGACATATATGGTCCAGACTCAAAAGACTCCGTGGATAGCTCCTCTGCTGGAGTAGACAGCCTGGATTTTCGTTTCTTGTCTTTCTTGGAATGCTTCCTTGATATTGGTGGCCGATCATCTACTGGCTCCTTCAACACTTCTGGTGATTGAGTGAGTGCCGACTCCTCAGATTTTGCAGGCTCTTCAAGTATCTCTTGTGCCGGTGTGGATGATTCTGCTGTCTCAATTGGCTTCTCGGAAACCACTTCTACCGGAGTCAAAAGACCAGACTTGCGTTTCTTCTTGTCTTTCTTGCTCTTTTTGGCCGAGGAGGACCACTCATCCACAGGCTCTTCAGCCTCTTGCAAAGTAGCGGGGACGGAAGGCTCCTCAAGATGTGAAGGCTCATCAACTATCTCGCGGGTCTCAGTGGATGTTGGCAAATCCTCTAGCTTGGAGTCCTCGACGACATCTTGCGTAGGTTCGGGGAAGATCTGACTCTCACTAGCAATGGTCTCTTCACTAGGACCGCTCTTGTCTACGATCTCTTTAATTGGCGTGGCAAGTCCGGATTTACGCAATTTCTTGTCTTTCTTGGATTTCTTGGTCGAAAAAGAACCCGATCCGTTTTCGTCAGGTTCCTGGATTGTATCTTGAGTAGCAACGCTTGCTGGCGATTCCTTATTCTTAGAAGATTCGTCAATAATCTCTTTGGTGGCGATGGCGGCAAGCGGTGCAACAACGCTAACAAGCTCTCCAACTGGTTTTGTATCCTCATCCGCCGGAGTCGACAACCCGGATTGGCGCTTCTTCTTGTCTTTCTTGGATTTCTTAGTAGAAAGAGAAGCCCATTCATCTTGCTCTGGCTCTTCGACAGTTTCTTGCGCGGAAGGAGGAATGATTGGCTGATCAACCTGCTGTTCGGACGTGGACTGTTCTTGGTCGAAGGGCTCTTCAACTGACATGGAAGTTTCAGGGACAGTCTCGATAGGTGTGGTCTCGATAGGTGTGGTCTCAATAGGTGTGGACAAGCCAGACTTGCGCTTTTTCTTATCCTTTTTGGATTTCTTGGAGTGGGAAAAGAATTCGTCTTGTTCTGGCTCCTCGGCGACACCTTGCGGAGTTGCGGGCGCTTCGGATGCCAACTGTACGTCCGGAGGTTTTTCTAGGGTTAACCTGTCGAGTACGTTCTCAGATTGTGAGTTCGCTTCGGAAACTTCCATTGAGGATTGTGGAGCTGAATCAAGAGGCGTTGAAATTCCAGATGGCTCTCCTGAAGTATCCCGGGAAATGTTCTTCTTCTTCTTGTCCTTCTTCGACTTCTTGGTTGAGAAAGCATCCCAAACGCCAGTCCCTTCAGCATCTACCTTTGGGGCAGGGTCTAGTATTTCGGCAACGACAGATGCTTTTTCTTGCTCGGCCTCTTTTGATGTTGAGGATTCAGTGGGCTGCTCTTTTGTCTCGGCGGGAGGGTCCAAGGGCGTTAAGAGTCCTGATACTTCTTCGGAACTGTGCTTGGACGAGTCCTTACGTTTTTTCTTGTCCTTCTTAGACTTTTTGGAAAAGGAAAATTCATCGAAGAGGTTATCCGGCTCTTCTTGCGTGGCGTCTAGAGCTGGCTGAGCAAGAGGTCCTTCATCCAATGATGGTTCGTGGCTGGAAGAATCAAGTGCTGGGGTAGGATCTTCCAAAGATGGGACCGGGTCGTGCGGTTGGCTTGTAACCTCACCACCTTGCTCAATACCAACTGGTTCCTGCAAAGCCGTTGATACATCTTCGGTCGTCGAAGGTTCTTGCGTGCTACGGCGGTCTTTCTTTTTGTCCTTCTTGGATTTCTTAGATGTAACGTCGAATCCATCATCTTGTTCGGCAGATGGAAGAGATTCGATGTCCTTGATATCTTGGCTACTGGATGCAACTTCCAAATTCTTGTCTTCAAATTGCTGCTCTGGCGTCTCATCAAAGGTCGAGGATCGAAGCAAGCTTTGTCGCTTTTTATTGCCCTTCTTCGATTTCTTCGACGTGGAGCCAAAGTCATCAGCTGGCTCGCTCACAGGCTCGATTACAGGGCTCACAGCAATTGATGGCTCTTCACTTGAGGGATTTTGTACTGGGTTGGCGTCAGATTGCAGTTGGTCGGCAGCATCTGAAGTCGGAAGACTTTGACGCTTCTTGTCTTTCTTGGACTTCTTTCCTGGCACGGCCCAGTCATCCTCAGCAGGGGGGAATTCGCTGGGAATAGCGACGACGTCTTCTGAATCAACATCTCTGGAGTTGTGTAACGCTTCAATGTCTTTTCCGGATTCAATAGGAGCAGTCTCAACAGGAGGAGTCTCATCAGGTGCCGTGGTTGGCGCAAGACTGTCCTTCTTTTTCCCCTTCTTATCTTTCTTCGACTTTTTCGGTGTGAGGGCGAATTCATCTTCGGGCTCAGCAGCCTGAGGTTCAGGTGAAATTTCTTGACTAGTTTCTGGCTGAGAAATATCAGGTCCTTGCGACCCGCTCGCACTTGGCACCTGCGCTTCTGGCACCACGTTCTCATCAGGCATACTCTGAATTAGACTCTCGCGCTTCTTGCCTTTCTT